GTCTAATGTTTCAGATAGGCATCTCTTGTTTGTTGAAAAATTTGGTTTATTCTGATTAGCGCCATTAGGCAGTGCTGGTTTTAGGATGATGATTTGCATTAGTGGGTCTCAGGACCAGTTGATATAAGAGGCTCTTTTTGGGTTCAGGTTTTAGTTTTAATGCTTGCTTTAGATGTTTCCAAAATTTTGTAATTGTACTTTGATTATTAGAAGTGGAAGTTGGCATGTAATGGTTGGTCATTAGTTTTTCTTTTGATATTTAATATGGTCCCACAAATCTGCCTATAGGAAGCTTCATCTGGTGATGCAGTGCTGGCAGAGTGGACTCCATCCTGTGGATTGGATGAAATTCCAAATATTTTAGATCAAAATTAGTCAGTTTTCTTGATTTTTTCTTTATTTGAATAACGACTCAAGAGGCCTTTTATTTCACTGTATTTACTGCCAGATTAAAGTTACCTGAGGCATTGTTTTTGAGTATGAGCTAGTCATTGTGCAGGGTGTGTGGCTGATTGAGAATCTGATCACAGTACAATACTCTCCTTATTATGAGACTGGTCTAAAAAAAGTTCAATCCAGTGATCAACATGTTCCTCTAGCAGTTATACTCTTTGAGGACCTTTTTGTTAAGATAATGGGTTTCCTTTCTGAGAGGAAGAGAGAGACACAGAGCATGGGAATACAATTGATCTGGTATCTCACTTAGCACTGGAGCCCCCGGCCCTCGGTCCTGGGAACACTCCCGACTGGCTTGGCCACAAGGAATGTGCTGCCACGGTGCTCAGACGTTTGGCCCCGAATTAAAGAGGGGCGTACATATCCACCAGCAGCATCTCTCCTGAGATATCCACTGCTTAAGCTATCAGGGGTAGATTGGATGAGCAGACGCAGGCCCAGGGGGGAAAATGAAGGAAAGAAGGAAGTTAGAGGGACCAGTGTTAAATAAGGAGAAGGAAGAAAAGTGAGCCAGAAATGAATGAACCCCCGGCCTGGAGATTACAGTATCCTTATGTAAAAATTACAACTGACTACACTGATTAGAGTTAAGTTGTGGTTCTTGAAGCCCAGGCCTCTTTACAACTCAACAAATCTTTTGTATTTTTGTGCAGTGTTTTCTTGGTATCCTCCAGACTGACTGACTGACTGACTTGCCCCTGCAGGTATGGAAGCAGACTATGACGATCTGAGCCGTGTGAAAAAACAAAAGGAGCAAATCTACCCCCACCTCATCCTCATGATGCTCCCTCCCCACAGGCTGGATGCCCAGTCCTCTTCCCGCAGGCGCAAGCGGGCACTTGACACCAATTACTGCTTCAAGTAAGGCACATTTCTTCATCCTGGAAAATGTTATGCACTGTTGGACTATTTTTATTGTCTTTAACTTTCCAAAATAATTTCCCTGGCTGCACCTGCACTGTCAGCTCTGGAGCTTTGACCAGGCTACTCAAAAATATTTCAAATAAAAATGGCAGCTATTTTTGTCTTGCAGGCAGGGGGTTACATTATATTGTCTAATATACCAGCCAAGGCAACATGAAATATAAATATCAGCTGTCACAAAGATGGCAGGAAAGAAGAGTGCATGGGCACAGAATACATGGAATAAGCCTGTTAATCACACAGACGAGCATGACACAGGTATTAGCTGATACAAGTTGGGATCTGTCCCAGTACTAGCAAACGTTACCTCCTCTTAACACACCGTCTCCTCAGCTCTGGATTTCCTCCATCAGGCTGACAGGCAGCACCAAAGACACCTGGGCTGACTCCAAGAGGGAAAATAAGGGCACACCTAAGAGTGGAATTTCTGAACTTTTTTCTCCTATCTGGCTGTGAGGCCATAGGGAGGAAAATGTATACAACTCTTAAAATTGTGTGTTTAAAATTGTGTGTAATCCTCGCTGTCCTCTCTTGTCTGCAGCAATTATGAGGAGAACTGCTGTGTGCGACCACTATATATTAATTTCCGGCAGGATCTGGGCTGGAGGTGGATCCATCAGCCTGAAGGGTACTATGCTAACTTCTGCTCTGGGCCCTGTCCTTACCTACGCAGTGCAGACACCACCCACAGCTCGGTGAGACAATGCACCGCAACACATTTAAGTCATGAACCTGTTTGAGAGATTTGTTTGCTGATCCCTATCTCCCTCCTCTCCTTCTTAAAGTTGCTGAGCCTCTACAACACCTTGAACCCCGAAGCATCCGCCTCACCCTGCTGTGTTCCTCAGGACCTGGAGCCCCTCACCATCCTCTACTATGTGGGTCGCTCCCCTAAAGTCGAGCAGCTCTCCAACATGGTCGTCAAGTCCTGCAAGTGCAGCTAAACTTCAGAGCTTCAGGGCCCGGCGAGAGACACGGGATGTGATGGCTCCCAGCACTACTCAGGAGCGGGTATGAGGGGTTTAAAGGGGGGCGTGGTACAGTTTGTCCTCCATCAGTGCCTCTTCCCTCTGCTTCCGCCTTGCCCAAGCTCTGTCACGAACAACAAAGATGCAGTCCACCACTCTGCTCACAATCATTGGCAGCATTTACCTAAAAGACTCGTCAAACACCACTTCACTAACAGCGCTCTCAAACCCATCAGACCTCTTGTTGACCTTCAACAATTGCCTTTTGACATCAGTGTTTCTCATGTTTTTTTTTTGTTTTTTTTTATATTCCAGCATTTTGAACAGCCTGTACCTCAGTGTTACGTGACATTGATATTCAAAACCCATTTTCAGCGAAAGAGGAACAGAACTATAATCGTCTTGCAATGACCACTGCATTCTCGAGGACATTAAATAATTGCAGTCAAAAAAGAGAAAATGACTGAGAATGCAGACTGAGCTCAGCATGACAGGAGTACGTCAAAGAGGGGAAGATAACAATGATTGTTCGCTGAGAGCAAACACATCCCTCGGCCCTGACTCACAGGACAACTTCGAATGTCCGAGCTGGAAACTGACGCCGTGTACGCCACGGCTCCCTACACTGTTTATTTAGGATTAAATGCTGTTAAATGAAAATGATCTTAGGAAAAAAAAGAAAACATGCTGGAAACCAACCTTTATTTCAAAGTAGTATTTCCATGGTTATGTTTACCTCTGTAATGCAACAGGATGGTGATTCCAGGGATTGTTTCGTTTTAAAGTGAAGCCTTTCTGTTGTATGAGACGATGTATGTCACTAAGTGAACACTTAACTAGATCACAAACTGTAAATGTTTTTCTTATTACTCTTGGAAACACTTTTTTTAATTAAAAAATGAACAGTTGGATAGAAGCGTTCTATGTTCGTTATTGTTGAGTTTTTACATTTGCGTACAGTATTTCAGAGCACTTTATTTTAAAGGGTAAGAAGGTAAATTTAGATGACCAAAGTCCAAGTGTCCAACTTCCAAGTGTACAGTATGTGTGGTGACCAAATACATTTTCCGACATGATCAGCATGTTTTCATGTTTTCTAGGTGTTCATGTCAATGTTGCTTGCTACAAACTGCCTAAATGATTCCAAAAATATTACAGTTCCATGCATTTGTGTTGTAAACAATCAGGAACAAAACAGATTGAAATATCAGACTGTAAATAATGTTGTATAGCCACAGTAGATTATAGACATTGATTTGGACTCCATTGTTGGATTCTTGTAATACAGCATGCACCGGCTTTAACAGCAGTAGATCCACAACATGAAGTTCAACATCGATCACTACAAAGAAATCCAATACCATCAAGTGTAATAAAACCAGCTCTGTTGTACTGCATTGAAAACTACAATCTGTGCAAAACCACTCTGATGATAATCATCAGTTGATATGACAAATACATGCATGAAATTCAAGTATTTCTGACAAAGTCATCATAAAGATATGCTAAATCGACATAACAGAGATGATTTATTCTATTAACACGCCCTGAGTCAACTCGCTATATGGTCCCAAGAAACTGAATATCCGCAAGGATATTGGTCTGCTGGTACAGCATTAACCTTCATTGTAGGAAAGGCTGTGCATAACCATAATTCCTCTTTAAGTTATGCTTTGAGCTACAGAAATGGCCACAAAGACCTCTTGGTAGATAATATACAGTAAATAAATACTGATGCAATAACAATAATTTACTTATCATACCAAAGATACGAAATTTGGTCCATCCAAGGAAAACAACATCAACATCTTCACAGTTTACAAGAACAATCACAAGCTCACTGTATTCTTGATATAAGACATAAACCCCCCTTCAGCAGTGTTACATCATCCTTGTAAACAGGTAACAAGGCAGCAAGCAAATTGTATTTAAGCTCTAACAATCAGAATTTCCTTTTCCAGCCTACAAGCAAAGGATGCTCTACTTTAACGCATCCTTAGACAATGGCCATAGAGTCTCATTTGGCAACTGTTTGGCTTCCAACAAGGAGTGGCAGCTGGAGTTGTCTAAAGTTGTCAGAAGCATGCTCACCATTCATGGCAGCAAGATGAGAGGCTGCTCAGGCAATCTCTTGAATAATGGAACCCCCCCCATCTCAACTGTTTTTTTAGGAAGAAAAAAAACTACGTGAATGGCTAGCGGTGCACATGCCACTGCATGAGCAAAGAATCAAACGTAGTAATAAACCTCTAGCGCTTGAAGAACCATCTGCTGACGGCTATCTGTCAGTGAAATCTTTCTGTGGCATCAGTAGCGTGGAGAGAATGAGGGCGGGCAACTGTTGGGATATGGACTGAATGTAGCTGAGGGGGATTTGGGGGATAGGGAGGTGGTGGGGGGCGGCTGAAAAGGCCATCTGATGTTGAGCTGCGCAACAAAATCCCAACCTGCGTCAAAGCTGGGCATTCCTGGCCTGGCAGGCTATCCTCTCGCATGTCTGTGGCTGTATCATAGAGAAATTAATAGGACCCTGTTCAATGTCTGGCATGCTTTCATCTGTTGCTGTTGTCCTTTCCCAGAATACACCTCTGTGAGGATGTGGTTACATGCAGAGGCACCTGTCTGGCCAGCAGAGCGGCAGGACGTGCCTCTGGTCACCTTCATGTCATCTGTGACTGGGCTCCTGGCCCTGGAACAGCTTGCGGTACACAGAAAGACCTGGTGAGCAACAGATGAAAGAAAAAATTAGTCCAAGAGGTAAAAAGGCAGCTGAAGGTCTTCCTCATGTGTACACACAGAAACGTTTAAGTCAAACCCGGAGGAGTTTTTCTTCAGCTGAGCCCACTAAAACCCTCCTGGTAAAGGTTCTCTTGATCTTTTTAATTATCCATGGTCAAGGTGGTTACCAGCAGATCTGAGCGCAGTCAGCTCAGTGCTTAGCCTCACTGTCAGTCTGCTCGCCCCTCATCCTATCGGCTGGTACGTGGCCAGGCATCCGGTAGAAAAGGCATTCCAACTACAGTCAGAGCTGTCGTGTTTGTGCTCCCAAACAGTATTCCCTTTCATTCCCTCTCTACGTACTCTGTTTATTTTGGTGCTCTTTTACACCGAGGGGCCTGACTGAGCTGGAAAACGAAAACATCTCCCCCGACTTCCAATCCGATGACATGACCGCTGGAAGCAGCTTCCTCTAGCTCAGCAAAAGAAAGATAAAGGGACAATATTCTCTCTACCATACCCCACTCGAGATGTCACTTGGAACTAAAAATGACAGAAGAAATGGTGTCACCAATTTGTTCAATGGCAAATTAACCCAAAACGTCTAACGAGTCTAACAGAATCAGGCATCCCCCACAATTCTTCACAGCTTGGATCTTTCTGTGCTTGCAACTTACACTCAAATACAAAGGAATTCAAAACCATGCACTATGGTTTTTAAAAAAGGTGTTTCAGTGACTGCTTCGAATCGAACATCCAATAACTTGCATAACACAACTGAAAAGCGGATGACTGCCCGTAGCTACCTTTCCTTCCCAACAAGGCATCATACAGTCTTATTTTGATAGAGGCCTAAGCTATCCGTCCTGACATGATCAGACTCCCATTAAAATGGCACAAGTGCAGCATTCATTTCCTTCTCAAACTGAGTAAAGCAATAAATCTCCTCACAGTCACTGACTGTGAAGCCCTGAGAATTTCAAGACGACTTCAAGGCAAGGTTTGTAAAACACGTGGTCGATATAATCTAGGTTTGTAAGATCTGATAGGTCCTCATCAAAGTCCTCCCCTCATCCTATGTCAAAAATTAACACATAAGAAGTAGGCAAAGAAAAGGAGGGGGAGCGGGGTGAGTGAGCAGGAAAACTTTTCAGAGGATAAAGGGAGAGTTGTGTGAGCAAAGAGAGGAAGAGATTAAAGAGGGCACAAGAGAGAGATAAAGGGAGAGTGTGATTTATGGTGGTTGACAGCTGATCATAGAGAATGCCCTCCATTTGGATTCGCTCTAACTCCCTGTCAGAGTCGATCAGGGGAGCTCAGTCATCTCGCTACAAAGGTACACTGGGCAGCCAGAAAGACCTGACGCACGCCTAAGCTCCCACAAAGGCTATGCCCCCCCCACACACACACCCCCACACACACACCCCCACGCCCTTTCCAAAACACCACACGGAGTCTCTGTGTTACATTCTCAATGCATGGTTAAACCTGCCTTGCTAACTGGTTTTGGTACTTACTGTTTTTTGTTTTTTTTTTCTCTTACTGTTTTTGGTTCAGACATATTTTTTTTCAAAGCCAAGAGTGAGGCATCTCCCCCACCCTTTGCGCCCTGAACGACGGAAAAAATGCATTCATGAAATTCAGAAGCTGCTCCCAACGGATCCTATTACAGTAATTGATGAGTTTGTAAGATGTTTGTTAACTTAAGCCAGCCTTCATAGTTTGGGGGGAAGAGGGAGAATGAAAAGAAATGTTCTGGTCGCAGACACATGCACAGATTTTTTTTTTTTTTTTTTTTTTTTTTTTGAGGTTGGGGGCTGGGTGCTGCGCAGCTACTGTATTTTTCCGACAAGCTGATCTCTGGGTCGGCTTGACTGCGACATTCACATGATGTGATGACTGGTATGATTTGCAAATGCTAATGTATAGTAGGTCTCTGGAAAATGCCCTTGATCAGACAAGCAGATGTGTCCATAAGCGCAAACTGCTTAATATCACTGTTACTGCAATAAGCTCCACACTTCGCTCAGGATGGAAAAGAGCTGTGGAAAAGAAGGCCGGGTGACAGGGCACACGTGAGTGCATGCACCCACAATTGCATGCAAAGCCACAACAAACTCTGTAAAGGCTGAGCTACCTTTTTCTTTCTCTTGGTGCGATTTCTGGGGCACAACTGGACAGAACTTTTGGCGGACAGACAGTAATTACTACCGCATAGGAATTGCCAACAGATGGGAATGCCCGAACTGTTCCCATCACTGGATCTCATTATAAAAGAGAGATGTTATCATGGTTATGCCTCTTTATCCTTAAGCAGTAATCTGACCTCTAGTTTTAGACACATGTAGACTATGTGATCAAACAGCATATTACTGCACTTGAAAGTCTGTTTATGCCCATCCACTTCTGGCTGCTTCAACTCTACTAACTCTACAGCACAAGTCATTGTCGCATAACCAATAAAACCTCACTTGTGCTCTTCAAACAAAGCGTCAAAGCTATTTCAATGTAGTTATCGTTTACTGTGGGCAAAATGCACACATCCTGCACAACACTGTGCAGGCAGGAGCTGGGTAAAAATATCCAGTGGTGTTTATCAGTCCTCCATGGGGAATGTCCACTATGCCTGGCTGTAATCACTGACACTGGCATAGAGAGGGCATAATTTCCCCACTGCCTGCGGACTACGGCCAAGTTACAGGCCAAGTTACAGTACGATAATTTACCAAGCGTGTGCAAAACTGCAGCACCAGACCCACCTGTTTTACCGCAGATGGCTTCGTAGACCGTATGCTGGCCGCTGGACACGGCTCCACTGGCTGAGCTCTCTGAGGACGCCTGCCTGTTAATCAAACACAAGAGAAGTGTCAGTAAAGATCCTTCCATGAGGGGTTATAAAGTGACAAATTGTATTTGAAAGATCATGCTCAACTCTCCACAGTCCTGGACCAAGTGTATTGTTCTACTTAGAGCGGAACATCCAAACAAATATATAAAGATAAGTGTTTTTGACAACTTGTGATTGTTTGTGCCCATGTGTGTGCAGGATGTCTGATGAGTCATTGAGTCAATTTCAAATAGTCTGTGTTTGTGTGTGTAGTCAGTGGAGACTAGTGGGGGTTAAGTGTTTACTGAGTGCCTCTCATGAACTATTGTGACAAAGAAGGGGGCAAATTCCTGCTCCTTGTCCTGGGTGATGTGATTTTCACATTGGCAACAGATTATCATGGTGATTACTGACTATGTGGAACTGCAGGCAATGGCTACAGACAGAAAATGCACATACATAGTCTTTCTTATTAGGTGAATAGTGAATACAATAGTGCAGTATTAACTTGGTAAATTTAAATCAAAGAACATACAGAAGTCTGGAGATCATAGACAACAGATTACATAGCCCTTCACATAATCAGAGAGCAAATACAGTTCTTTCACAGAGAAAACCATTATAAGAACTGTTGAAGCGTAGAGCAGGAGCAGACACGTCTGTAACCTTATACATTAAATCTGTTAAGCATTTTTTAGGGGGAACAATAAATAAAGCTTAGCTGGCATTAACCTCTCGCCCCATAACAGCAGCTTGCCAAAGGAGCATTAACACGGTAATGAGGGTACACACTGCCTCCTTGTAAGGGGCTGCACAGTTGTTCTTTCATACCATTACACAACCACAAATAGAACTGGCCCACTTTAAGCGTGGCATACCTCGACAGGAAGTAACCCCTTTCATATTGAGAGGAAAAAAAAAAAACTTGACCTCTGGGTTCTTCACATCACTTTCTTTGTCAACAGTCTCTCACTCTGTCACTTCAAGAGCCAGGCAGCAGCCAGAAACACTGTAGGTGAGAACTGAATCTGAACTTGCAGTATGTGCAGATGATATATAAGCCCAAAGTTGAAAATTTCACACTGCTCGCAGGGAGCTGAAGTTATTATGTAAATAAAGCTGATATGCAGCTTTACTTTTTGTGCATTCAGGTAGCCTCTGTGTCTTAATGTTACTCAGACTGACCAAAGGGGATAAAGTTTAACCATAAACACACTTTTGGCAGCTTCTGTGTGTATACAGTATCCTGTGAAAATAACTACTGTTGTGGCTGATTAATAGGGAGTGAAAGCAGCAGCGAGGCTGACATTAATGGTGCTGCTGTAATTGTCACCCTATTAGTAATGCCACACGACAGCCTGGGTTTCCGTAGTTACAGCTGCGACTAGCCAAACCTTGCAAACAAAATACCAAACAGGCTCATTTATTTGTGTTACAAATTGCTCCTTTCAAAGCCTTCACTGAAGTCATACCACTTTGAGTCCTTGCAGCCCCTCGAGTTGGCAGCTGTGGTATGTTGATAGACCAGAGAGCCCTGCCCTGCCCTGCTGAGTGTGATACCAACATGAGGCACATTTGCTTCAAGCAAGTGTACTGCATGTTAGCTGAGCTTAAAGAACAAAGACACTGTCACTCAAAAACTTTGCCAAGGTCTATTAATCTTAAAATAAAACAGAATGCTGACTCGTCAGTCAGTCCAATCACTGGCTCGAGTCAGCAATTTCAAACAAAGCTGACTGGATAGCTCTCCAGTAGGATTTTGTCTTGCAGGCCTACAGAGGAAATCATTTGGCCACATCAACAAAAATCTTCACTCTATTTCCTTTGCTAAACAAGACCAAGAACTAAATGTCATTCTGTGAAACAGATTCAACTTACAACTGTCAGATCATCAGTGGCGTGTTACTCGTGGGAGAAACAGGCAACATCAATGGAGGTAAATTTGTATCAAACAACAGTTTCACAGTTCAACAGCTGGCTAGAGGAAGGTGTTTGGAGGGCTGGATAACCTTGAACTGTTTGAATACACCCAACACAGTGATTCTATTATAAGTTGGAGGAGCTTAGGCCTACACTGGGATGCATTTCAGATGTGCCTCAATAACAGAGGTATTGAGTTGCCCCTGAAATGAGCGCTGGAAATAAAGGGAAGCAACTTATTATCCCACCATTTTCTGCAAACAATCATCTCCTTTCTCCTGGACAGAGTTTACTTTTCTGTCATTCTTTCTTTTCCCCTCTCTTTATTCTCTCTTTTCATTGTTTCCATCGGTGCATTTTTGGTCCTGAAGCTTCCGTTTTTCCCACACTCTCCCCTGTCACACTGGTCGACCACAAGAATGCAGGACAGAGGAGTGTGTGAGGGGGCTCTGGAATTCCACATGCAGAGGGTAAACACAGCAACTGCCAGGCAGACACACACACACCGGAGCAAACACGGCACCTACCCGGCTGCCCTAACCTATTCTACAACCCCTACTCTGCACCGCTGCCCTATTAACTCTTTACTTACCAGGCACAGTTTGTCCAGTCAAGTAAGATGACTGAACGCAACACATCAGCAGAGAAAGGGCTGTGTGCAGTGCAACCTACTGCTCTCAACAACATTAAACCTCAGCTGCTTAGAGAGTCAGCAGGCCTGCAAAGTTACAATAAATTGATTAAGTGACACAGAGAAAAGCACAGTCAGAAAGAAGAAAACTTACTTACTCTATGGGCTTAACTAAAAACACATACATTGTAACAATCGCGCCCTGATCACGAAGGTTTGCTGTTGTTGTGTAATTTGGCCAGATGTTGCAGTAATAAAGTCATAAAATAAGTGAGGGAAATAGCTGGCAGTTCTGCCCAGTTTCACTCTTTTCCTTTTATTTTCCCTTCTGTGCTCTTCAGCTTATCTCCAAACCAAACAGGATTTAAACAGCGCTCGGAGCCCGGGTCCTTCCACTGAACCACGTTCTGTTTACGGTTCATGCAGAAATCAGGCCTGTGATGAGGTTGTTTACCGAGCAGGCAGATACACCCTGCAGCCAAAAGACTGGGAGCACTCCACTACACACATTTTCGAACTCTCATTAGCATTAGCCGTGTCCTCTTTAACTCACCGATCCCATGAACCCTGTCTCACTCCTAAAGCAGGGGCCAATCAACACTACCCCACTGCAATCATTTAGTGGGCTATAAATTACACTGTGACTTTGTTAAACTTTTGGCTGTACTCTATTAAGTAACATGGAATCCAACGCAAGCTGGTCTTACTTGATGAGGCGTTTTGTTGCCGTTTTCCTCATCTGTCCCTCTCGAGCACTGGTGGGTGGCTTTGGGGCGAGAACAGGGCTAACATAGGTCTGGATGTGGCCGTGGCCATGGCTGTGATTGGGGCGAACATGAAAGCTGGATGGAGGGCAGCTGGATGAGTTTGTGGGAGCCTGGGTGTGTGGAGGACTTGTCTGGTCTGGAAACTGAGCCTAAGAGATGAGAAAAACAAGAGTTATTTATTGTCAAAAAGCTACTTTTGATACTTTTATAAACTCAGTTTGCAGTAAGAACTTTGATTTGACAGCATAAGACTGTCAGTACAGTAAGAGTAGTTACCGCACAGTGACTACACACTGGTCAACCATTTGTAATGTTATTATCAAACAACTTGGATTCAAGAACATATTTACGGAGGCCATGTGATATTCATTATCATCATGACTGGGCAAGGCAACACAGACGCACAGTTTAAAACTCAAAATGGATATCATATAATTGGCTCACACTGACCAGTATACAATACTTAAATACTTAAAATTTTAACTCAAAGAAAATTAAGGATACAGAAGTTTGCCAGAAAAGAGGACATTGGACCAATGATGGTGGTGCCAGAGTGGTTATTGACCCCTAAATATGTGACTGTGTGGAGGTGCCAGGTGTTGTAAAATACAACTTTTTTTTAACAGCAACTGAAACACCATATACAAGTGTTACAGTAAAAAAGTCTATAAGAGCAAAGGGGCACTACGCCCCTTTAGAGCTTAGTCCCTATAAGTATATTTATAATGAGCTTCTTGCTAAATTTTTTTATACTAAAACCATTTCAACATGTTGATATTAAAGGGACTGTATTAGATCAGGGAGCTGTCATGTGTGGCGTTCCACAAGGATCGGTTCTTGGATCATTACTCATACTTATATATGGAAATAATGTGACATCTGTGGTTGATGGTACGTTTCTGCACTGTATCAGTTTCTGCACTGATACATGCTTTGAAACATACTTGGTCAAGAAATGTTGAAAATAAACACATGACTACAATGACTTTCATTACATCTATGGAAGGAGTGAATCTCCTATATTCTATTTGCCTCAAATAGTAAACCCACTCATGGCAAACTTCTTAACAGCACCTATGATGCAGTCTTGGTGGTTAAAGGTCAGGTGTCAGATGTAAGAAAAGGTAATGCACAGCCAAGACACAAGAGAAATAGTTGTTGTGAATCCAGATGTTCCTGACAACATCAGATTTTCAGAATCCTCAAAGCGTTACTGACAGCAGGTGTAAAGATTTTGAATGGCTTTAGGAAGATCTGATATCAGCAGTTTTTTTAATATTTAATTTCTAGTAAATGCAGTATCTGTGATGTAGCATGGAACATTTATGATAATTAATTGGTGTAGCACTGTCCAAAAGTCTCTTTTGTCATGAACTCTGTCCAGAACCACTTCAGAAATACATTTACATTTGTTTCAAGATTTTTAATTTTGTATAGTTTATATCACCCCACTCTATCTGATCTGCATCCTTATGTATTGTGTATATTTTATGTCATACATGTTCTGTTTAGGACAAAATAAGAATCAAACCCAATTCCAAAAGTGGAATAAGGAAGTGTGATCACATTTGGAATGGGTTTGTCATGGGAAAAAAATGTGGCCTCTTGTCATTAAGGTGAAATATCAAAGTGCTTGACATGAATTAGTGCAGATATTACTGAAATGCCATCCAGTATCAAAACAAGCTCAACATTTTTTTGCAGTTGGCTGCAGTGAAAAGCAAATTCTTCACATTATTTATTTGTTTATAAAAGATCTCTTCAAAGGCTGAGGAAGGGGGAAAATACCGTTTTCTTTCTGACATAATATTTTAGAGCCACATTTCACTCTGTCCTTGTAGTGCTGGGGAATGCTTTGCATACATTCCTTCCACATCTCATGTCGATGCTATTTTCTCTGCAGCTTTATACGGCTATCTAACAAGCTAATGGTTTTCCAGCTTCACAATGCAGCCGTTCAAAGGGCCGGCAGTGTGACAGGGAATATCTGATGTAACTTATGTGTTGATAAATGAGAAGCTGAGTTTCCAGGTTGCAAGGCCTATGGCCGCAATTCAGTTTGAGCGGGGCCAGGAAGGGCACCTTTCTTTGCCTGCCAGGTGGCTCTGGGCCAAGCCTGTGGAGGAGCCGTGCAGTCTGCACCCAGTAACTGGAACGTGGACTGGAGCTCCAGAACAGCCCCCTGTCTCTTTCTCTCACACAGAAATACATACACACAGACATATATGTACATGAACACTCACACTCTATGAAGCACTTCCATTTGTGTCTTCACTTATTCCAAATACATTAATTAATTTTCCCATGTAGCCAGAAAAACAAGGAAGGTGAGTTCAGGGATATGGAGTGTATTTGTATCAAAAAGACCAAAGCCCTTCTCTCATCCTGCTGTGCTGCAAAGACAGATTTAGGTCATTCTCTTTGAGTCAAAAATAACGGCTAATTAATACATAAAGTGGTACAACTGCCAGGACAGACAGGAAGAGAGACTCATGTGGTTGGAACAAACAGGAAGGGATGGCAAGGATTTCAGGGAGGGTTGTCTGATATGATGGGGAGACATATCCAGAGTCAGCCTTCTTATGACCTCAGAGGGTTAAACAAGTGGATGGCTCTGTCTTGACACTGTTTGCAGTGCACTGTACACATACGTATAGTCCGTAGTGCCACAAACGGTTTCAGATTGTAAGGTATTCCTGCCTCCATCTGCTTGGAGGATGATGAGACATGTCAGCAACAAGAGGAATTTGGTCAACTGTGTTCAAACCATCCATCCATCCATCCATCCATCCATCCATCCATCCATCCATCCATCCATCCATCCATCCATCCATCCATTTTCTACCGCTCATCATGGTGGCAGCAAGTTAAGCAAGGGAGTCCAGATGTCCCTCTCCCAATCAACACTTTCCAGTTCCATCTGGGGGACCCCGAGGAGTTCCCAGGCCAAATGAGATATGTAGTCTCTCCAGTGTGTTCTGGGTCGTCCCCAGGGCTCTAACCAGTTGGATGTGCCTGGAAAACCTCCAATGGAGGGCACCCAGGAGGCATTCTGATCAGATGCCTGAAGCACCTCAACTGGCTCCTTTCAATGTGGAGGAGCAGCAGCTCTAACCCTTGCTCCCTCTGGTTGTCAGAGTTTCTTACCCTATCTATAAGGGTGAGATAGGGTAAAGAACCATCCGGAGGGAGCTGTTCAAACCATGAGACAAAATGAGAAGAGGAATGGAACAGAGAAAGGCAAGAGATTACTTTCATAAAGTGGCTTGCGTAAGGCTATCGGACCAAGCCAAGAGAAATATCACCTCAATTGCATTAATTAAGGGTCAACCAAGATGATGAAAAAACAGTGACGTGAGAGCAACTGCATACTCAGGACCGAGCGGAAAAAAGTGGGTGCATCCAATCATTCCACCCTGTAAGCTGTCCCATGGTACTCTCCTGTCTCCATTTCTCTCCATCCATAGATTGCCTCCACAAAATCCTCTGGAAAATGAATAAATACACTCTTCCTGTTCAGATCCTCTTTCAAAGCAACTGCACAGAAAGACAGAGGGCCTATCTTTTTTCTCTAAACATTAAAATTACGCTGTGCGAAATGACCGAGACCTCTCTACCTTTCTAATCTCCTTCTAAAAACAGCCAAATCACATCTGTCACGGCTAGTCAGCCGTGGCTAAAAGGTTTTTTGTCGCTACATTACTACTGCTGCGAAAGTCATATTCCAAAATTTTATTTGTGTTGTAATGGGAACAAAAATGGAGCTCAAATCTGATATAAACTATAATGGTAAGACTTGAAATTCATGATGGACTCTGTACCGGGGCCTCACTAATGCCCAAATGGGCAACATTCCTTCATTACTCACCTTCCAACATAAGCCTAACCGAGTCACTCAGCCAAACACTGTAATCTTGGGGTGAGAAGTCATGTTTGGCTCTCCAGGAATGAGCTTCTGTTGAGAAGGATGTTCCCACCGAACACCATTTTGTTAAGTGGTTTGGAAAGAGATTCTCAGAATTTCTTTGTAAATGCTAACATGAAAGCTTTCCCTTTTATGTGGGAGTATTTTGCACTGTTTTGGACAGCATTGTGCTTAGGTAAGGGGATATTTTGTACAGACACAAATATGAGGGTTTTCCTGAGTTATAACTCAATAGTTCTTGTACACGTTGCTCAGTTTTCATGCGGAGCTGATTTTAAAGCAAGACAAAAACAAAAGAAGCTGAACAACATATTTTCACTTAACCCTCTTACTTAATCCTAATCTAACAAAACAAAAGAAGTCTGAACTTTTTATCGGAACAAACTATGAGGAATGTTAAATGGTGTCCCAAAAAAATCTCAGTGACCTGTTGTTGTCACAGCTTCTAAACATTCTGGGCAATAGCGAGCAGGGAAACCATATTTCCACCAAGGACCTGGGTTAAAGTCCATGTGACTGAAAGTAACTACTCATCTATACTGTAGCTGAAGATAAAAGTTGACCTCTACCAGTTCTCTTTACTTTGTAGACAGGACACTTTTGAGGAAGTCCCCTTTAGAAATGATAGATGTAATCGTTAGATTATCATATTTACCACGAAATAAGTTCTTAAATACCTGGTGCCTGCAATGGCTCTGGTCCAGCAGTTGTCGGGACTGAAGTTTCTGCTGTTGTAGTTGCTGGATAGCAAACTGAAGCTGGTAGCTTCCTTGGGTGGGCTGGTAGCGCTGCTGGGGGTTCACCCCTGTCACCAAGCTATAGGCATTCTGCATCTGTCCATCCCAAACACAGTCCTCTTCCTTCAGTGGCCTGTGGCTTGGACAGCAGAAATGAAGAGAAGTCAGTGAAAAGGTAAGAGAATTCAAATCAACCAAAACACACACCCGTGTTCTCTGCTGGATCATGTAATCTGTGTTGCTTTGATGATAATACCATACGTGTATAGTGACAGCTTTTGTTATTTGCACTCTAACAGACACTGAATACCTGAGGGCTTCACCTCATGTTGGAAACTCGCCTTGAAGAAAAGGAATTTAGAAATATGCTTATTCACTGTCTTGAGAGCTACATGAGCGAATAAGCACATTTCCCAAAATGTCAAACTATTCATTTAAAGCTGTGTAAAGCTGTGATATGACAATTCTACAATAGCCCTAAAGTATTTGTTTGTATTGTGCCACTGGTAGGTGAGGGTTCAATCCTACTTTAGACACAGAGCATAGACAATGGCAAGAGGGACAGAAGGCAGGGGAGAAAGTGGTGTGACAAAATAACATTATAGCATAAACTGAGATGTGGGGGTGTTAACACAATGTTAAAATTATTCCATACAATAGTCTTTCTATGTCTTAAGTGATGAGATTTGATGAAGATTAGTGCTCTCCACTGGGTTTTTCCTTAAATCCCTGTGCCCTCAAATGAAGCTCCAACTGACTCATAGATCTTAGCTAATAATTACCTGGGATAGTGCTAGTGCTGGTGCTGGTGCATGAGCCATAATAGCACAGTATTTCCTACCATCTTTTCCTTGTCAGTTATTTTACCATTCAACCAAGGCAGATATGTGGTAGTAGCTCATTAACTCCCACATTTCCCTCCACGTGCTGAGTTGCAACACCACCAGCAAAAAGTAAAAAAGACAAGACAGCTCACAGCGTCCCAGTCGGTGGCTGCTGGGCCCACAGAAGCCTCAAGTCAAAGTGTGCAAATCAAAGTCAAAGTAGAGGGCAAGTCTGTGGCAAACACAGGCTGAACTAAAAACCTTTCCTCTTTGCCTCAGTGCACCCTGAGCTTCACGTTCCATTCACATCACAAAGCCACAAACTGGAAAGCAAACCTTTTGACGAGCTCCACGAGTTTGTAACTGGATTATCTGTCATTAGAACTAAGCCTGTTTCAGCGTTTTTTTTTTTTTTCTCTTTTTGGCCCCTGCTGAACCAATGAGGTGACCGGCCTCTCTTCAGACACGCTTAAATTGAGTCTATGTGGAGTCTGGTGTTCTGCTGTGTATGTACCACCTCAGCCAACAATAATGCCATAAAGAGCACTACAGGGAGATGCGAGTTAAAATATGAAAGGAAAAAAAAAAACGGCGAGAGATACAAGTACAGTTGGAGAAATGGGATCCCTCGGGGGTCTTAATGACAAAAAGGTTCTTGGAAATTCCTCCCATTACATGCAATAACATTTGTCCATTGGTCTAGGGTAAAAGAAAACACTCCAGACTTAAAATCACAATAGCTACAATATTTTTAGAAACCAAACTATGATAAGCCCTAAAATTAGAATTCAATTAGTCTTGAACAACAATTCACAGTGTGGGATAATAATCTTGTGTCGCTCCAGTGAAAAAATATTCCTCTCCGGTGTGGCCGAACAAAGACACAAGGGATCTTAAACTCATGTGAACATGCTATCCGCCCATGCATTTCTCAGTTCACATAATGGCACATATATTGCAAAAACAACTGGTGTGACCACAGGCCAATTCAATTTTTTCAGCTTCTGGAAACAAAGGCTTGTCTGTGAACCTCGCAAGGCCAGAGATTCTACAATGCCAGGAGACAAAACAAGAACTCGTTCTTTGTTTACAGCAGTCATTTCCTTTAACTTGGCTGCAGTTTGCACACTGGACCACTGGGACCTTCACTGCTACCATTTTATTAGCATGTGGTCTAAAACGAACTATTTCTCCGGTCAAGAGCATATGCTTTTCTTGAGTATGTCGCAATGTCGCTTTAAGACCCAAAGGAGAGATCTTTTCAGACAGGGCTTGTCAACACAACACCACGCAAAAAATACTACAGATCACCATGATTTAAAAGCAGGAGGAACCAGAGGTTAGTCCAAAACAGTAACCAATGAAATGGGGAAAAATAAAAGGAGAGCAGTTTTACATCTGAGTTTCTCATCACTGGTACAGCACATGTGTGGAGCTCCAACTATCTGGGACTTCCCTCCCTGCCGGACCTCTGCTCGTGGGAGTCAGTTTACTCCCTGCTGTGCTCGCCATCCTTTAATATGCTGATATAACTTACTGTAGAACAACACAGCAGTGCAAAGTTGAGCACATGTGCGGCATCAATCTAACTCAGTGTGAATGTGGGAAAATGGACGGTATGAGTTGAGATGACATCAGGCCACAGTATCTCAAAGCCCTGCCTGTTCAGTGTAAACATCAGCCGCCTCAGGAGTGTGAGGGTATTTCCAACCATTAATCAGTGTTTGTTTACCATGTTTTATTCCAACAACATGACACTGAATAGGACCGTCCTTAAAACACGAAATTAGACTATTATCTGGGGATTTGTTGTGGGAGCGGCATAGACAGGGATGATGATGCTTTACTTGGTTCAGTGATGAGCAATGTGGGATCCTGAAAGAACCAGGTCTGCTCCAAAAGGCAGGTTTACTGATAACTTTGCAAGTAAAACATAGAATATCCTGATATCCGGCCAGTTTTAGTCTCAAAGGAGACAAGGGGACAACCTTACATGGAAAACTAAAAAGCAAAGATACCTGATCGATTTCACTTCAAACAATAACAACAGAGACCAGTGAGCTACATCGCTGGTGATAAATACAGTCACAAGGAATTTTAAATGTTTCAAACCAGAATATTGTCTAATTTACAGTGGCGTATTTGGGCCACTGTAGGTAAGCAAGACTAGGTCAAAACCTAGCATACAGCTGGACTGGGGGGTAATATTGACTGAATATTCTCTGAGATTCCTAAATCATAAATTTGTGAGAAAAAAACTCCCAGAGATTACAATCACAAATTTAATGAAAGAAAGGAACCACTTCAGTTTCACTTTGCAAGGTTGGATCATTCTCATCACACAACAGACAGATATCGTGTCTTCTGCCTAGAGTGGATGACCTAATCAAATTATACTTTTCAATCGGATTTAGCAACAAGGAAATAGCCTACTCGTGATTTTAGCCCAGAATCACCATATTATCATAAGCATCCGGACGTTGAAGAGACATCGTCTTGAATTGGGTCTATAGAAGAAAACAACAAATTAGTCAGATTTGTGTGTGTGTGTGTGTGTGTGTGTGTGTGTGTGTGTGTGTGTGTGTGTTGCTGAGTACCTGACCAAACTAACTGACAAAGCTAGTTTGCGATGATGACACGTTTAAATTGAAAAGTCAAAAAGGGATATGGTCAACATATCTGACCTAACTCTTGATTGAAATGCTGTTTAATAATAGGGCTACAACTAACGATTTCATTACCAGTTAATCAGCTGAATATTCTTTAATTAACTTGTAATTTCTTTGGTCTATGAAATGTCAAAAAATAGTGAAAAAATTAAATTTATCACAACTTCCTAAAAGCCCAAGGTCAAGCCTTCAAATGTTTTGTTTTGTGTGACCAAAAGTCCAAAACCGGAGACATTCGCTTTACTATGTTTTATGACAATTCCGTTTACTATGATATATGACAAAGAGAAGCAGCAAATCCCCCCATTTGAGAAGGTGGAACCTGAGAAATTGTCATATTTTCTTTCATTATTTTTGCTTGATAAATGACTAAAAGGGTTAAATCAATTATCAAACTAGTTGCCAATTATTTTTCTGTCAACTGACTAATCCATTAAATGACTATTATTAAATAACTTCAGCTTCATTTAACCATGATGTAAACTGTGATGATTTTAAATGATATTTCATGAGGTCTGTTAGAAAGCCTAATTTGATTTTGGATATAATTGTATTTCCCACTCACACGAAACTGCATGAATACTTAAAACTCACATATTTCTCCATGCATGTACTGAGGGTTAAGACAGACTAATACAGACATCTAAAACTGACTGACTGATTGGTTAATGTTAAGGGTTAGGGATTATCCCCTGGTCCTCAAAAACTTGTGTGTTCAGAAATTATGTCACAGCTCATAATGTTGCAGTGACTTCCTGTTTACATAGTTGTTATGTAGCTTTTGACTAGATGACACTACAGATGTTTCCTTGCAACCAATTTAGATGTTTAGACATTTAGACAGTCTTTACTAGTTAAGATTCTCCTCATGTTTTAATGGTACAATGAGTTACTTAGAAAGGGCTTTATATGCAAACTGTATGTATATGTCACACATTTGACAACTCCGCAAAATGGATGGCACATAAAAATACTGACTCTGGATACTGCTATACAGGTGTGTGAGTCCACTCAATTACCAACATCCATTCACTTGTATTTCACTTGCTCTTACCTTAAAGGTTCCCCCTCATCCTATTACCACAGCTGGCTCCAATCAATGTGAATAAAATCTTCTCTTTTTTTAAATTCAAAGGCAGAGAGACATCAAACCAATTTTGTGGGACTTTGTCCCCCATCAAAGAAGTCTTAAAATTTCACCAGATTTTTTCTGATTAGTCGGTTGTTGGTTCGGGAAACGGGCTGTCATAAAATCCTTTGGAATGGTATGTCCTTACAAAATTCAACCAAGTCAAACAGCAATCTGATAAAGTATTGAACAGAACTAAAAATACCCTGCAAAAGCAGGGTTGTGGTATTTCTCAGTTCACTGTGCTAGAGTGAAGGTAACACTGCAGGGATAATACTTTGTGGTAATTTGTGTCAAGAAGGAAACGCAGCTCAAAACAAATTAATAAATTCAAATGAATAATTCCTGTGACCTGTTGCTGACTTAAAACAAGACACACATGGAGCTCCATCTCCAGCTCAAACCACAACTAGTACTAGCAAACCAAAGCACCAAAACCTTCCTTATTTAATAAGTTGAATAAAAATTAAAGGTAAAATCACCAGCTTATTACAATGATAGGGACAACATGGCTGTCTGAGACTTTGCAAAAGTAACCTAACCAAACACAACAAACTGGTTGTTGCTGTTGAGGTTGTCGTCTCGACTGTAGTCTGAATTTCTGACTGTGTGTTGCTCACTTTAATTCACAAGTACAGTGTATGGAAATCATCATAAATGTACCAGGAGGTCCAACACCGGAAATGATCCCAAAGTTAACTGTGGGTGTATGAAAACGTGCCGTATGGTTCAAAGCCCCCTGGTTGTCAGCACACTGGAGTGAGGGAGCAGCTCTCAGAGTGCTGATGCAGCATACCTGGTAGATCCTGGCAGCAACACTTCAAAGAGCCGTACTACTCTTTGAAACCCATCATACTTCACCCCTGTGGTTGCTTAAAGAGCCAGTGTGCTTAACAGTTTCAGTATGTTTGGCACACATTGTCATCCCGAATGTGTGTGGGGGGGACTCAGGAAATTCTGTGTTATAAGAAACAGCGCCGAGGCGAAATCAAGGCAATTTATCCTAATATCTTATTAAAGACATTTCACTGCAGTAAAAGGTGAACGCCAAACCAAGGCCTGGGAGTACTAAGGTACAAGAGAGCTTTTTGTATTATAAGCCAGTGACAAATGGGAAGATAAAGGGAACTATGTATTTTTTGGAGAGATTTAAAATAAGCTTTCTAACAAAAGCCACAGTATATTTCTCCTTTGAATTATTAATGTGAAATGTAAAAAGCTGAAATGTGAAGCTGAACTAAAATTTATTTTCTGATGAATGAAGTGCCAAAGCAATAAATGTAAAAGCAGAAATATTTAAAGGGAATGACAAAATTCAGAGAAGAAATGTACGATCCATCAAAGCACTGGAGCTCTAACCTGAAACAAGGGATCAGAAGGTGATTTTTGCTTCTTCAGTATCATATAGAAAGGTTACATGAGGCTATCCATGAAATTATAAATTCTATTAAAACTGTCTTTCTCGGTTTGTGGAAATAAAAACATTTTAAAAAGGGAAAAGGCCAGACATTCCTGGAATTCTCTGACAGCTCGATACACAAGAAAGGGCTGGACTGGAAAAACAGAGTCCAAGATCAGGGCCAAGCTGTCTGAGAGATTGTCACTCACGTATCAACAGAAAAATAAAAGGGTGGTAACCATTGACGCTGAACTCTCAATGAATTACACCCTCAATCGCCACTAGGTTTATTATCAAGGCCTGGTACCATACACCACAACCATGTGATCATATTCTGTCCTTGTGTTTCCTTCTTCTCTTCTCCGAGCAATGTGAGAGGGGTGAGGAAGGAGGAATTTCAATGGCTGCAGAGGCGAGAACCTGGAGCAGACAGACTAAATGTTGGGTGTTTGACATTGAGCACCCACCGCCAACCCCACCCCCACCGCCCCCACCACCCCTCCAACGCAATGTTTTAAGCTGCCAGCATGCTTCACACACTCCCGGCATTCAGCTGCCAATTCTACTGCTACTTAGCTTCACAAAACACAATTAAAAAGGGAACAAAATGCCCATTTCCAGGCACATATTGAAGTAGCTTTCCCAGAGAGGTGTTGGCACTCAGCAATCCTTTTCCAAAGACTAACAATCTTCAATCTAAAAAGTCGTCAGAGACCATTAAAAAAGCCTTTAGGTTCTATTGAGTGTGACCAAATAGGCTACCACAATCTAAGTGTCTACAGTAAAGACTTTTGTTAAGTTGATCACACACAAAATCCTCAGGACAGTAATTTGGCCTAAGTGAATAATACTTTAAACTGAATCCATCAATCTCCCATAACAACACTCAAACAACACAAGTCAAACACTCAACTACAGTGTGTTAAATGTTTAGGCCTCTTTTGACAGACTCTGAAAAACAAGAACGGCTGTGTCGATGTTCATCAGCACAGCATCTCCAACTCAAGGATCTCAAAGGAGAGATATGCTGTTTACCTTGGCAGTGAACCCCATTGAGACTGTAACGCACTATTCTCCCTGTGCTGCCTCGGGGGAGGGTGAATAAATAGTACACGTGAGCACAATGGTGAAATTTGACCAAAAGCAGGACTACAGCTCTTATAAGGCAGCAGAGGTGTGCTGAATGCAAATGTGGGGCAACAGAGAAGGAACTTTTGAAATAATAAAAATATATTGAGACATTACAGAATTGACACTTTTATCTTTCTCATATGGAGCTCATCTGTATCTTCTATATCCAACATTCATCATTCGTCTTTTTTGTGATCTATAAGGAATCTTGAAGAAAGAAAGAAAGAAAGAAAGAAAGAAAGAAAGAAAGAAAGAAAGAAAGAAAGAAAGAAAGAACAGAATAGTTTAAACTTATTTTCAAGTGGATCTTTTTTTAAACCAGATTTCCACCTTATTTCTAAAATTCCCATCAACTCAAAGATCTGCTTTTGCGTATTGTTGGTTCATGTGGATGTTTGACCTTCCCTGTACAGAATGATATACAGTATGCACATAGCTTGACACTAAAAGGCTGCTTTCACATTCATCTACTGAAGGGGGAAAGTTTTTCTGAATGTATTAAATCTGTTTGAGAGTCTGGAAGTCAGTCGTGGTCCAACGTACATGAAGCCTACAGTGCACATAAAGAATGGACTTTACAGTGAAGTAGGAGGCATCTTCTATCTGTTGGTTAAATATCAATATTTGCATATCCATACATCCTGGCTTTTATGAGGGAGAAGGAGTGAATGTAATTTAAAGAATTTCAGATCGAAAATTATCATTCAAAACATGTCCAGAGGGGACAAAAGAGACACTGATACATCAGTTTTTTCAGAATAAAAAAACAAAACAAAAAATGATTATCCCTGTGTATGACACATTTCTTTGGACTCACCCAGTGCTGCTAAGTAGATCTGTTCCAGAGTGAACAGCTTTCACGGGCCCTTGGGTCGTAGCAGCGGTATGCCGCAGCTTAGGGTTCAGCGTGAAGCACTCTCTGCTCAGCATCCTGTTGGCCAGGTTCAGACTGGTCAGCTGCAGGCAGAGGAGAAGACTTTAAAAGATCATTCGACTTCAACAAATTCATTGACATTTTCATTACACTTATTGTATTAGCAGGATGTTGGAATACAGTTGCTAAATGTTGAGTCAAGTCTGTGCTATCATAGCAATTGCTGCCAGCCAGTTCAGACAGCGTCTAAAACAATGGAAACGTATGATGAGTACATGCTCGTGTTTTGTTCCTCCCTACGTCGACCACTTCGTGCTCTTGTATCTGGGGGCTGTTTGAAATGTACACACAGCACATGGCACAGCTAGTCTCCACTCAGCACTAAATCCAGGTGGTCCCCTCCCCCACCTCCATCCCTAACAGAATCTGCAATTATGATTTGTCAGGCCAAATCTGTTTACAACCACATCAGCAATACTGAAGCAACTGCACCTCTGTACTGCTCTGTACCCTGGGAATTATGCTCGTTGCCGTAATCGAATGTTAGGATTAATCATACTGCTGTGGTGTTTTATTTACTTTATTTCCTGCTGTGTAGCACTAAATGTCCAATGGAAAACTTGTAAAGCAGCCAAGCCTTGTGCAGCATGAAAAATGTGTCAGCATGGTGTTACTCAGCTCCAGCCTTAAGTTACTTATTAAGGTAGAGTGGTTGCACTCTTAGAAACTATTGGCTCTAATTAAGAAAATAAAAACATATATGTGCAAGCAAACATGACAGGGCTTGTTGAAATGTCATATATAATTTAACATGTCAGAACTGGAATACATATGTACCATAATAAGCAGTTATTTACCACATATGTATTCCCATAATTCCCCATCGTCTAAAGGCATGCACTAACTGAGACAAAATGTTACAAGGATGTCTTAATGAAGTGTTGGACATAAAAATACACATGTACACACATGCTGGAAGGATTTAACACCATGTTTATGCATCACAGAACAGGAGTATACACACTTTATTGTATATATGTCGCCTAGCATGAGAGTGAGTAATTACTAAGACCTTAGAAGTCAACTAGTGTAACAGGGTGTTGTTCTTGTTTACAAAGTTCTCCATTTAGTTCCGCAAGTGATTTAATGACTTCAAATCTGAGCCCTAAAAAAAAAAAAAAACATGTACTCTGAGCCTTTAAGTGCAAGACACTGGACTGTTTTACTCTGAAAAATAAACTGCTGCCATGCCCAGGATTAACTATCCATAGGAAATACGGCAAACACCTTTCAGACAGACAGAATAATGTAGAGTCAAAAGGAAGCCATAAAAACTGCAGTCTGTGTGGTCTGGTGCCATCACAAAAAACTTTGACAGACAAAAAACCAGTGAGGCAGAGGCAGAGGAGGAGGAGGAGGAGGAGGAAGGAGGAGAGGTTGCGGGGCTCCCCACGCCGAATGACAAACCTTTGGGGAATATAGGAGAAGGTGGTGATGGAGCCAGTGAAGCTGCCGCTCCCCTGCTCAGTGCCAATTTGCCACATTCCTCTATTTATAAGCATCAATTACCACAAAAAAGTGGCTGCTTGTTAAGTATCAACAGAAATCACTCCCCCATGGTGCATCTGATAATGAGACCTCACACAGAGCTGAGGCTTGATGCGGCTTCGCCACTGTTTAGGCCAGCCAGCTTCAAACCCCAGTTCCAGACTCACCCCCGCACCAACCCCAGCCCACAGACGGCAGGCGAGCTGATGGCTGAAGGAGGAAGGTGCGCGGTAAGAGGCAGCAGACCCTCCGGCTCCGACAGGTCTGCTGAATGAATGCGCAGCGAGATGCCGCCCATCAGCATGGGGTCAGAGCCAGGTTTACACATCAACAAAGAGGAATATCAGAGACCTCACAGAGAGAGACTACTGCAGAGGGGCCAGATTCTTCTTCCTTTCATGAAACGTTGCACAGATCAGTTTACAGTTGCTTAATAACTCAGCATAGTTTCTTCTTCAAACACAGTGAAGCTTCCTGCTCCAGGTGGGTGTCGCTCTCGGCCCAGTGGGTTATAGAGGTTAAAAACATCGTGAACTCACGTGTTGTGTTAGCAGGTTGATGTGACCGGAGCTGGCGTAGTGGCGAGCAACCTGCTTGTCAGCCAGCTTCTGCAGGGCTGAAATGAAGGCGTGCTGGTTCGACTGGGCCTGGGCAGACAGGGAGTTTAACTCCTTAAAGGCCCCCACTGAGTTTGACTTCAGCTTACTGGAACTGCTCCTCCTGTTAACTGAAAAAGAAAATCGTAAGACAAATGAGAGAGCATAAGAATGAACAAGATAACAAGGTCAGTGCTTGAAGAGCTGAGCAGCAGGGAGCAATGTTTTTACCTTGGCCTGCAGATGTGGGTCTAGAGAGCTTCTGGCTATAGATGTGCGTGGCATTTGGGATGGAGGAGGGTGCCCCAGAGCCGGATGTGGATGAGGTAAAGGACTGAATCCTCCTGAGCACCTGGGGTTGTTGCCCGGTTGAGATTGTGTTGGAGCCGGAGGAAACAGCTGTCCGAATCGCTCTCGGGGGTTGTGTGACTACAGGGGCAGAGGTGTACGCAGGAGGGTCAAAAAGAGGCTCAGAATGGCAGAACTGAGACTTTGCCAAGGACTGCGCATAGGACGGCGGCTGAGGAGGTGGCGGCGGTGGCGGACAGTGAAGAGGCAGGGATGCTGGAGCAGGAGAGCAGTGCTGCAGATGGATATGTGTGCAGTCTAAAGTCAGAGGAAAGCTGGAGCAGTGCTGAGACGCCTGGACATCTGGCTGGGTTTTACCAGTTCCAACCGCTGCCTGTTGTTCTTCAGACAGCGCACGTACAGGAGGTTGAATCTCAGCGGCCTTGATGTCTGGGTCACTGCTGACTTTCCCTGTGGAGAGCGAGGACTCTGAAGCGCTGGAATCCTCTTTGGCCACAGGCAGAGCTGTTCAAAGGAGGAAAGAAGCCAGAGCTCCTTTATCATCAGTTAGCCATTCCTCGGCTCTGACACACATTTGTTTTCCCCCAATGAGTGCTAATCATTTGAAACTGACCTTTTCTTCACCCCAGATGACTCAATCCTTTTCCCTTAACTTTTTTTTTTTGGAGTTCACAAATCTAAACAATTCCTGTTTACTGTGCTTGAATGATAAAATATTAAACATAAACCAGACTTACAGTAACAATATGAAAAAAAAAAACACAGAAGGAACTCACTTTTGGAATTCTCATAGTCGCCTGAATGTCCTGAGGCATTAATTTCATGAACGTCTTTCTTAACACTCCTGACTTTTGTTCCTAGGAAGACGGTGGCTGATTTATTTTTCTGTGTGTAGAATGTCAGTACTTCCTCCAGATCGTTTTCACTGTTAATAAAAACAGGAGATAAATGTGTATAGCAGATTGAGATCACTCTTCACTCAGTAGCATATATAACTGGAATGGTAAAGAGCCAAACCCTGAACAATGGTGAGTGGACTTGCCAATTCACTAACCTTGCTGCAGTGATGTACTCCTGAAATACACTGGGGTTAACACAATGTTCCTCTTTGCTATTCTCCTGTTTTTTCACCATATGTTCAGTTTCCTGAGGAGATAAGAAGGAATAAAGCAAGACATATAGTGGTTTGTTGCACAATTTCTCCTGTGTTTGCCTCACCTCCATGTATGTTGTAATTCTTAGGTCAAATCAGTTTCTGGGAATGGGTACCTTGTTGTAACAGTGGATAAACTCTCCTAACTGGTGGGACAGGATGCGTCTGCGGTCTTGAAGTGGTAACTGGCGACTGGGCAAGACCACCTTAATGTCTTGTTGAAGGTTACTGGCTGCTCTTTTCAAGAAGCGAATCACCAGCTCCTGTGCAGACAAAAAACACACTTGAGAAATCTGTCATTATCACAGCCCTGAATCACTGATTCATCATGTCACACTTATTCAAGCTGCCTGTGTGTGTGTGTGTGTGTGTGAGTGTGTGTGTGTGTGTGTGTGTGCTCTCCTTTCAGCATTCAATGCCATTTAAAACACCGAAAGCTTTGAATTTAATGGCCTAGAGATCTGCCTGAGTTTGTATTCATTTTCCCCAAAGGTTTGAGGTTACTGATGATGATGTATGCCATTACAATGCAGACTTTCCAATCAGGCTTACTTTTACAGAGACCACGTTTTCCTTCTATGTGGCCACAAATGCCTCGTGCACGTTTCTGCTAAAGCCAGGGTACAGATGAGTAAGAGAATAATAATGAGGGGAACTCTGGCATATATATACATACAAAGGAAACAATGCTCCAGGGTATTCCACCCATGTCAACTTTGTTAGGAAGAGCAGATTAAAAATGGTTATCATTGTACCATTTGGTCGTCATCCTTCTCTGGCCAAGTTGGATTAGTGTTGGCTCTGCTCTCTGCTAACAGTCTTTGCTGGACTCGCTGCAGGTATGAGGAAAAGGCCATCCGGGCCTGCACCTTACTGGAGAGGAAAGGGAAAAGCAGAAGAGAGAGAGGAAAATCATCATGGACTGCAAAGGTAAAGCAATGGAAAAGAAAAGACGCAACAACAAAGATTATCCACTAGGTCTTCTGTCAGTTTGCTTCAAACTGACATTAAAGACTATTTTGTTATGTCGGAATCAGTGATACATCTGTTACAACAGAAAGAACAAGCATTTATACTCATTCCATTTCGCTGACATATCATCCAGCAAAAGAGAGAAAACAAAAACACATATGTATCACTTTCAGCCAGAAGTTGTTCAAACACAATGTATCTTGTTCTGCACCGGCATCAAAATGATAAGCTGTCTTCGTGGCCCAGGTGAACCTGGAAAGAGAACTATCAGAACATTGTAGTCGAAAAAAAAAAAAGAAAAAAAAAGAAAAAAAAGAAAAAAAAGGAAAAAAAAAAGGTTTTGGAAATAGCTGTCAAACACAAACAATGATATGCTGTACTATAATTTCCTTGCGTCAAGCACTGAGGAATTTCTACAAACTCAGACTTGTTATTGTGATTCCTCTGTAAATTATAATTTCAGGCACACTTTTAAAATCGACAGGAGACCACAGTCTGATTGAGGGATATATTAAAAGTTAAAATGGAAAATATTATTTTTGTTTGTGTATCATTTTATTTCTCAGTCAATTATTATCCAATCATTAGCTAATATAGGTCTGTGGCTTTAACTGGTACTGAACTGAAAGGTTTTATCACCCATTTCTTTTACTAGTTGTTTAGAAATAATTAAATATTCCGGCAAAGAAGGCCTGAACCTCTTCTCATCTCCTTCACTGGGAACATAAGCATTTCTCCTTCTAAAAGAGGGAAGTGAGGGAGAAGAAAATACTGTAAGGGAGGAAGATGAGAGCAGCAGCCAACCTGAGCAGCAGCCCAGAACACAGACTGACCTGAGGTCCCAGCCCTGCTGAAGGATGTTGAGCAGGTTGACTCTGGGCCTGGCATTGTGCGTGGCTGCCTCTGAGCTGGACAGAGCCTCGCCGTGGCAGCACTCCAGTGGTGTGGCCACTTGTTTTCTCTGCTCTGCTACCAAATCCTTGTGTGAGACTGGCTTGAGAACTTGTTTCACCTCCTCTCTTTCCTCCTGAGCGCACTCCTCTCCCTCTTGACTGCTGCTCTCAGTCGGGGAGGCCTTGGATTCCTTCCCTGAGGTATGCAGCATTGCAAGGAAAGACAAATGTCAGTTGCATCACTGGCATTTTGGATTAGAGACACGGACACACTCAAAATAGGCTTTTTATTGTTGCTGCAATGAAATGAACTCATTCAGAGTCATATTTGGCCAACCTCACCGTGACACAGGGGAGTTATTTATTGGAACCAAAAGTGTATTAGCATGCAATGTTGTCCCACTTAGCTACACTCTTCTCAGTTTTAGAAAAAAAAGCAGTTTCCTGAGCTGAGGCAGAAAACATCAGGCCTACCCGATTTTTTCTTCCCTGCAGCAGAGCGATGAGTCAGGTGGCGCTGTCTCCTCTTACGTGCCTCAAGAGACAGCAGCTTCCTCTCATACTGGACAACGTGACAGCCATGGACGGCGTCCACCTGCAGCTGCACATTCCCATTCACATTCCTGAGAGACAGAACAAGAAATGTCAACACAGTGGTGATAACAACAACAATAATGATTTATACATATATCATCAACAATTACAAAGTACTTTGCAGAGCAATACTTATAAATTTTAACTGAAGCCAGTTCTGAGAAAGATTAGTGTGGTTGAGTAGCTGGTCCAGAAGTTGACATGACAGACAGTGATGGTCCAAAGGAGAGAGGATAAATGGCAAATAATAAAAGCAACTGAGGTCTGTAGCAACAACCGTCTCACTAATCTGGCTTCCTAATGAATATGGAAAAATCATAGATGGGCTTAGTTGGGGGCCAAATCTCCAGACAATATTGCACAACAGTCAAAGCTGTGGTTAAAACTTGAAAGCCCGTACTGATTCAAATAACATAAATGCATGTTGTATTAAAATAACAAAAATGTGGTTCAATAAAAAGACACAGTTCATCTGTAACTGTCTTTCCCCCTCCCGCCCCCAAATCGACACCACAATGCCACATAGACACATAGACATTGGGCGCGCTGGAAAAGTTGACTGTGCTTCATCTTTTCAGCTGTTCCCCTCACCTATCCAATCGAAAGACCAAACAAACGCCACGTTCGAATCCAACCGTTTCCACAAACTGATGGAGAGATTTATTCCCCAATCCCGACCACAATGGAAATGCTTACCTTCCATGGAAAAGTCTGTTTGCCAACATGTAGTTCATTGATGTCTTGGACTCCAGATATCCACTGAGAGAAGAAGATAATGAGCAAATTACAATAATCATAAAGGCAGCGGCCCCATTGAGCCTTGACCACCTTATTTTGCGGCAAATGTGTTAAAATGGGGCTTCTGTGATATAGCTACTCTGGAAGCAGCCGCTATTAAACGCACCAATAATTTCCCAGACTGCTCAATAATATGCTTTTTAAAATGCCACAAAATCCCTGCTGCTAAGAGACCCGTGGATCTAATCAAGCAACATATGCTCATATAGGAATATGAGTTGTAAGCACAAAAAGGGATTTCCTCTCTAATAGGAGTTTCAATGCCATTTCGACAGTAACTCACTGTGGGATATAAGGCTTCCTTGGAACATAATACACAGTTCAACAAATACGTTCTGACAACAAATAAGTCAGTAAATTTGTAGCCACACCTTAGTCTGGTAGTTAGTAATTAGACACAGTCAAGAGGAGTCATGGTCTGGCTTTAGGAACTGATTGCATTCATTTAGCCTAAATGTCTACTCTTATTTGAGGACACATATTAATAACATTATAGATAAGCACCCCTTGGGGATTGCAAGTGATCTGTCCGCTCCTTCTTGGCTCAGCTTACCCATAGAGCTCCCATGTTTCTGCAGTGGGAAAGATCCTAATGAAGCCTCCTCGTCTCTCATATTCCTCCTTTATTTTCCTCAGAACTTTGATCTATATTTGTGAGAAACAAAAGAAATTTTCTGAAATAGACTCAGCTTTAAATAGAGTTTTCAGGTTCCTATAATGTCTTAATTTAGCAGAATCGCACACATCCTGTCACACACCACCGTTATTACCTCCTCAGCTGTCAGGCTCAGGGTGCTGTCTCCTTGGCCTTGTTTAGCACCTTGTTGGTCTTTTGATGCCTCTGTTTCTGTGTTACTGGCTGATGAAGGCCTCTGTCGCTACAGGGGACAAGAGTAGAGACAAAATCATGCTATATTGATACCCACCATGTGATGCCATTCATCTTTCCAACACATATACTTCACAAAAAATAACTGGGTGGCTTCATAATTGTAAGGAATTTAATTGTGTTCTGCGGTTTTTAAAGCAGTCTTAAATCTTTGGCGAAACTGTTTAACATCTTCAAACTTCTTCAAACATAATTCTCATTTATAAATGGAAAATGTGCAAACTGCACCTTGAGTAACAAAAAAATACCCTCTCTTCTTTTCTGCCTGTCACATAAATGGAGCATTTTGTTATACGCTGGCATTCCTAACTGTCTCCCCGCTGCATGCACGACCAGGCTGTGATTGACAACTTTGGCATGCAGGTTGGAACTTGGGCCAGACAGCACGGCGCAACCCCACGGGATCACATACAGAATTTGTCATCTAAATAGCAGGGGGATTACGTTTAATTTGTCTGACGCGGCTGGGGGGATACAAAGGCAGCCAAAAAGTGACAAGGCCTAATCCCGCTGAAAAAAGTCTCAACTGCTGCCCCTAATCAAAGTAAAGAGAGAGGACAGGTTCACCGTAGGCCCCTGGAGTTCTTCAACAGCCTCTGTGACAACCCTGGTTTAGTGTCAGGCTTGTTTTAGATTTAGGTCTGAGTAACCGAGTTTCTCTACGGCAAAGTTTCTGACTTTTTGAGTCAAGTGGTGCACTGCAGCATTTGAAGCACTCGCGTACTAACAAAAAGCCACTTTGCTAATGTAATGAAAATTCTATTAAAATAAAGCATTAGGGATCGATAGAAGCCGTCTGTCTGCCACTGTGAAAGACGGTAAAGCCACATAATCAAATGAGCAAAAAGCAGAAAGCAATTTCTTACCGGCAATGTAACAGGCATCAGGGAATTGCAAAGGGTCAAAGCAAAAGAAGATTAATATGTCTGAGTCCGAAGACAACTTACCACTCTGCTGTGTGCAGTGGTCGGTGCAGAGAAAGGTTTCTAAGAGACAATGGGTGAAGACAGTGAGTTGTGGGGGAGCACAAGCATTACCATTGCATTACCATGCATGCTACATCAACATGCAACAATGAAACTTTGTTAGTGTATGTCTAAACAAATCCTTTACACAATCTAAGGTGGAGCAGAAATCTGTCTGATTTAGTAATCTCCCTCCAGCAGACCCTGCGCCAAATCTGGGTGCAGTAGTCGAGTGGAGGGAGCCAAGTGCATTAGCTGTTGTGGCATCATTAGGCAACAAGGCCTTGAGAGAGCATTAGTCACTTGATTAGAAGTGATAAAACAATAAGCCACAGAGAGTAGCACTTACACACTGATGTCACTCAAACACTGTAATTACATTAGCAGTTGTTTTGCATTACAGTGAATTTTCCATGAGGGTAAGAGAAGAGTGACAGTGGCAGGAATGTACTGTAAGCAACAGAGATGAACACAAGAATGGGAATGTTTCACAAGGAAGGGTGAATGAGTGCAACACTTGGCTTGGCTCTTTGCTGTGTGTGTGTGTGTGTGTGTGTGTGTGTGTATGCGTGCGTGTGTGTGTGAGACTCCAGTACCTGTGTTCTTGGGGCTGCTGGGTGTTTCAGGCTTGGGTCCAGGGTGACTCGGTCAGAGCGTGGCTGTCTCGACAGGGGGTCCTGACACACAAAGCCTGCAGAGGCACAAAGGAGTCATAAGGGGGTATATGAATAACATTAGGTCTTAAATATGTTCATTCCCACGACCTTCATACCGTATATTACATCAGATCTTCAATGTTTGTGCAAGAAACCAAAGTAGAACGAGAGGCACGAAGGCAATAAATTACATGGGATTCAAGATCTTTACGAATATCATGCTAATTCTAAGTTACATTTGCTTTCACATCTTTTTAGGCAGAAACCGAGGAAATGTTTTAATATAGTGACAGACTGCTGCCCAGTACAACAAAAACCTCAATGTGATGTGGACCACTGACTGGGTTCCTTGCTTGAAGGCATAGTTTGGCAAATATGCTTATTCACATTCTTGCTGAGAGCTTAAAGAGAAGAATGATACCAATCTCTCTGTTACATATAACACTGCAGCCAGCAGCCGGTTATCTTAGCTTATCACACAGAATGGAAAAGGAGGAAACAGTTAGCTTGGCTCTGTCTAATAGTAAAAACATCTGCCTACCGACACCTCTAAAGCTCATTAATTAACACATAATATCATGTTTGTTTAGTCCATACGAAAACCTTAAGTGTAAAAACAATTCAACTCTTCATGGGGGTTACGTGTTGGACTCTCACTTGTCTCTGAGTGCTTGCTAGTTGACCAGTGGAGACTGAGAAGTTACAGCTCGTAACGCACCGCAGTAAGTAAAACAGCAAATGGTCATTTTTATACTTCAATTATTGTCCATTGTACAAAAAAAAAAACAGATAAAAACATGTCGATTACTGAGCTTTAGAGTTGTTGCTTGATGGTTACCATTGGACAGATGCAAGCAAGCTGTTTCCCCTTGTGTCCAGTCTTTATGCTAAGCTAAGCTAACTGAATGCTGGCTACAGCCTCAGGTACAACGCACATGAGAGTGGTATTTATGTTGTCTCGCCGCCAGGAAGAAAATAAACATATTTCCTTCCTATCCCCTCAACTTTGTAGTCTTTGTACTCTCGATTAATAAATCTCCAAACATTTACATTTAAGTGCATCACAATGGTAGTTAGGAGGGATGAGGAAAAATGTTGGTAATTCACATTTCCCACTCGGATGTTCCCACCCTGTCAATACGATTTAAATCTATGATCTTCTGTTTATTCATTCCCACACTCCACAAAGCTAACCGATGGTAAAGTGAAATGTTACAGAAGCGCAGTATGTTTATGTTGTATCTTACAGCTATACTTGGGTTGAATAATGTCTATTGACAGCTTGGAGCTCCAGGCTATTTGTTCTACCTGATCCAAGCCGTCAGGTAACAATCAGGCCCCTGCCATGCTCTTGCCTAAACACAGCAATTATTACAAACATGGGCGACACGGAGCTGACAGCTATACACAGGCGGAAAATGAATGCTAATGGAATGCTGTCATTATTTACAGGTCTGGGATGCAGCCCAAGTGTTATCAGCCAAAAGCGACTTAGTTTGTTTGGTACATAATAGATGTGCTATGTTTTACATGCCACTGCTCATTTTCCCCAGGCCCGCAGTAACGTCTCAGTCCAAAGATAACTGGCAATTTATGATTCTACTCTTTCATTTAATGAGCCGGAGGGGAGGGTTTCAAGCCACAGCATGGCCTAGGCCGAGACACGCACGTATGTGTGAACGCACGTGCACACACACACACAGGCACGCACACATAATAGCCATTCCTTTAATATCATTAGGCTGAGACCACAGATAGGCCTAATGTTTGAGTGCCAGTTTCGATGGCTGCCAGCTAATCAGCGGGCTCCATGTCTACTGTGATTGGTAATAAGGATAAAGCAGAGGATTCAATTAAATAATCAGGAGATGTGAAAGTTTGGCTAATATTTGTCTCTTTTTTACAACGTGAATACTTTTAACTCTAATCTATGAGGATAAGGCAAGCTCTCTGGTGTATGTGGTCGTGGTCAGGTTATGAGACTCTTGTTGGTTTTAACTTACATATCACAAAACATTGTAAGCTCTTTTTCTGTATGAGACTTCAATAATTAAAAAGGGAGGAGACATAACAGAGACACATCTCATTCCCTGCTGCAAACACTCTTGTATAATCAGTGTTTATCTCTGCCTTTGGCCAGGTATCTTTTATTTCTTCATGCTAAAGATTGCTCTATTTGACATGTAGGATCCAGTTTCTCAAAAGAGCTTAATGACTTCAAAACAACTAAGGCCTCTGTTGACAATTTAGTCCGCAAGTCATTTAATGTTAATTAACGATGGCTGCGGTTTATTCTCTCAACACTGCGGCTCCCATTATGAAGCCAAACAGCTATTTTCGTCGGTTTGCGCAAACTCTACGAGAGGAATGCAGGAGAACATTAAGCATTAAAACAATAGACGACTGTCTCCGTCAGCTTGAAACCTGCTGGTAACAGGAACGGCCGACTAGCATCTATGCCTTTGGAGTGAGACTGGTGAAGAAAAAACAGCATAATTACAGCACTTTTGATTTTATATTAGCTTCTCCAAAATTAACATATTTATCCCAATTATATAATTTTGCAATGAATAATCTGTATTGCGCCTCAAGCAAAATATTTTTTCATTCCGATCTGAAAGTATGAGCAATCCAAAATTTTAGCTTTAAGTATTTGACAACATCTTGATAGGCAGTGTAAATTGTTTTGAAGCTCTGAATATTAGTCAGTCTATGTTATTAAAGTTGTTGACTGCTGTTAATATCCAGATGTTCCAGTTGAATTCTGCATTTTGAATTTTTTCATAATGTAGGCTCTGTAATCCTAATATTTTTTCCATGACTTTTAATGTGCTGTATTTACCAAATGTTTTCCCTGCTCTGTTAATTATCCGATGGTTAACAAATGTAACTTCACATGGAGAAGCATAAGGCCACCTTCTGTTCTTAGAGTTTTGAAGCTTTCTTACTTATTAGATCTACTTTGTTTCACCAGCATATCATTTACAAGTGTGAAGGATGTATAACCACTGAATTTACACATACTGAATATCTATGAAGTACAAACATCTTGGCACCAGAGGGAGGTTGTATTTAGTCATTGTTTCAGCACGCACTCACCCACAAGCGAAAACATGTCTGCAATCATGCTGGCCTTTATCTTCAGATCCAAGGGCGCATCGCTGTAAATAAGTGGATGTCAAAAAAGAAACAAACACAAAAATTGCAACACATTCACATGCACAGGGTAGAACCAAATGAGTCAACTGTAAGAGGATACAGATTTGTTGTCTGACTTTGACTAAACTGCTAAACTCACTAAACGCTTTTGTAGAAGAAACAAATTTAGCTACATCTCTAGCATGACGGATTGTTTTCAGAAACTAAGTGTGAGTGCCATTTCCCACATTTTTTTTTACTAATCTCTTGCATATTAAGAAGAAAAACAAATAATAAAAAAAAACCTGTTTGAGTTGATAGGGTGAAATCAATATTCCCAGTAAAAGATTCTCCTAAAAGAACAAATGAAAGAATCAAACACTCGAGACCGTGTCACTCACCAAGCCAGAGAGGGAGAAAGGTTCACCTCTAACAACCACGGTTTGAGGTTGGAGTCAATGAGCACATCAAAACCATACAGCTCTGCAGAGGGAGACACAAAATGAATCAAAAGGTTTTCACCACAAACTGGGAAGTCGGCAGAGAGCGGCGGAATTAGAAACCTCTCTGATCTGCTCCCTGAAAATAAAGGATGAAGGGTATCAAAGTCACAAGCGTTTCCAGAGTTTTATCATAGCCCCATTATGTGGCATTTGGCTTCAGGGTCTATGTCTTTCTGCTACTGATTACACGCATGTTATATACCCAGTCACTCAAGAAAGAAACATTCACCAAAGTCTGCTACTGAGGGATTGGCTCAATTAAATTAACTAAGTACATACACATTTCATCTGTCATGAAGTTGCTTATGTAAGATGGAAGATCAAAAACAAACCATGGCTGTGAATGTTTTCACACATACAGTCAATGATTTTCTCATTACAAGGGAGGTTAAGCAGTCTACATATTGTCACTATATATTAACAAGGACGGCGCTCTACCGGCTACCAGGAAAAGCACAACCGCCCTCATTAAGTTAGTGTCTTGCCCAAATTTAGGGAAATAATTATGAACTCCAGAAGTATAAAGCTGGAAATGTGATGGTGTGTCCCAAATGGCAGAAATCTGGGGAATTACAAAGCCATATACTGTATATATTTCACTCCACCAACAGCTTTGCACTGAGTGACACAATAAAAGTCTTTAACAAAGTGGTCAGGAAGTTCCCCGTGTAAAAATTCGTTCAATCAATCCCAATTTTCCCTCTTGTTTCACTGACTGATATATGGCTCACTGTGATTGAGTCTGCCTATGTGCCCTGTGACAGCCGTCACACTGCTCTGGGGAGTGTCACCCTATAAGCCAACGACCCGCCGGCCCCAGCAGCAGCGTGCAGGGAAACCGCAGTATTTTACAGGGATAGGGCAAAGCCCAGCCGTAGAACCAGAGGAAAAATCTTTCTAATGGCACTTCAAAAGAACAGACTGTGTTGAGAATAGGCCAGGGGGCTTGGGAGTTTCAAAGCTGCCATAACCAGCACTGTTTGTTCTAGGATCTCAGGTCAATGCCTGTGTTAAGCATACAAAAGCCAGCGTGACAGCATGCAGTGGCTTGATATTGCACTTGGTTGAATAACGTTGAGCAGTTCCAGATTAACAGAATGAGTTAAAGTTATTAGGCTGTACATTACTTTATGTAGTATATATAAACTGTTATTCATAACTGTTTTAGGATTTTATCCGAGGGCACACTTTTGCACATGCCACATTAGTTCATTTTTTCCTGTTTTTTAAATTCATTAAATAATAAGTAACAGTGCATTAATATTTGAAAAAAGGTAAAGTTTCAATGTCAGTGTGCTGCAGGGGTTTATATTTACTTCTTTTCATTTCAAATCAGGGGGCCAAATATTTTTCACACAGTAAATACTATTTACCTACCACTGCTGTACACACGTGTTTTTATTTAAGATTGTAACATTTCCTTAAAGCACATCTTTACTTCTGTTTTCATTATCTGTATTTAGAAAATCAACAGGGATTTTCTTCTGCGTAATTCACTGGGCTACTGTATATCACATTATTTGCGAGTTCAACCTATGGTAGTGCCATGAGCTCCAAATTGGTATAACTGCAAACTGTATTTTCATGATGGAACTGAACAACGTTTGCCATACATCCCTGAGCCAAGACCTGCAACATAAGCTGCCACTGCCATCTAACTTCTTAAACATCTCAGGATGGGCTGGACCCCCACTGCTAAACAGTGCTCACTTAGAGCACAGCACTTAGATATTATTTTCCACTTGCAGGCTTATCCCATTCTATCCACTTTTGTATAAAAACACACACGCACAGAAGAGAGATGGAGAGTGTGTGTGTCATAAAACATTATGCATTAGTCTTGGGGAACATAGCACTGGAATAAATGGGTTTGAGCCTGCAGTGCCTCATCAGTGGCACCACAACAACAGGGGAAAATGGGGAGGTGTTACACCACCTCACCAGCCCCCGACATGTAGGCTCCATGTGCTGCGCATTTTCCCCCAATTAGGAGCAGACGCCGCTCCTGCCCCATGAGCCTGCAGAGCTGCTCGCTGCTAGACACGTTTGTTCTGTGGCTCAACCGCTGCCGGGGGAGCGCTGTTAAATGCGCCGCAGAGAACCCACAACAAGCATCACAGACAAGGAGAGGAGAGGCAGCGAACATGCACATCACACCCATTAAAGAGGGAGGGAGAGAAAAAGTGTGACAGAGAAAAGGGATGATGAAGAACATTTTTTTTTATTATTGGATGGGCGCTGCTGGAAACTACACCACAAGAGACAAACGCCCAAAAACAATAATCTCCCCACCCTGGCCATGCAGCCTGTTGGCCCACAACAACAACAGCAACATTAAGTATTTCCTTCATGTGTGTTTTCTTCACAGGCGAGGACAATTGAATTACTCTTGCATCATTCTGAGATAAATTATTGCTGCTGAACTGTTTCTCAGCTGTTGCAGGGAGCACAGCGGTGCAGCTCGGAGCCACGATCATGAAAACACTCTGAGGACAACAAATTAAATGAATACAGTTAACACTCCATAGCCTTATTATGATAGCAAGACCCAATCCATTAATCATTCTTAAAAAGACTCAGTTATACAGCAGCCACACTGTCATCACAGAGGGATGCAAACATTGAGCTGAGGAGAAGTGTGGGAGTATCTGATAAATGTAAAACAGGGAGAGTGGTTCACAGACGGGGGATCCAACCACACTCAGCACTTAATGAGGGACATTCAGTGGAACACAGGACCAGTAAGTGGAATGTTTTGTGTGTAATAAAATAGGCCTTTGGCTTGGCTAATCAGATCTTAGTCAAAACATCTCGTAATCAGCATCCCTCAGCAAAAAGACTGTCCATTAATCACACAGCAGCGGTAAGGAGCTGCATGGGTGGCATTTTCTCTCCACAGACACACACACACACACACACACTCACACACACACACACACACTCACACACACTTCTTACCAATGTAAAATGAAAAATCTGTTGTTTTTATTTCTTCCCACATGAGACATTACAGAGCTATAAAAAGATTTTGTTACAATATGCCCATTTAGATACGCAGTACAATTTGAGCAAAGGGAAGAAATCCCATTTGAAAACAATAAACATTGTATTAAAGCCATTAATAGACATTAAAATGGCAGGGAACAATTTGCAGTAAATTAAGATTATAATGTGCTTTATGGTCTTGCATGGCTCCCTTCCAGACAAGCCAGAGACTGTATAAAACCTCTAAACAATGGCTGCTTTTATCAGCACGTTAACTGCCCCGACACACATGTATTTGCTGCCCTGCGTTCTGACGCTTTACCTGTTTACTATTACAGGCAGCTGTTCAGGCCCAGGATGAAGGCTTGGTGTATTGTAGGCTGTGAAGTGAGAAAGTAAGGATAAGTGCAAGAGGAAAGAATCTGACAAGGGGCTGACTGAACATGACTCCTTTGTGGTTTGGGTGGGTTTTATTTTCATTTTATTTAGAGACAAGTAAAAGACCACAAAGACACTAGACTGGACTCCCTCAAGCTTAGACAGACCTGTGTGTTTGTAAAAACTCAAGCTCTACACTGGTTCCGACATGTCTCTGTATTCATACTGCCCATACATACTCACACACACACAGAGAGTTTGCATGCAACATGACCACACCGTGAGAGACAGATCAACAGAGGGAGGATGAGGGTGGTCCTCTGGAACCGTCAGTGTCTGTCTTTGGAAACTTAATCCTGTAGACAGACTATGAATGCTGTAATTAACTTGCTTGGGGCCATCTGAAGACAACAAAATTACATTAACTTCAGTAGTAAACTGATACCGCTGAAGTAAGATTATGGGCATGTTCACAGCAGACCACAGTGTATTATGTATCTAGTCAAAGGTGTGGGATCTAATTGCTTTTGCACCACACAATGATATCGGTATAGTATACATGTCTATACAGGTCTGAATAGGCTTCCATGTAAAAAGGGCTACCGTTTCTACACAGATCACTCAGTACAGATGTGTCATTATTTTGTTGTTAAATGCTTCATTTCAAATTAACTTTGGACATTTGGACAGAAGAGCAATATATAATATATTGTATATTTACTGAGAATATTTCCCATCAATCTGCCTACAGATCTGCACAATGTAGGCTAACATTACATTTTCAACAAAAAGATGGCTCCAGTATAGAGTCATCAGCAGGCTTGACTGATTCATTCCATATTTTGTCCCTTTTCTTCTACATTCTGATGTCTATACTGTATATCTACTGTTAGCAATATCAGATGAGTCTGTTTATGCAAACTATGTGTAAATTTCTTCTGTGGGGATGTGTATAAACAAAAAAAAACAAAATACAGGTGTATCTGAGTGAAAGAATGAATGAGAATAGGAGCAAACTTGTTTTTCCCTTCCTGTTTTTCACTCCCACACCAAAGATATGTGTCAGCTGGTTGTTTCTTCACATCCCTCAGGTGTTATGAAAGCCAGGTTGAGACTTGGTAAGCCACATTTCCCTGTAAATACCTGCATGGTCAACATTCATACCCTGGGTTAATGTGGTTTTTCAACATAGGAGTGATGCTCATATGCAGATAGCATCTTTTTGCGGGCGACTGTCTGATGGTGTGAGATGCTGCTACGTGCCCAATACAGGCCATACGGGGGGTGGGGTGTATTATGTCTACAGAAGCCTGTCACAACTGCAAAGCCCTTTATTTTTCTAACATCTGAGAGGTGAAAAAGAGAGTGAGCAGGGGAGGGAGAATGATAAACAAACAGAAACAGCCAGAGAAGAGGAAAAAGAGAGTGAAAAAGAGACAGCGGTGCTGAGGGAGGCTCGGCCAACGTGCTCGCTTTCAAACCCCAAATCTCAGAAAGACTGCCAGACACAGAGAAAGAGCGCAGACAATTAGTGCCAACACTAACATGGGTAATGGCTCCAAAATGGAGTTCACACGAGCCCGCTGCTAAGCAGGAGCAGCCAAGAAAACAGTCAGCCTAAATCAGGCAGACCTGAATGGCAACAGAGGAGAGGAAGCGAATTCCTGCTTCAGGCAACAGGCCCTCCACGACCCGGCAGCCAGTCAGAGGGCAGCAACATACAGGAAGACTCCACACTGAGGAATGACTGTCTACAGCCTCAGCACAGCTCAGTGGAGAAATAGTAAGGAGGAACTGCTGGACAATGAATCTGAAACTGAAAGGAAATGTGAGGGGTGTGGTAGCGTGTATGACTAAATATGTGTGAGTGTATCTGCAATGTGAGCAAAAATGGAATTTGTCCAGAGTTTAGATTTCCATTCATAGGAAATTCTTGTGAAGCTGCAGATCTCAAGAGCTTCACTTTGTTGTCCTGAACAGCTTGTTGTCCATAACCAAAACTGGCTTCTATTACACACACAGCAGGGTTTTCATGTTCATGTTTGTTGGATTAGATTGGTATTCTTACTGCCAAAAACCATTTTAAGAAGAATATGAAATGATTACCAAAGCAGTTTGTCTTGTGGGGAACAAACATCTTGCAGGCGGTGGCTATCTGTAGCTCAGCACTCAGAACAGCTTTGACGATGAGATCTTCTATTTGTCTCATCAGCACTGAAACACACAATAAGGAGCTTCATTTACATTTTTCTGTATAACACTGCAAGAATGCTTTTGTTTGCAGGGGTTGAGAAGTGAACTACAAACTGAGTAAATTTTATTTCCACCATCTTTGCATGGATAGTACAAGCACAAGGAAAAGGTGAAGGTTTGACTCACATGTGGTGTCCTTCCCCTCCTGCTTCAAATACCTCAACACTGCACTCATACTCCACTTGTTCCCATAATCCTCAACTTCAGGGTCATCGCAGCTGAAAAGGAAGAAATGCACTTCAAATGCTCAAGTTATAATGAGTAGATGAGTCACTCGGGCTTCCCATAAAAACGGCTCCACATTGAGTGCATGTTGACCACTGATGAGGCTTACCTGACATAATCGCTGCTCTTTTTGTTCACACTGTAGTTGGTGAGATGCATGAATGTGTTCTTAATGTTCTTGGAAGTCCGGTCATACTTTACTGTGGCAAACCTGTGCACACACACGGTTTATTTGTACAAGAGAAAAAAAAAAAAACCTTAAGCTGTCATCCAACAGTTTCACTACATATCTATCTGCCATAATGACCACATTCATGAGGCTGCCACTTAACTGAATAATAGGGGCACTTTGAGCAGGGATTAGTTTCTGGCAGTGTTTGAGAGGAGTGGATGCCACATGTGCAATAATGAGAATTCCTTGGCACGCACTGTGTACCTGAATACCAACACAACCCCGAAGGAATGTCAGGAGATAAAAGTGATATTCAGGATTTGGCCATGATTTATTGCTGCCAGTTGGTAATCAAGCCAGGGTGGTGGCACTCTGATTCCAACACATACCTCTATCAGAGCAAAGTGAAGCCAGTTGTTCTATAAATCATCTCCCCTCTCCTTATCTACCTGTGTCTGATGATAGTCTGTACTTGGATTAATAAATCCTTCTTGCTCCAACTATTTCCAATAAATACAGAGTGTTTACACAAAGTGATCATAAGATATGATCTTTGAACAATGACACAATCAGCAACATTTAATGAGCACATCATCTTACAGCTGGAACAATAGAGCGCTTTGTTTCAAAGTCACCACCACTATAAACTCTACACTGCAGTTGGTCTGGAAAGTTGAGGCTGCCCTCTTCTGGTCACTGAGAGAGTATCAGTGAATGTGCTGCATGTGATGTCTATTCGGTACATGCGTTTCTCAGTACTTAGTATACTTTATTAAAACTCTACCAAAATGCAGTTTGACCCGACATCTCACCTCCAAAATGAAAATAAAACTACCAAAACACATCACACCTGCCTCAAAATCAACTAATTCTCTTATGACACATGCAAAATTTTATTCACAACAGGAAAGTTTTGTCACTCATTAACACAACACCCCCTGAAAAAGTCTGTGATTTTCTACTTCATCTAACCTCCCATTATAAAACAAGCACAGTGTGTCTTCTTAGTGCATGGGATGCTCTACAATTTGTATTGTTGGAATAAACTGGATGTTTTGCAGTATTACAGACATTATCTCATCCTCTCATCTACACCACACCTCAAGTTGTCTGCTTCACTAACTGGTAGAGTCTGAGTGAGATAAGAACTCCAAAGTTTTGAAAGAAGTGGTCACTGAATGCATTTTGTGCCAGCACACACAGCTTACTCCACAAAGACTTCGTACTGTGAGCATTTTTAATAAGGATTTAATATCCATGTCTAACTGTAAGTCTTTTGATAAATCTAATATTCAGCATCGCCTACACCACCCAGCAGAGCTGTACAGAGGTCTATTTTTTCCCTAGTTTGTCTTTAATTTGATTTTAAGTAAGCTATTTCAAGAGGTTCAGGATGAATTAAGATGAAATGATGTGAAAGAGAAGGCCCTCTTGAGTAGACTTTGGGGTTGATCTTTTTAAATGCTGATAGAGGAGTTTAAATGTTGCAATTGGCAGAAGTGAGTACTCTATTAGGCGCCTTTTAATGTGTGTTTGTTGTAAAATATCGAATGTATTGTAGAAGACGGTCAATGAATACTGATTTGTCAGCTAATACTCATACCAATAATCACACAAACATTACAAAAACACACATACACTCACCTTGCTAGGCCTTCCTCATACACATAGACAATGAGTGGGTCGTATGACGTTACCAGCACGTACAACCGTACGTCAAACTTGAACTCTGGAAACAAAACAAAAAGAGATTTGTCAGTTCAAATCTACCAAAATGTCCTTCAAATATTCAGCAAACTGTGTCTGTAGCAGCTCACCATCTATCAGTAGTGGGTTATTAATGTAACGAGACACCAAGATGTTTTCATCCATTGAAATCTGATTTGGCTGTAGATGACAAACAGAACACATCAAATAAAATATAATGAGCACACAAAGAGGAAGAGGCAAGTATTCCATCATGATTTTAACAGGTTTAAAACTACAATGCTACAAGTTAATAACTACAGAGCAGTGTTAATATACTGAAGTCCAAATAAGTGATATAAAACTGCTGTTAACTATGAACATCAAAGAATGATCTGATCGAGAAAAGTTGGAGACTGCAATGACACTGGCCATTGAAGGTCAACCTTCAATAACAGCCCATAAAAACACAATCTGGTGGTGAGAGAGGGGTCATTTATGAGGTTGAAATGTGTTGCAGGTGGCGAAGTTGAGAAAAGATTGGGGGGGGCGGGGTTAACCTCAGTGCTGGCTACAGTTCAGAGAAAACCCAAACCAAAGAAATGAACGTATTTCTTTTTTCTCCCCAAATATCACTCTGACATTCTTTCCACTGTTTCATAAAAATGCCTGAGAAGAAGAAGAATCGTGCATATGTTTTCCAAGAGTGAGAACCTTGTTGAGCTCCTCCAAAAGCCGTGGAAGAGTGTGATTTACTCCACAAAGTTTATTAATGCCTGAAAAACTGGTTGATACGTTTTTTCTTTTTTTCAAAGACAGCTGTATCCAGCCAGCTGGCTGTTTCAGTTCACACAGTATTTTTAAGTCAGTATGTTTACAGTTGACTCCCACTACATTTGCCATTAATGTGAAACTGTCTTGCATGTGAATAAGAAGGAACTTAGAAAGAACTTCACACACAAACAGAGGAGCTGTAGTAATATTTGATTAGTTTAGCTGCTTCCTGTGTTTCCAATCTGCGCTAACTTAAGCTAAACATCAGCTGGCTGTAGCTTCATAGTAATCCTAAAAACATATGAGTAGTATCACTCCTCCCTCGTCATTATCAGCAAAAACACAAACAAGCTTATTACCCAGAATGTGGAACTATTCCTTTACACACAGCTTTACTCATACAGGTTTCACATGCAAAACAGCGCCAGAGCTTGGTTTAAACCTCCACTTATGTATCATCATTATCATCATCATCATCATCATCATCATCATCATCATCATCATCATCATCATGCATGTGACATTAAACAAAGGATGAGAATGTGTTGTTTCAGTCCCTCTCATTCAGTACTGTTTTACCTACTATAAACAAAGTGACAAAAATAAACACACAAAAATCAGCAGCTTTTAAACTAGTCAATTTGCAATCCATACAAACACATGTCGATCTTGGAAACGTTTCACAAGAAAAAAGCAAAAATTTCAGAGAACTTTTGAATAAAATCAACAAAAATTAGACAAAATAATTCTTATCACAAGGTCAGCTAACTTGATTGGTTTTTGCACAGCTTTCAACCAAGTCTTTTGGCCTTCATCAGCACATGAGGCTCCAAACTCCAGACGAAGTTAATTTATCATTTATTATTAATAATTTAAGACAATTTTTAAGCAAAAATGACAAACATTCTCTACATCCAGCCTCTAAAATGTGATCTCAAATTTGCTGTTTTTCTCTGTTACATAATCAGAGTTTGGGTTTCAGAAAAAAACAAGCTATTTAAAAAATTCATTTTGGGCTTTGGTTGCAGCCTCACTTTCATCTTTTCAGGTTTCCAAAATCCTTCAAACCAAACAATCTGAGAAGAAAAAAAAAGCAAAGCACAGAACCTGTATCCACACTGAGGACATAAGCTGTGATGAGGACGCACAAGTGGACATAGCTTCATTTTAAGGAGTCACAAAGGTTGGGAACTATTAGATATTGAGACTATTAGAGTGTATTACAGAATAACTACAATCACTCACATTGCTGACCAAGTAGATGCCTCGTCCTCTCGAAGATGCTACTGGTTTAATAATCCATGGGCCCTTGTCCTTGGCAAAACAATCTGGGATTGAGGCAGAAAAACACACAAAGAGAGGTTGAGATTTGAAATGACTTACAGTTTACATGAAATCATATCCTAAATATAGCTATACTTAGACCAACAGATTGAGATGGGGGTTGTCTTACTGCAGAATTCCTGGTACTCAGACGGAAGCACAAAGGTCTGAGGAACGATATGGAAGTTTTTGAAGCCATGAGTCTGCTGCATTCGCTGGATGTTTTTATAGAGACGGTCTTTTCTCGTCAATTCATAGGACCTGGAAATAAGCAGAACTTCCAGTTTCAAATGCTCCAGCACTACAGTCGCCAGCTTTGACACTGACAGAACAAAAATACATGAATACATAACAGTTACAGAACGCCCTCTGCCTGACAGTATGATTCATTTCATGTTTAAGAGAGGCACCAGTCCAAACTAAATGCACTTTGCGGTGGAAGCCAACAAACACACTGCCTGAACTGAAGGGCTTAGAATGGCTCAGTGGTAATATTTATAACACAGAAAACAGAGGCAACACACTCATACATTTGAGCACTCTATTATACCTGGGGAAGTGGTTGACCTTCTGGAAGTCTTGAAGGCTTCGTAGTAGGTAAGGCTTGAGGTGAGATCCGGTCCACATGAGGTTAAAGTCATTACTGTTTGGGTGAACCTGAGAAAGAGAGACACTGATTAAATTCAACTGACAGGCTCTGGGATAAATAACTTAGATTCCGCACACGCAGAGCAAACAACCTTTGTCAAAGGATAATTTTAAAAAATTGATATTACGTAAGTGTAAAACCAAGTTTAGCAATTGATGTTCTACACTAATTGAGCTCGGTTCAGTTTCCAGTCACCAACAGCAGTATTATGTTCTGATGTCCATGGCATATGACAGCTCGGTTAGATTAAATCTAAGAAGCAGATCACACTCTACCACGAACCTGGAGGGAGACAGCCGGCTTTTTAGACAGTTTCTCAAAAGGAAGGCCAACTCAGAGATTTTCATCACCATCATATTATGTTATCTGTTTTGTTTTGTTTTATTCCAACAATTCGTTAGGAGGCAGAATTCACATGACCGTTCATTCAGCGTCTAGGGAAGAGGCAGATGTTTGCAATAAAGGCTTATTAAAGTTTGGCTCTGTGGAGGCTGTGGTAGACACTCGTCTGCCTTTGATGATGGGTTAGCGGGAGTCAAGAAGCATTGAAATGAAATAAAAAGGGAATTAATTGTAACTGCTTGGAAAGAGTAATAATGGGGATTGTGTGCCCTCGTGAAACAGGATTAATGCTCTTGAGGTCATTTTGTGTTTTTTCCATGAGTGCATTCCCAGGCTTTGACAACGGCATTATCAGTCAAAGGAGGAAAAACAGCCCTACTATCCCTTATCCTACACAGCAGAGCATGTGCATAAATAACACGTGCTTCTAAAAAAAAAAAAAAAAAAAAAAAAAAACAATCCATTTTTGCAAGATTTAGGCTAATCTTTTAAATTTGCATGATTTAGTGAAGAACATTACCTCATGGAATCCATGATTGGTGAGTATTCCTCGTACCAGACGGCTCTCTGTGCGCACAATTTTGAAGGCCATATTGTATCGCTCTACGCAAATGAAACAGATTTTAGACAATAATATATTCTTAGTGTCTAACTAATTAAAAGCTCCAAAACTTTATTATATTATTATTACTTTTCTCATTCAAAGTTATTTTGTTGCTTCAACAAATGGAAGTGTACCTCCAACACAGCAGATATTCCCATCTTTTGAAACAACTGCTTCAGGGACGAACAAGAGAACTGGGATGGTCTTGCTAAGGCCGCTCCACGCGATGCAAGGATGGTCGCTAGTGGACAAACAGTTAGATGAGACAAAGATTAATAACTTAGCAAGAGGCAGATGTTTGAGATGTTTTCAAATCAAACCAACCCACTCAGATTTCAAATTATCTGTAGATATACAGAGCACACACACATTCTCAGTAAAAATGTCATGGAGATGCACTCCAGGGTTCATTTCACAGCCCATAATCTTTGGCGTTCATTCCCTGATGATGTGAACTTGCCTATACGGGTAGCTTACCTAATGCTGAGGGAATGTATCCTGACATGGTGTTTATTTCAGGCCGGCAGATAAAGACAGAACCACACACAGTTTCAGGAGGTGCTGGGCAATAACAAATCCATACACTATACTAACAAACATCCTTGTAAAACTGCAGACTATCTGATACTACCAGACACAGCCTGCTTAAAGCTACAAATAAGATAAGGTAGCACGATGATGGAGCAGACCTCAATCATGCACAGCCGGTCTTGATAAGGAGGGAGGCATGTAAACAATTGCTGCCCCTCGCTTAAGTATCCAGGTATGTCAGACAATGCAGCAGATATCTTTTCCACTGTGGTAACTTGATTGCACACCATTAAATAAGGTATTTTAATCCTATTTAAGAACGCCATTTATTCTGAACATAAACCAGCATCAAGACAAGTGAGATACTATAAACACAAGATGCTGAAGATCTTGGACTAAAGCTAAAATTGTTACAATCACTGTGATATTTTGGCAAAATGTGATCTTTTCAGTTGCAAACATTTGGTTGAACATGCAGCTAAATTAATACTTTTATAAACACGTCCAGGTCTCGCTCCTCTAATACTTACTGAGTAAGTACAACAGTGCCAATATCACATTTAATAATACTCTTAACCCTGATCTGTCTATCACTTTTTGTTAAGCCTATATGAAATCTATATGTTATATATCATTATGTTATTCATTCTATTTTTGTTTCATCAAATACAATAAAAAGGTGAGTTCAAGTCTTGTGCCATGTATGTTTCCTACTGTATACGCACTTTCATGGCTTGTCTTGATGTCTGCTATGTGCCTCTTGTATTTGCCTGTAATACTATACTTTGTCATCCTTTGCATTATTTAGCGTTGTCTGTTGTCACAGTGGAAGTTAGTTGGCCATTTCGAGCACTTTTGCAACACATCAATGCAAAATATTATCGACTGCTCCTGATAAATAAAGTGACGAGCTGAGCAGAACAGCTCAAACTGGCTGAAATCAAGTGTGTTCAAAAAATCAGTCTATATAACTATTGCAATGCAAGACGTGTGTTTCAGAGGATTTTTTTGTGTGTGATCATTACATGTGTTAATGATAATTACAGCCCCATCAGTAAAACAGCACTGGTCACCTAGAGGTTAAACGCTAATACTAAGCAATCCAAACTAATTCAGGAGATGGAAATTAACCTGAAAGCAGGCACAGTTGCTCTTAGCAAGGTATGACTAAGTAAAGCTTAAGAGGGAATTAGCTGGCACCGGCAAGATAACAAATAACAACTGTCGACAACAATGATCTAAAGCTAGATGCTGTTCTTTCTCATTCAGTTTAAAGGTCATCAATTATGCAGAATGAAAGCTACCTCAAGTCTTCATTTTGTCTAAATGTATCTTGGCATAAATCATTAAACAAGGCTCAGGACATCTTCTGTCATGCTGCATAGATTACTTTACACATTCAATAAATTATAGCAAACTGTAATGACGATGACCACAGTAGAGAGGGGAAAAAAATTGCAAACGCTTTTGGTCCAGCATGTTGTCACATTAATACTGTATTTAGGGATAAATCTCGTGAGGTACACCAGGAGGATCAGTAGGCTAAGAACCTAACTGACACTAAAGAGACCTGCTTAATTCAGAAAGACAAGTCCACATGCTGCAGGGACACCATCCTACTCATCTCATCCCTATAGTTATTAACTGACTATTTTACAGTTATGAGGACAGTGCACATTATATTAAGTAAGGAATCTGTTTTGAAAGAGAAAAGACTCACAATAACATATAAAGCGATATTCATAAAGTATTTTTAAGAATCTGCTATAAATATAATAGCAGCCCAAGAAACTTTTTTTATGGTATCATGAGTGAAGTCTGGTTCCTGACCTCTGAATCACTGCCCACATCGCCATATTTTTAAGCAATTGTAATGTACTAGATTGATAAATAATACATAGACATTAGAATGTAGTAACAAATAATCAAAGGTTAAAGAAATGGCAATTCAGCACTGAAGTGACTCTGCTGTGATTTTGTATTTCCATGTGCTATATAATAGAGACAATAGAGTGATTAAATGCTCAGAGTTGAGCCTTTTTCTCATTTAACCATTTAAGGTTAGAGGCATTTGATCTTTTCATGAGAGTGGAGGATATTGAGGCATTTTTGCCCTACTGATCTTGAACAGCATATAGCTGGAGCTGACTGCACTAGATCACACTCATTGTCATGTGATTCTACAGTAGACACAGTAATCTGAACAACTGTAAACTTGTACTTACTCTTGCTCGTCTTCTGAGGAGGATTCAGAGTCCTCCTTATCCCGGGTCACAGCTGGCATCTTCACAGTAAAAGGGGACGAGCTGCCCGGTGAAATCTTCCTGAGATGAAGTGTTTGGGTTTTACCATGGCATCTAATACCTCCAACTGCAAAAACATTAGCCAATGATCAGCTCAGCTCATATAAGCGCCAGTCCTTTGATACAAAATAATATAATAACTAACAATCACATTACTACGGCTTGCTCTTTAAAGACTGTAACACTGGTACGGTCCTAGAACAGTGGTTGACAATTAGCACACAATTAGCTAAGAACAGCTGCTGTCTAGATCTAACGGGCAGTTAAATTATATTCGTTAACGTTACAATAGCATGGATGTAAAACGTTAAGATTAAACCTAGGCTGACAGCCCAACAAGCGTTATTAGCTAAATAAGACTTCGGTTTTTGATATGCTACGTTAGGTACAGGAAGCTAACAAGGTAAAGTCTGCCTAGTTTCAGACCGATTAAGTAGACGTTTTTATAATGACATATAAACACACATCGAAATGAACTTGCCTTATATTTCTATGGAGCCTGCTAACAGTCAGCTAGCTAGGTAGGTATCACCAGGGCCAGTCGATCATCGCGGTTAATCTTCCTGGTAACTACAACAACTGAGTAGCAACAAAGCATGGAGCATGCGCACTAGCGGGCAGCACTCATTTGTCAGCCTGACCAAGTTTTGCGCTGCATCCACGTAGTGACGGGACATTTGTGGACGTTACAGTCACTGTCAAGCCAAGAAAGTGCTCCTATCCCCAGTCAAACATGACAGTTGATCTCAAATAACGTGCACAGTCGGGGATTAATAACGACTGTGTACGGTAAATTAAACTAGGGTCTAAAACAAACGAATTAATCTAACAACTTCATATTATGGCTCCCACAGTGCTACTAAGTGCTTGTAATGTGTGTTTATATGTGTGTTTCTCGACTCATAGTGTTTAAACGAAAACAGATGAGAAACAGAAATGTAGTTATTGAATTCAATTGCAACTAGCAAGCACAGTCCACAGTTATTGAAGACTGTACACTGTATTACTTTAACTAAAATAAAATTTGTTCTGAAATAAAATATTTAAAATGTTACGAATGGTTACTCGGTGTTACTGAATGGTACCAGTGTGTAACCTGAAATACTTTGTGCAATTCTGACTAAATATTTTAGCTGAAAACGGGGTTCCTCACTCCCTCTGCCGAACCAGATTTGGCGAATACATAAATCAATACAGAGAATCCTCTCGCTCCGTGAGAACTCTTTGTTTAAACGCAGCCTAGCCTACAGCCTACAGGTGACAGGAGTGCGTGATTTCTATTGGTTGGTGAAGAAAATAGGCGGGACCTTGATGCTTGAATATGACCAATCATATCAATGGGGCGACTAGATGGAGTCATTCTTCGAGCTCTCTTATTGGTTAACCCCACAGTCTAGGATTGAAAGACTTACCATTGTAAATATAACACCATACTGGGTTGGCTCGAGTCCCACTTTACTGTTTTGCATCTAGTATTCCTGTTTTTTAGACAGGAGTATGGTCACACTGTAGCTTGGTAGATACCATCCAGGTAAATACATGCACCACTCGTGTTACTTTTTCATCATTCAGGCTCACTGATGGTATTAACAAGGTTATATCAACGTTAGCCTGCTTTGTACTACTTGCTATGTGCACTGAACAGACTGACTTGTCCTCCCTGACAGGTTCTTCTCTCAGACAGACAGACAGACAGACAGACAGACAGGATGAGTCGCTTTCTGAACGTCCTGCGGAGCTGGTTGGTGATGGTGTCCGTCATCGCGATGGGAAACACCGTGCAGAGTTTCAGAGATCACAGCTTCCTGTCAGAGAAGCTCTACACAGGCACGCCAGAGTTTGGTGAGCAAAGCTGTCAAAACTTAATGGACACTGCAGCATGACAACGTTAGATATCATATCATCACATCTCACTCAGAAAAACAGCCTATGTCATGCAGCTCTTAAGACAACATTTAAGGTGCTCGGATTACCAAATATAGTGTTATGTGATACCAACACCGTTAGGCCAAAAGCAACTCTATCATATCATATTTATGTAAACAATCAGTAACAACAGCCTTCAGTATTAGAGCCTCACCAATACCCGGTTTTTAAGGCCAATACCAATACAGTATTAAAAAATCTGATAAGGACACTCAGTAGTGGGAGATACGCTCCTTTTTTTGTGTCATCACATTATGTAAATAAACATTTTTTTATTTGAGTACCCTAAATCTTATTTGATAATTAAAGTTACGTAGTAAACGGTCATTATAGTTAAGAAACATGACATCATAGACAGTGTAAAGGTGACACTGTTTCTAAATGTCCCCAAACTCAACATCTTTAACATTTCAGTACTTCAATTCCTATTACTTACCAGCTTTCATATTCATACACATACTGGTTACAATATAGAGTTTGTGATACGCTAATATTGTTTTTAAAGTATGCTCAACTGATTCATAGATCAGGTTCTTATTCAATTTTGTACATAAAATGAGTTGCAATGAGGCAGATTTGCTCTCTTCTGATTGTTTTATAGAGTAATAACAGACATGGGTAATACAGATGGCTATATCATGATATTGTTTTCCTTTTTTTTCTTTTTTAACTCCGACATTCCTGATTTTTCCTTTTCTACCCGTTTCCACAGTGAATGGTCTCCAAGCTCGAACATTTGGTATTTGGACATTGCTGTCATCGATCATTCGCTGTGCCTGTGCCATTGATATCCAGAACAGAACGTAAGACAGCTTTTCACTTCCTGAACTTTGTTTGTGTTGGCAGTCTATATATTTTGTTCTCACAGTGTGTGCCATGCTGTCGCCTGTAGGCTGTACCACATCACCTTGTGGACGTTTGTGCTGGCGTTGGGCCACTTTCTGTCCGAGGCCTTCATCTACAAAACTGCGCCTCTGACTATTGGGGTCATGGCACCTCTCATTGTGGCAAGTGAGTATGGCTCTTTATGCCTTAAATAATCAATATGTAACTTTTATTAAATCATTTTTCACAATTGAAATGGTGTAATGTGTTTAAAAGTCACATTTAGATGACATGTTAACATTATTAATGTGAAATAAAAGAATCCTAATAGCATCAATCTGTTTCTTTTTAGGTTTCTCTGTCATAGGAATGCTGATTGGATTCCAGTGTTTTCCAGAGACACAAGAGGAAGTCGGAGCACGACAGAAGAAACGTAACTGAATCCCAGCAGTTTTGGATTTAGGATTGTTGTTGTCCACTGAACCCACTACCAACACCACCAGACAGCTGTGAAGTGGACTGGTTGTAGTGTGTCGCTTCTTGCCTTGAAGAACATGAGATGTGGATGTGCTTTCATCTCCTACTGTCATGCTTAATTAAGACTATATACATGGTTTTTATGGTTTTTAACTGGAGATTTTAGTTAACAGTGCAATCATGAAGTGTTTGACAGAGTCACTTCAATATACAGTCATGTTACACTGCAGCGGTTGATGTGTGCTGGTTTCAGCAAAAACCTCAGAGGGTTTTAAACTGAAACTTGTCATAAAAAAAGAGTTTTTGTTTTGAGACTTTTAAAATGTGTGGTCATGACTGTGGTGTTGTTGAGTGAAATGACTGCAGAAATAACCCAGAGCGGATTTCTCTCCGAATGTTGATTGTTTTATTTCAGTAGATTATCACTTCCTATTCATTTTTCTTTTTTAAATTCATGATTTACAAAAGAACTCAGATGACTGTACAGTACAAAACTATGTTCTTCATTACAAGGTATCACAAACACTTCTATCAGCAGTTGTTCTAATGTTTGTTCTGTGCTGTGAAACAGTTTGTACACCCCTTCAATTTCTGCACAATTATTATCCTATAAAACCCTTTTTAAAAAATGAAATGATTTGATTCTATTTCAGTATCAAGAAAATGAAATGTTTTTTTTTTAAGCTCAAAAGAAAAATAAGTTGTGAGAAGTATTCAGGAGTCTTGTTTCCAAGGGTGTAATTGTGTTTTTGCGTATTTTTTGATAAATGTTTAATGTCCTATGCTGCTCAGATCTCATATTTGGGAGGGACTTGAGTGAGGTGCTTTCATTGTTATTTTCAGAAACAAGCGATGCTAATTTTGGTTTTGTAGGATGGATTCAAGTGTGGAAAACACACACACTTTGGTGTGTGAGAATCTTCAAGGTTAGAAGAAAAATACATTTTCATGCTCGCCTTATTGTATCCAAAAAATAAATTCAGTAACACTAACTTTAGAGTTTATCCAGTGAGAGTCATCCAGTCATGTTTGTAATGTAGTGATTTGTTTTAGCTTGATTCGTTTTCTTTATATTTTAAGTGTTACAGAAAATACTACTGATATACTGTGTAATTCAGGATTAAAAAATCCAATTTCTAAAAATCAATTTACAGCATACAAAGTGGTAAAAACTCCACTTTTTCACAGCACTGTAAAATGTCAGAAAAATGCCACTGAAGTAATAATTAGCACTTCTCACAATCACATAACAATCATAATACATACAACTAGCAACAAGACATCTAGTACAACATATTAATGTTAAACTGTACAAACACTGGTTACATAGCATGAACTACATTTCTCAGTAACAAATTTACAAGCTAAGAGTATCAAACAAAAACATTTTCTTGTGCAAAATGACAAGGGCAATAGACGAATTTGCCTTCTCTGTCTGTTTAGTGCTGTGTTGACATTCTTAATGTTCCAGATGCTCATCAACAAATGTCTCCTTGTAGAGATCGCGTACAGTAAACAAGGACGAAACTGACCCTCCAAAGTGTACTCAGATGCACAGCATCGATCATAGTTATAATCAGCAGTTATCAGAAGTACAGACTTTCATGTGATCCTGAATGGCAGGCAGAGGGGATATGACAGCCTTGTTGAGGCGATGGGTAGCCTGACTGCCATGACAGAAGATCACGTCATAGTCCTTAATCTGCATTTAAGATGCATATTCTAAAAAACAGAACACTTAATGAATACCTTCAGCAATGTAAAGACTGAGTTCAGTTACACACAATATTGGTCCAATATTAGGAACACTCACTTTAAATATTGCTCATTAGTTCCATGGAGCACAACATTAACACTAATCAGAGGGGGACAGTAAAAGGTTAGGAAAGAGTAAAAAGTTAAATTAAGTTAAAGAGTGTAGTAATGCTTGAGTCACTAAAGTGGCAGTTGGACTGCGCTAACAAGACATGTAAAATGCCTACCGTGACGCCCATACAGTACATCATGTTGTACAGCAGGTCTGCTGGTCATTCACATCAGCCCCACAGAGGGCTGTTCAGTACGATTCAGTTGTCCTCACAGAAGCTTTTTTTCACTCTGTGACGATGTGTGCACGTTAATGCGTGTTGTATTTCTGTTTTTATCTGTACATGATGTCGTTGACAGAATTGACGTCTGTCCTCTTTATAACTTCCCCTCTTTCAGGATCTCAGGTGGAGAGACGCCTCCTTCCAGATCAGCGGTGGTTTTCTGTAAAGGATGAGGACAGAAACAACAACAGTTTTTAATCAAAACACGCAAAATCTCAACTCATCACAGCATTCGGAAAGACAACAGAACATTAACATCGATGAAAATGATCCTGTACATCACTTTTAGTATGAAACAACTCAAAACTTCTCATTCACCTCTTGCAAGAAATAAATATAATCCAGAAATTATGTTCTTATCAAAACCTCTTAGTAAGTACTGTCAGTTAATCACAAATGGGAAATGATGACTTTAAAATTTCCTTTAAAAAGGTGCTTTGGTTACAGCAAAAAAAAACAACAAACATTCAAGTACAAAAAAACACACACCTGGTAGAACTTTGTTTTTCCTAAAATGTATTTGTTTTACAGGACGCTGAAATTCCCAGGATGAATGAATTGTTTTATTCCACAGAAAGCTGTTTAATTTAAGAGCTGATTGTGTAGTGGAGCAGGATGTGCTGCAGTTCAGTCATAATGACTTCAAGTATTTTTCACACCAGTCTTGCCTTTGGGAAGAATAAATAAATCTTGTAGTTGTTTAAACTGAAACACAATGGGGTTTGTGTTAATTTGTTTAGAAGATTGTTTATTGTCAAATGTTTGTGTGTGAGTGTGTGTGTGTGTGTGTGTGTGTGTGTGTGTGTGTGTGTGTGTGTGTGTGTGCGTGCGTGCGTGCGTTCGTGCGTGCGTGCGTGCGTGTGTGTGTGTGGTATAGGATTACTGATGTTGAAGCTTGAGAAGTGTGTGTGCCCGTACCTTGGCAGGTGTGTGTTTTGGTTTTAGTGAGGTTTATGTCAAGACTGACGTTGCCAGGGGCCGCTGCACGCTGTGGCCCCGTAGTCCTGCGCCGATGAGATCGACCCTGTAGGCTGGAACAATAGCTTGGGTGTCACACCTCTGAGGGGCCCTGAGGGGGCCACCTCATCTTCCACCCACTCCTCCACACCACAACACCACATGTCTGCCTCCACCAAACCCTGCACAGCCAACTAATACTAATACTGCCTGCTACCTGTCTGCTAGCCCAGCAGCCACTTCATCAGCCTTATGTGAGGAAAGGCAGTTAGATGAATTTTGAAGTAAAATATCCTAAATATGATGTAACTTTAATAAACATTTACCTAGAAGATTTATTTGGCATTATTTATTCAGACATATCTTAGATATAGATCAATATACTCATCTATTATTATTAATCTTCAACAGCTTCATTAGTTACCTGCTTTTCTCATTTCTAACAATTTAACAGAACTGGCTCATTAACAAAACAAAGAAAGCAGTGTTGGTCTTATTTAAGCTCTGTTAGTGTGCAGAATTGTTGGAGTTTTCCATTGTAGCTGCCCAGGTATTGTTAGAGCTGGAATATCATGAACAGAAGAAGGACGAGGAAAAGCAGCAAATAAAAAGGCCCCAAAGCTTTTCTCAAACAAGAAGGCAACGAGTGAGCAGCAGAAGCCACGCAGTGTGAAGTATTTTTCCATCAATGTGCCATTCATTGTTTAAAAATTCAGAGGTGATTTTGAGCAGCTGGAGGCCACTGCCTGTTGTTTTCTGTTTCAGTGAATTTTAATATGTGATATGTCACATAGATGTGAACCACTGACCACTGTTTTGATAATCACCAAATAACTAGAAGATTAAACCAGCTTTGTGCTTTTTAATAGTGGATTGCGGTGTGTGCTCTTATCACACTATTACAGTGATTTATAAAACTGATCAGTACAGATTACAGATGTGTTTGACAGCTGTCAACTGCACCCGTATGAAAGTGTAGAAAATCACAACTTTGCAACCGTTAACCCAAAGTTAGGTCATCATAACAGAGGTTTGTAAGCATGCGGTTTGTTGGAGTGAGTTGGAGAGCTGTCAGACAAAAGCAGAGTTGTGCTTTCTGCAATCAGCATTTGAGAGCAGAGGATGTTTTTTAGTGAGTTTAGAGAAGAAAGTTTCCACCAGTGGAGCAGTGCGTTCCCTGCGTTCACTCGCGTGCATGCCTTCAGCGGCGCGCTGCACTGTGAGGACTGCAGAGAAGCAGCCAGCAGAGCACATTCAGCCCAGAGCCGGGACGGTATCTAACACATTCCCTCTCCGCAGGGATGTGAAGATCCCACAGGTGACTTCATGTAGCGCACACAGATGTACTTACGCTCACTGTCTGCACCTCGGCCTGCAGGTTGGCCTTCTGCCGTCGGAGGTCAGACTTGATGAATCCTGTGACGAGCACAGAGGAGAGGGAGAGGGAAAAGTTTCTAGTTTTTTAATGGAAGTTATGGCATTGATGGACTTTCTATTTAAATGTAGAGCTGGATACAGTGTATTATGTCGGCACAAAAAATATCAGTAGTAGTAGTATCAGTAGTGATTTCTGTAATTCTATCTATTTTAGGTTGAAACAGAAAATCAAGGACAACACATTCCTGGACTGTACTAAGCATGTATTTTCTCAATATTACACCCACAATCCTAATCTTAAAAACAAGTTAAGTTCTCCATTTCCATACAAAATGGTAACAGGGTTTTCATGCAACTCTGAAATGGTTGTTGTCCAGGTTTTTTTTTATGTCAGAGAAATAGGATGTTGGTATGAGTTTTAATGTGCACCCAATATATACGATGAGGTAATGCTTTAAAAGGTGATGATGGTATGTTATTTTAATACAAAAAACATAGTTTCTGATAAATGATATCAACTAGTTTTTCATTTGTCTTGAACACAATGTGATTATATACTCAACCACTAGGGGGCGACCTTATCCTATGAAAGATACGACCCCCTGCTTGAGGACTGTAAACACAACCAGCAATGGTTTTAACAACCAAGCTCTACCAGTTAAACACAAAGTGCCTTTAAGTTCCTTTTAATATCATGTGCATGTATGTGCTTAACAGCTGACATGAGTTCAATGTTCACTGTGGTTTGGAAAGTTGTTAAGTGTTGTACGCACCGTTACAGGAGAGGTATGCTGAGGAAACAGAGCAGAAGTTAATATCTTACCTGTCATGACTGTCCCTATTAGCAGAAAGATACACAGGAAGACGTTTCCCGCTAATGTGCCCCATTTATCAATAATCTTCCCTTGAGAGATGGTGAAAATGATTCCAAAGATCTGAAATTAGTTAAAAAAAAATACAATTACAAACCCAAACCAACCTCTTTTATACTCTGTCACATACGTGTACCCTGCGTCTCTACGGCTAATCATGTTGACATTAATGACCTGAGCTGAACAGTTAAGAAGTCCAGATGAGGTTCCCTCTGATTCTGGATAGGTGAGCTCGACCGCAAACTCGAAGCCCAGAGGCAGATATCCTGTCATGAAGAAGCTGCAGACAGATACCGAAGGTCAGATTAGGGGCTAAAACAGTACTGCGGTAGTTTATTCCACAACTTCAGTAACTGCTTTCATCCACAACAAGCAACAGCAAACAGCTCCACAAATGTTAAAGTAGGGCAAGTGTATATTGCTGTATAATACATCCTGTCTGGGTTTCAGAAATGAAAAGCAGACAAAGGAATTGCTATGGAAACCAGTTACGGGCATAATCAGCTTACCATAAATAGCAATAATTGTAAGGACATAGCACGTGGACTGGGGAGTCGGAGGAGTGTTAATTTTGCTCTGACAAAGCAGCACTCATGCCAGATGAGCAACACAGAGAATGTGAACTACATACAGCTTCACCAGAATGTTTCAGACATTATCACCAAAAACCTTTAGAGCAGCGAAGACCTGTGAACATCAAACATGACAGACACAGTTCATCATAACCTCAGGGTTATATATATATAATATATAACACTGTGTCGTCAGACATCTCTAAGTAAACTTTCTATTTCTCCATTTGTAAAAGCTCTCTATATCTATCTATATCTATTACCAAAATGAAACACCTTAAAGAGACCATTAATCATAAAAGCTATTACTCACAACTGCTAGATTCATAAGATATTATCATTGGAAGTGTATGGTATAAATTCATATTCCAGGGTTCCCATCAAATTCAGAGAATAACCAAATTATCAGTCAATTTTTTCCCACATTTTGCAGGTTTTTAGGGGTGAATTTCAATCCCCGGCCGTGATGTGCAAGACCTCTGTGACCTCTACTCTTTAATCGTTACCTACCCTAAAACTCCGGCTGTGATAAACACCACCCACAGGTGACCCAGATTGAGGGTGAAAGCGTAGACCAGCATGCCAATCAGAGAGAGGAGATACACAAGCAGGGTGGTCTGTCTGAAAAGAGAGGATATCAATCATTTTGTTTAAAAAGCACAGTGACAACACGTTTAACCGTCATATGTATTCACACACAGAACACCGCATTTCTAAAAAGCTATTATAACTCCAAATCATCTTAGACGTCCAATTTAATCAGATTTGACATTGACATTAATGTTTAGGAATCTGGATCTTGTGACAAAGCCCACGTTTGCTACTTTCCTGCCAAAGCTGATCAGACGAAGAAAATCCTCTGGCATAATCTGACAAGAGCTTTTCTGTATTTATAGAAGTATGCAAGCAAAAGCAACATGACCCAACTTTAGTGCAATTTTTGTTGTGTTAATTACTAAAACTGCGCTTTTTCAGATGGATGTCTCACTTGAGTTGAAATTCCTCATATTTCCTCTAAGCGGATTCCAATAACAGGAAACCTTGTGCAGCTAACTTATTGCTGGTTGAGGGTAGTGCTTGACTATCAACAATACTCCTGTGTCACTGAGGACCCCGGGACATCTGCACAAACAGGCTTACTCTGGTGAAGCGGTCTCTTGTACAACCACGCGTAAAATATTGCTGCAAAACGTTTTTGTTAATATAACATAGTCCTTTGACTCTCTCCCATGTAGGACAATAGGAGTGTGAGGGTCAACAACATAAATCTGGGCCTGATTGCTTTGACAGCTAAGCATCCAAATGGCATGTAGGGAATCTGAGGACCGAGGATTTTTTCTAATCATAATAATTTGCATGCCAGATGACTGAAGCTGTTGTAGCAAATATTTAACACCCAGAGACTTTGTCAAAATAAGAAGTAAAAATGTTGATTTACTTAATCAAAACAAAAGTTTGGGTGAACGGCAACATTAGCAATCAGATATCAATCAGATATATTCACTTTTAAGATTGCATTATGACTGTTTTCCATGTTTAATGCAGTGGCACCAGGCCTGAGATGCGACCTGGGAGGACCAGCAGAGTATAGCCTGTCGGTTCAGATAAGCAGAGAGGGACTTCAGATATAAAACTCAGTTCCGCTGGATTCTCATTCGTGCCCACTTTGAGCAAAAACCTTTAATTCATTTGGACATCTTCCTGTGACTTGCTTTGAAAGACATTCATGTAAGGAGGCCATGTTTTAAAGCACAGCTACAGTAAGAGTGACTGTTGACCCACGTGGGAGCATTTCCTCTCAGAGGTTCCAGTTTTCTGATGTTGTAGACTCGCCTGAAAGCACATGAATGTACAGCTACCCTGGTTAATTACCAAGTGTTACCATGTTAGCATGCTAAACCAAGATGGTGAACACGCTGAACATTACACTTGCTAAATATCCACGTTAGCATCGTCATTGCGATAGCATTTCATGCAAAGTACCTCTTTGCTCAGCAGCTGTACATCATTGATTCCCTAATGACACATTGAACCTTGTGGACTACTCTGATGAAAGGAAATGAAAACAACCAATTTCAAATCGTGTTAATGTCCATGGATTACATGAAGGTCAGCAGACTTTATTTGTTTCAGAAGACTGCAGCAGCATGATTAGAGCGAACGCTGTTTCCTGACGTCAGTGAAAGGAAGAAAAACCACGGGGAATGTTTTGATATTCTTGGTTCCTTCTCGGTGTCTGGAAGAATTACATGTTTTTCTACAAAGTGCGCTGATGAATAGCAAACAGTGTTTATCTTACTTGTAGGTTTTCGTCTTGTCCAGCCAAATGCCACATATGAGGGACCCCACCATGCCCGCAATGACAATGGTCAGACCAATTCTCCCAGCATTCACCTCTTCACCCTGTGATTGAAAACAGTGACATTTCTGGTTTTCAGTCGAAATAAGACATTTGTGACATTTGTGACATTTTGCACCCTGCTGTTATCTTGTCCTGACAGCTCTGAGTGATAACAATTAGACTCCCAGATTCTTGTTATCTGTGTCAGGGTCATCTGTTCGGCAGCTTTATAGCTACTAATGTCAAAGGAAGTCACACTAATGCACATGCTGGGCCCATTGACTCTGGGGATATGGTATGATATAAGGGTAGTGCAGGTGAGAGGAAGGAAAGAACTGAGTCAAAGAAAGACACACAGATAGTGAAGTAAAGTAAAAGCTAATCTGATTGGAAATACAGGACATAAAGGCAGTAGCGTGTGTTTTCCAGCGCACACACTGGGACTTACAGGATAGTGCTCGATGATCATCCGGTTCAACAGTGTGGAAACAGCATAGAAGCAGCCGACATTCAGGCCTGCAGACAACAAATTAAAAAAGCCTGTCTCTATTCTGAGAACACCTGTAGGGAAAGGAGAGGGTCCAGATGGGACCTCACCCCCCCACCCCTCTAAAAATACTGCAGATAACCTCACACAATAAGTTCAAAGTAGCCTTTAGACTTTGTCATTACTTGATTATTAGCATTTAGATTTAGTCAGTTTATACTGAAGCACATGTCAACCAAAAATAAAATGCCAGTGTTCACATCATTTACCCAAATTTTCATATTCTTCAAACTGTCAATCATTAACATGGTCACCATTAAACAGTGACCTTTGAGCACAAAATGCAACATCCAATGACCTTTAGATCGCTGTTACACATAGGCAGCGTATTATAAGCCCATGTGTTGTGATGACACATCCTCATATCTGCACACCAGCTGATTAAGACTGTGACTCTCAGCTTCAACTATTTACATCTATTTTGAGGGTTTTACATCTTTGTTACCTTTCACCCCGATAATGCAACAACATCCGAGCCTGGATAGGCAATAAAATATGAGATGCTGGACGGTGGGGTGATCTGCTAGTCATGATGATGTCATAAAGACACACCAGTATGTCATGACACCATCTTGATCTGACTTGGACTTCCTCCTCCTTGTTTAGGGTTAGAACCAACCCTAACCAAGGATGTTATGACCTTAAAGCATAACAGCTAACTAAAGCCACGTAAGGAACTTTTATGTCAGGGAATTAGCAGTGAGATGAGAGATTAACCCCTCTGAAACGTGGTATGTGTTGGATCAATGTTTGAACTCTCTATGGGGCCATTTAATGAGCGCTGAAACAATTACAAGATCATCTGTCATAATGTCATTCGAACTTGAATCAAAAGGCCTGTTCCTTTAGACAAGCTGTCATTAAACATAAGGTTCCTGGTCCACCAATCTGTTTGTGGAATAGATTAAGGCAGCAGGATGATACGCACCATAGCTGACCACCAGGAGCATGAAGGGCTTGTTGCACAGCAGCCTCAAGATGGAAGCCGTGTACGAGTACTCATCCGGGGGTATGCTCCTGGCCTGAGCCTGGGCCTGCGTGGGAGGGATCTCTGGTCTCTCCTGAAACACTGCAATACAGACACACAGCATTTCAGGTAGTTATGTGTGTATTTAGGATATGAGACGTTATAATCTGAGAGCAAAACAAACAGGAATTTCATTTAGATGAGATAGTGGCTTGTCTGTATCAGCAGGGGGTCAAAAGCCCAGAGTGACACCGGAGGTCATACTAACAGGAAGGAGAGCAACTAGAAGCTAAATGTGTGTGTGTGTGCGTGTGTGTGTGTGTGTGTGTGTGTGTGTGTGTATGCTTGTACATACCAACAAGCCAGGCCTGGACATTCCTCTGAAGATAAGATAATTCAGTCTTCATAACATTTGCACTGTCATAAGTGATGACCTCACCATGCTCAGCTGCACTCGCCAGCTAATTATCATCTGTGTGACACACCTGTTGACAATAAGCCAACCTAATGAGTTAGCTAAATAAACAAACCACTATCAGTGTTTTGTTTTAATTCACCTTTGTTGGCTTTAGTCAAATAGCTTATGTGGTTTTTCTATCTCTCCTTCGTGACACCAGTCACTGCTGTCAGTGGGGGAGGTCAGTGGGTTCAGATGACCCCAGCCCAAGGCCAAGGGTGAGCCCCATGCAAAGGTCAGGACAGTCGAGCCTTAAGTGGGCCTTTCCATACTGAGAAGACAGCTAGCATAGCTGCTAGTCAATATCGACTGCTTGTGCAAGTGGATAAGGTTAATGCTCAATGTTGAATGTTTTCTCCCTCAATCAAGATGAAATCCTCGTCCTGAGGAGCAGCAAAGACAGTCTGAACCAGAGGTATTAGCCAAACAGAGAAATGTGAGAAAACACACGTGGGAAAGCTGAGGACTCTGACCAGTGTGATTAGCTATCCAGCTAATTTGTTTTGAATATTTCCAGGCTTCAACCAGCGGTACTGTGGGAGCTGAAGCTGCAAGAGAGGGTCAAGAAGGGATAGCAGCTAATGAAGAGAGAGATGTAGGAGAGGAGGAGGAGGTGGAGGACAGCAGCCAACATGCTGCTGTGGGAGAGCCAGCTAGGGCAGAAGCATTCGCAATCTGTATTAAATTACTGTGTTTACTGCACTTGATATGTCAGAGATGGGATTAATAGGACGGGCTGCGGGGGGCTCAGTTTTACCAGCAAAGGTTAATTAAGAATAAACAAATGTGTGCTCGCTGTGGGTGATGTCAACTACTCGGGACCAAAGACTTCTTCCATATGTTTTTAAATCAACAAAATGACATGCTCAGACTAAAATCATCTCATCCGCACTAAATTTATCCCACTGATCACAGAGAGAAACTTTGTCCTCACACACAGTCAAAGCTCTGATTGAAGACCAAGAATCTTTTTCTGAGCCATTGAGCATCTTACAGAAATAAATGGTGAAGCTTCACCGCGTTTCTCTGACTGTCAGCGAGTTTTAGTCCTCCGTGGAGGTGAAAGGAGGATTTATTTAACAGAGCTGAGGGTGAAGATGATTTCATAAAACACTTCCATGACTCCCGGAGTTCATGCTTGTATTTCACATCGTGTCCGAACACATCTCATCAAAAGGTGGACAATTATAGCAATTACTGCAGCTGCTCATCTAGTGGACTGTAATGCGGTTTAGTTTTCAGTAGAAAGCACATATCAGGGAGAGTCAGCTTTCCAGCAGTGCTGCCTGAGGAGCCCAACAACCAGATAAGAAGCTCTACCGTATAGAAATGATTAAAATTATATGTCAAACGATGAACTTTAATGTTGTAAAAACTGTTCTAGGGAACTCTTGGTGTTTTAATCTGGAAACATCATTGCAATGCTAACTAAAAATGTCAAATCCCATTGGCATTACTGTGAGGGACAAAGGAGGTGAGGCGAGGTAACAGCTTTGCCCCAGTCACTACCACTGGAAACCACAAACTGTCAAGATGACTTTATCTGCTTTATACATTTTCACAACCGTGACTGTGGGAGCTATACGACTTTGAAAGGGATTTGCAGTGGAGTACTATTGCATGAGTGAGTAAAAACACCTGACAGCTCTGAACCCATTCTGTGAGCCTGTGGATGGGAATAGTCGTCTTCCCTCGAAGACTTACCAATCACCACAAGGATGAAGATGACGGTGGCCACTCCAGCGCTGATGTAGAACATGATTCTGATGTGGTACGCCAGCTCATCCATCTCATCCACATTAGGCACGAGGATGGGTGGGACCAGAAACCCAATGGCGATACCCATCTGTAGGTGAGAGGCACAGAATTAAAAAATGACACTGTGCCTTCAGCTGACGACCACACACACACATGCTCGCGCGCGCGCACACAAACACACACACACACACCCACATGCACACATAATTAAAGGGGGAAAGCATCACTACAAAAGCAGAAAAAGCTTGAAATAAAGAAATAGGAAAGAAAACTGACATTTGACTGCTCAAAATTTGTGAGTGATGGTATACCTGCTATTATAAACACATGAGAAGTACATGCTTATTTAGCTTATGTAGTGACATGGTTACATTGAAAACATGTCAAAGCAGGGATGTTAAAGAATTGATTGACATGAAGATACAATGTCCGTCTGACTATTCTAAAACCCCCGTACCAAACCCGCCCTCAGGGTTCCTCAGCAATTCTAGTGGATCCGAAACAAATGAGGTGAAGGGAGGGGGCGGGTTGGGTGGTGGGTGGTGGTGGTGGTGGTGGTGGTGGGGGGGGTACTAAGCTTTCCAAATTTGAATACCACATGAGTAGTGCCCACTTCCTCAGCTTCCTACTGCCTCAAGAACATTCCAGAGGGGACACCAGCCGAGGTCCCTCCGCTCTAGGGGAAAGGTGAGAGAAGGAAAACGGCAAAAAGTGACAAGACACGTTCCTTCAGGAGGAACAGACCAGTGAACAGTGTCTGATGCGTGCAAGCACAACAAAAAGGTCAGACCCCTTCAGACCTCCGGGATCGTTACAATCACCACGGTTTATAGATCTGCCCCTGTTACCCTCTCCAGCAGACAGACACTCTTAACACTTCACTATATTGATGTTACATATCTAACATGAGCTATTCGAACAATCATTAACTTACCTTGTGGTCATTTTGCTAGAGAAAGCTTTGTAAGATTTTCGCAGGAGCCTATAAAAGATGTTTTTCAACAGAGTAACTGCAGAGTCATCTTCGTTCAATCACTCTCACACATCCAAAGCAAAGAAAACACATTGTATTCCTATTTTTTTGTGCATTTTTGATAAGTAGAGCAGGTCTTGATAACTTGTCAAAAATGCAAAACAAGCTTATTCTCAATTGGTCCAAATCAAGGATGTCCTCTCTTATGAAGTTACTGTTGGCACACAAACTGTTGATCTGTTTGATCTTCAAAGCATCGCAGGCCTTTATGGAAATCCTACCTACTTTTTGTTAATGTGAACTATTTCTAAACATCCAAGGGGATATGTAAACTACTTCAGCCTGAAAACTTGGAAGCATCAGGTTTAGGGACCAGAGCCAAAGGAATAAAGTCGTGGTGAGCGAGTAAACATCAACAACAATGTGTCCTTTTATCTTCAGCAGCGGGGAACGGGACTGAAGCACAAAACAAGAACTTGCATGACAATGACCGGTATGCAGTGTTTGGCCTGACGCAGGTGAGAGAGGACACACTTCAAATGAAGAAAAAACAGTTTGGCCTCAGAGTTCAAAGAGCATCAGTGGGGTCATGCGTCTTTTGATGGTCTCTGTTTATGCACAGTGTTATGTTATGTGTATGTTATGTTAGTGTTAAGCATAGTAGATTGTGGTGAGTTCACAAGGGACCCATATATAGACTACTGAATAGGAACTGTTATGCTCTAGCCACTGACTGTTTTTACTGGTGTGTACATAAAGAATAATGGTAAGGTAAATTGAATCATGAAGCCAGATTCTTCCCTTTGGAAATTCCTTGCATCAAAGGTTGCATCAAAACCTTCAAAACAGTGTGTCACTCTTCTGCAAAACATTTGTATTGGTCTTCGAAGGTGAAAGAGACATGGGCAATGACATGCTGAAAATTGCCATTACCTTAAGTTTCAGATGATTTAGTAACTTTAAAGGAGCTATTTGTACGTTTTGCTATTGCTACACAGCAGCATTAGCATTAACAGCTGTTTACTTACCAGTCTTGCCAAGGGCTTCAGCTATCGTTGCATTCAGACAAGAGGTTATAATACGTCCTCCGGACCAGACTCCTCAGTGACTCGGTATCAGAAAGTGACAAGATGGACTGGCCGAGTCGGGACTAGCTGGTTAGCATGCCAACTTCAGTAAAAGAAAAGAAGTGATAAAAATAGAAGCAAAACAAGCGGGTAGCTTTCCACTTCTGGAGAGAGCATTTGCTGAGAGAAGGAATGAAGTTTGATGCTGAACTGACAAGACTGATGAGTAAACAGCTGTTGATGCTAATGTTAGCTATGTAGCAATGGCAAAAATTACAAATAGATCCTTTAGTACACGTTTTAGTATTTGGGGGCTTGTTCAGAAGTAGACAGTTCAAGCGGTGGAACTCACCCGCCAACCTCCTGGCTAGGAAGAACGAATCCCACAAACACACACACACACACACACACACACACACACACACACACACACACACACACACACACACACATTTGTGAGTGTATGTTGTAAACAAAATCAAACACAGGTAAAACTGAAACCTTTTTATATTTCTTTAACAGTGTTCTGAGTTCAGGTGTGAGGGGTGGTTATTTAATAACAACACTTGGTTTATGTAGATTAAAGCAAGATTGGTTACTAACCACACCTCATATTTTCAAAATAACACTGGACTCTTATTATTGTATGTTTTAAGGAAGTAAAACGTGGGAGAAAGCCTGAAACTAAGAAGTGCTTAGTTCTGCAAGTTAACATGCATCACTTCTCTAAGATTCTTCTCGCTGTCGCTGGAAGCTGAAGTGGCCACCAGTCATATGTTTTCTCCACCGGCAGAGAGAGTGATTCACTTTGTTAAACCTGCTGACTCAAGAAGAAAGTTGGAAACAAAATTCATAGGAACAGTCACACATTAAAGGAGGCAGACACTGACATGACATAATATGTGCCTGCCTGCTTTTAACACGTGGCCATTCAGATACATTACGAAGAGTGTTAAATTTGATAGAGCTCTCTTTCATTTTCTCACCGTGACAAACACACACACAGACACACAGTTCTCTGAACACCAAGAGTGCAAGTGCAGAACACTAAACACACACTGCAAAAGACTTTCTGAGTCCAGCAGGTAAACAGAGACACACCTGGTTTCCAAGAACGCCAATGGAACAAGCGGTGGACACCTCCTGCTGCCCAAACCACAAGGACGCAAGTCTGGATGGGATGCCCAGGATATAAACTGTGGCCACTGAACACACAAACTGGCCAAAGAAGGTCATGGCGAACATTTCAGGCGCGGCCGTGCTCGTCTTGATCCAAGCCCCTATGCAGTTGAAGGCGGACCCCACCACCACCACGTCCCTCATGCCCCGGTTGTCCAGCAGCCACATGACAGGCAGGATGAGAGGGATGTAGGTGAGGAAATAGATCATGGAGAGCCAGTCGATGGCCAGGGTGTCAATGCTGTAGAATCGCATGAAGATGTTGCTGATGATGCTGTACTGCAGCCACATGAAGGCATTGCTCATGGAGTAGACGCTAAAGACAAATAGCATGACCCAGCGCCGCTTGTACAACTTGGTCTCCATCAGTGGGAAGAGCTGTGCAGTGTCCAGGACTGAAGGCTCCATGGTGTCACTGCTGTCTCCCAGTGGCAGGTGGTAGTTGTACTCCCCCAAACTTGTTCTCACTCTTCTTGTTGGAGAACAGTCGCTGCCCCTGTCCTTGCCATGGCCGTCCATCCACTCGTTAGGGAAATCATCCTGAGCGCTCATGTCGGTCCCACTGAAACTCTTCCCTTTTCCTTCAGGCTTCTGTGGCACTTAAAAGCTGGAAGGAAGAACAAATATTTCTCCTTGTGTGTGCGCTCTCTTAACACAGCCACAGTTCACCTGACTCGCCCCCTCCACCCAGCAGGTATTTCCTGCTTGCTGATCATAAATGAGCTCGCCTGCGGTGCCTTAAATGGAGATTACCGATGATTACTCTATTTGATTTAGCAGAGGTGAATCTGGGGTGTAGTTTAAATATGATGAGCTGTGTTGGAAATATCTGATGCCTGTCAACAGCTACATACCTGAGTCTTACTCCTCATTTCAAACTCCTCCTCCCAACTTGTCATAGCATAAACTACAACCTGGTTGACAGGTTCTGAGTGTGAAACTGAGGTAAAACGATCTATGAGAGAAACTTGATTTTATTGCTAAAGTTAGGCACATGACACTCACACATATAGATGTGCACAGAGGAGCTAAAGTCCATTGAGTGTGTTGCTTAACAAAGATTGCAAGTTCATCAGACAACTGACAAGCACTTAAAACGTGGACAGGCCAAAGGCAAAGGATAATTTTTGTTATTTTTCAAGCATGAAACTACTGACTCAAATGTTTGTGGTCAGCAAACATGCAATGCAAAGGAAGTCTGCAGGTGCAGTACTTACAGTCCTATGCAAATATGAGTAAATATAGACCTAAATCTGCAGCAAAATGCAGTTATCACTCCCTCCCATCAACATATGGGAATACATTTTTTAACATTTAACAGTGGATTATCAATCTGTATTACTTCTGAAATTATGATTGTAACATTTGGATAAAATAAGTTTTACACTTCTTTAAAATGACTGCTTTCATGCTGTGGCCATTAGGAGGAAGTTGGCCTCTGTGCTCAAACACAGTGTGACAGTATCCTGCTGTCTGCAGCCCAGTTATTAAAGTAGAGTGTTTGTGGTTCATAAATTGGATTTACTAATGCCCAATGACCTTATATTACATCATCTGTCATTTCTGTTGTCTTGACTCACATACCAATACACTTGATTTTAATATATACTGTATATACTGTGTATATATATATATATATATATATATATATACACACACATACACATATAGGAGTTTCCCCACATAGGGGATCAGTTTATTTGTAGAAATTCATACACTGTCCTCAAATTTTAGGGGACTAAAATAAGTAATTTATGACTTGCAGGACAGTTCATTTGTTTCCTGGTTATGCTCTGCCGGGCCTTTACTTCTGCCATCATTAGCCACAACAATGAAATCATATCATTGCCTTTCAGTTTCCTGCCTGCAATGGATACATTTACAACTATTTATATAACTAATTCTGATATATGTGTAATATTGATTGGAACATAATCAGCATGATATTTCATTTAAATATATGCTTCTTCACTAGTTGATTAATAATTAATTGAAGAGCCAAGTACTAGCTTCTGGGTTTTTGGTAATAAATAAGGACAAAGAAGCACTGACATAAGAGGTAAGTCGCTGTGATAAATGATTAGATGAGGTTAGTTCTCCCTGAGTTTAAACTTAGATTAATGCCTATACTTAAATACATGTCTCAGTTATAGTATTTGAATGACATGTGGAGGCCTCAACTGTTTAAAGCACTCGGCCCTTGAAAGAGAAGGATAGGGCCACTGACCTTTGTCCATGTTACTGAAGATAACACACACAGGACTGCATGACTGATGGGGGGTTGACATGTTTCACTGACAGTCTACCGAGATGCTTAAAATAAGATGGGGCGATGATGCTGAGATAATCTCTGGGACATTAAATAGTGGGTTCATAGCTATCAACGATAGAGGAAACTGGGGCATGTTGTCACCCTTTTTACTCAGAGATGTTTTTTCTTGATAAAGATTTACTACTGTGGCATAATTAAGACAATCCGTCATCATTATCACAATCATATCAATCAAGGTATCAATATTGAACAAGCAAAATTATCCTTTTGATTTGAGGTAATTTCATTTTATATATTCTTCCATCATACCACAAGTGTTCATAACAAAAGTTTCATGAGCAGCAGACCTGCAACTATTTTGACTGACACCTGATTATTTGACTGACAGAAAATGAATCTGAAACTATCCAAATAATCGAATAATCATTTCAAACATTTTTTAAGCAAACTGTCAAAACTGATCGATTCCAGCTTCCCAAATGCAAACACTTCAGGTATTCTTAGTCTTCTATGGTCGTATAAGGTTTCGGACTGTTAGTCACACAAAACATGGCATTATAGAAATCCCCATGAGCTCTGGAAACTTGTAATGGCCATTTTTTTTTGCTATTTGCAATGAAGAAAACTGCTGCCTAGTTTATTTTTTATTTAGTAATTCATTTATCTGTTAACTTTATGTTTCTCATTGTAAAATTATTTTGATAAGTTTCAATCTAAAAGAACATGAGTTGACTTTTGGTTATTCACTCAAAACACTGTAAGACAAAAAGTGAACATTTCATTAAAATGCTAACACTATGATTTAACTTTTAATGCTGTGTAGTTTGGAAAATAACACAACTGAAAGAAATAATAGTCATTTAGTAGTTAGTAATGGATATAATATATAGTTCTTTAGCATCAGTGCGGCTCTTTTGCATCTATTTCCAGTCATCACATTGAAGGATGCTGTAGATAAATAAGTGAGTGACTTGCAGCCCCAGTTTTCTCTATTGTTGGTTCCGATTGCGGAAAAAACGCGTAAGGGCGGGGGGGGGGGGGTCTTCAGCACCTTGAACAGACTGGAAATTTCCGATGGCAGTACTGTAGTGCCCCTGCCGTCTCCAACCTCCAGCTACACCACCTCTGCCTGCACGGAGCAAATCCATGAATGGAAGGAGTGTAGGGAAGAAAGGGAGAACCAACACCCCTGTCATGATATTCAAACTACGGCCCCAAATGCTCTTCACGTTCAGTATTCTCAGGCGTGTTTAAGGAAATACTCCGGTACAACACTGTGAACAGTAATCGGTAATAGGTGTTTTCATATCTAGTGTGAGGCACAGTAGTTGCTTATCGAGTTTGCTTTGTTGGCAGCGCATTCGCCTCATATCCATAAAAACATCGCAATAATACGTTTAGTTACAGTAGACAGGTCGACCATAAAACAATCCCAGGCTCATTTTGCTCCACAGCTAACACACTTTCGGTATTTCGGGCTTGAAGCTACCCCAACGATCAAATTACGCTTCCTTCAAGTGAAGAGACATGAGTAACTTAGCTATAAATAAATCCTTAACGAAGTCTGTTTTTCCGAGAGAACAGTTTCGCACACAAAAACATACAGAAAGCCTAAAAAAAAAAAAAAAAAAAAAAGAACCATCAGTTTACCATACCTGGAGAAACGGCAGCATTGACATACCTACTATAAAGTACACACTGAATCAATGCACCGCACCAGCAGAAGATGGCGAAATTGTGCAGACAGTAATCACGTCATTTCCCATTTGGTTGCCACCCTGAAAACAAATAACATGCAAGAAGAAGGAGTACTTTTCCTGCATAAATAATTGTGTATGGAGTTGGTTATGAAAAATATTTAGTAATGTGTAAGTAATCAGAATGTTTTTGTTTTTTTTACACTTTGAACATCAAGAACAAGAATTAAAGGTTAAATATTGTACCTAGGTTTTACTAAGCTGTAGGCCTGGTTGAGTTTTTTTTTTTTTTTACTTCTGTTCATTTCACAGGTAAATACTCCACTACATCTCTCTTGATAATTAAAATTAGCTAATTACTTTTCATATTAAAAATTTTACACAAAAAACACATAATGAGCTTCTAAAATGCAATATCTTGTCAAAGATTAAACCAGTGGTTTTGTGGCTGGTGACTCCTTACAGGAAATATCCCACATGGTTTCATTTCAGTAAGTTTTTGAGGCCAAAGAGGTAAAGTTATCCAATATTCACCAACAACAGAAAAGATAAGATGATACACATTTGTGTAGCAGAACCTTTTCTTCTTTTGTAACCCATTAATCATCTGCCTCTTAATATTGTGACCCCCATGTTGGGCACCACTGGACTGTACAATATGTAAAAGCTACAACAATAAAATGCAATTTAATCATTGGTGTATCAGTATTAAAATCTAACAATGTTATGTATAATGAACATATCAGCCACAGGGGCCATTTTTCAGCAGAACCACCACTTTTAGCTTTGAAACTTGTATTTTGCTGTTCCTCTGCACTTCCACTTAAGTGGGGTTTTGAGTGCAGGATTGTAATTTTGTTGTTCCATTTTTGAATGGCTTCTTGTTTCTTTTTCTTTTTTTCTTACGTATTCTAAGTAAAGGGTCTGAGTACTTCTTCCACCAGTGAAGATTGTTTGCTTGCAGGCTGAACATGAAGATGATACATTGATTCAACAGATCTCAAAATGTGCCAGAAAATTAAAAAAAAAAAATCCATGAACCCTGATAAGCTTTTTCAAGGTAAGCAGGTGCTGTAAATATGTTGATAAGCTTTACCAAGTCAGCCCACACACACGCACACACACACACACACACACACACACAAACACACACACAGAGAGAGAGAAGAGGAGAGATGATGACTTGAGCAGAGAGAGAGGAAGAACAGAGAGACGAGAGAGAGAGAGAGAGAGAGAGACAGAGAGGCTGTCTGCCTCTGTATCTCAGACTATGGGCCTACAGGCAATAAAAGGAAACAGTATCTGTTCCTGCTAAGTTTGTACAAACTGCAGAGGAGTTTTATCAGGATGTTTGCAGCTGTAACATCCTATGTGCTTAGTCTTGCTTCAAGTCAGTGATGAAAAATGATACAACGAAAGACCGTATTTACAAACACGTGATGTTCTCTCTATGATGGAAATCAGATATTGTTCAAAGAGTTCATCCCAATACCGATGCAGAAGTTTCCATGAATGTGTTGCACTTGTTTGCTTTGCTTTTTCTGTCTGTCCAGTTCATCCCTAACCAGCTCCATGAGGTTTAAGGTCTTCTAGTGTTTTGGGTCATTATCTTGCTGTAGGACGAACCCCTGACAAATCAGTCTGTCGATCTTTGTTACTTGCCTTTTTCTCACCATTCTAATGGTAATATACAGTACTACCTCCTGCAGTGCAGTATTGCCCTGGTAATGCATCAGAGGTTGTAGTGACACAGTTTGTTTCTACAGACAGCCTACAGCTCGTTAGCAAAAGTTGTTGCACCTGTTGGAATTGTTTGCATGACCTTTCAAGGCTTCGTTTACTTCCACTGCTGCAGGAAAGCTGTTAATTAACCAATTCCCTAATCCTTATTTACATGATGTTTCAGTTTTTGGTGACCTGGGCAGTTCACCACTTACCTTTGTACCGTGTAAAATTATTCACTGGACTTGAACAGCTTAAATTTCAATAAAACTGGAAAAATGGGGGTATTGTAAAATCTTAGGCAAGTAGTGTAAATAGGGATTGTGGACAGCAGTTAGGCCATAACTCATGTGTTGAGTATCCCACCACTCACACTTTGGTCCAGGATCATTATCAGAATCTTTTCTGTCACCATTGGTTGGTTTTGGTTGACTAACTTAAACTAAAATATTTCTCCTGAGGTCTGAGTCCCTTCCCAGGAATCTCTCATGTATTTTTTCATTCAGGTGAGAAATTACTGTCCTGATTAAGTTTAGGCATGGCAACTGCCCCAGGGCCCACAGACATGCAAGCCCCACTCCATTTCATTCACATGGAGGACCAGGAGGGGTATATACTGTGCCCCCAAACAGTTTAATCCAGCCATGAGTTCAGGTCAAACTAAACAAATAAAACTTCTTTGGGGGTTTTCGGGACAAAAACAAATCAAACAGAATATTGAGATCTGTTGCAGTGATACTTTCCCTTGAGCATCAGACATTAACTCACCTGATTTCCAAAAACTCCAATGGAGCAGGCGGTGGAAACCTCATCAGCGCCAAACCAGACCGACGCCAGGCGGGAGGGCATCCCGAGGATGAAGACCTGGGCCAGGGAACTTGCAAACTGTCCAAGCATGGTCACCCAGAACAGGTCGGGTCTGGCACTGGCCACCTTGATCCATGTCCCCGCGCAGTTGAGCGCGTTGGCCACCAGTGCCGTGACCCGCAGCCCTTTCTTATCCAGGAGCCAGGTGACCGGGAAGATGAAGGGGATGTAGGTGAGCATATAGACCATGGACAGCCAGTCCACAGCGAAGGACTCCACGTTGTAGAACTTCATAATGATGTTGCTGATGATGCCGTACTGGATCCATTGGTACGCGTTGCTCAGAGAGTAAGAGCTGAACAGGAACACGATCAACCAGCGCTTCTTGAACAGGCGCGTTGCGGCCGCAGAGCCGCTCTCACCGTTTGGGATGCTGTTGCATTCAATCTGGTCCGCGGCATCAGGACCTTTCGCTCCCAAATGAGGACCATTCTCCTTCGTGTCCTGCGCGCCACTGTCCAGTGAAGCTGGCATATTATCACTCATTTTGCCAATTAAAACGAGCGCACTTGGAAGATGAAGAATTCCTCCAGTAGCCTACTTCATCAAATGTCTTTAAAACCAGAAAAATAAATAAATAAAAATAAAAAACTGAGCAAATGAAATTACAGAGGTGTCAATGAAAATAAATCACGTATGACTTTCGTTCCATGTGGCAGAGCTAACGCCATCCAGTTGTCAGGCACATTGATTTCCTGTCCTTACAACATTACTGAGATAACTTCAGACTTATTCAGATGCAGGCTTCATTCCAAAGGACTGACCTGCTCTCCTCAAATTCATTCAATACTTGAGCTGCCGGAGAAATCCCCTTTATTACTGCACTTGGTACGAGCTGACCCGACTTTTACTCCACCCAGCTGCTGAGATAAGACATGACAGTGGCTGTTCACTGGCGGCTATATGTTCAGAAAAACACCTTTCAGTCGGCCAAGACAGACAAGACACACCTCAGCCTACAGACAAAAACAAACAAACTCAATAGAGACATTTACAAACCTAGAGTTTGTCCATGTTTATGCCTGTTTTACCTTAATCTCCATAGCAGATTTATCAGGGTGCCACAACAGCCAATGATATTCTTCTAGTTTATTATTAGAGGGTTGCTATTACCTCTCTACCAGTAGTTTCGTTTGGTTTGTCTTGCCTCATCCAAGGCCTTAATCTGCCAGTTAAATCCCTCCTGGTAAGTACAATGAGTGCCTTGTTATTCTGTGCTTTGTATTAGTTACTGCATGCTGAGCACTTCAGCTCTAATATAGGCCTGCTTATATTTTTTCACATCAGATACAGTGTGGATTAAATACCAAACCTGAACTCAACATAAATGTGATTACATGTCACTGCAGGTGCCCACTTCATTTAAAAAAATACAAAAGGAAAATAATGTGACAAGAAGTTTGATGACTTAGTTCAGAATTACAAATGAAGTGAAGGGAACAAGGTTAAACATAAAAAAAACATATATAATTTTACTTCATGAGGCATGCAGCTTCTCAACTGATATCATTTGTGTGGAACTGCTCACTGCTGAAAACACCTACAGGACCCCTTGTGATCCCCAAAGCCTCATATCTAAAAATTAGTCAAACGTTGTGGGGACAATTGACTGCTGGAGAGGTACATATGTTGCAATGCATAGGGTCAATATGGTATTATATTCAAGAAATTTCAAATAGTTTAAAATGTAGTAACAGTTTGGCACCATTTAAAATGTACTGTTGGTGTACAGTTAATCGGGTTGGGCTGCGACTGGCCACTAGATGGCACCCTTTACTAGAAATTGTGGTGACGAATATTTATCACATAACATGATACATGTGACATGTTTTCAATTCTCAGTTCTCAAAAAAATTCCTGTCAAAAAAGAAACTAAACATTTATTTCTTAAGGAAGTACAAAATGGGATTTTGTGATAGCTTATATGCTTATATAACATCATATACAAAAGTATAAAAAACATAAACATAATTGGTAGTAACAATATGGTAACAGAACATAAAGTACATTGATGTAAACAGTTCATATATATGTGCATACATGACGCCTGCGCCAAAACATAGGAATAAGGGGGGGGGGGGGGGTCAACTGCTCTGCCACCAAATGTATGAAAGAACAAAAATGACAGAAGGGTTTTTAATATAGTAAAAATGCTTCTGACTGTGTCTGTAGGTGTAACTTCATTCCTTAGTGTATGATGGTTAATGCATTTCAGCAGTTATTTTTTAATATATTTTATGAAATGCATCAATCTATTAAGATTTCAGTTAAAATTCAAATGATTCCCAGAATGCATTTTAACAAAGCCAAAACAAGCAAAAACAATCTTTAGCATAAAGACAGAGAAGTGTTGCAACCCCTCATTAAATCTATTTATAGCCTGATCCCACATATCCTTTGTTCTTTTGGGCCATCACACCTGCCTCACATGGAAACAGCAACTGAGACGCTGTTGAAACAACAGTTCTATGTAACTTGGCTGCAAACAGTTATAAAACTGTAGCATAGTTTAAGCCTACACTTCTCTTAAGTTATACATAACATAAATCGTAATTGTCACCAAATCACCAAATGAATTATTGAAATTACTGAGTTCACATTAACTTTTTAGGTTTTCAATAGTGGATTTTTTTTTCTGCTACCACACTCAGTTTTAGCTGCGGAAATCCGTTTTGGCTAAAGGCTAAAGTTAAGAACAGATATGGTACAAATCCACTATAAAACTACAAACTGAATGTCAGGAATGTAGGATAATGAGTTGTGTTTTTGTTTAACTTCATACTAATAGTGGCTGGAGCTCTGATGACCAAAATGACAGAACTAAATGGGGAAGCAAAAGAGAGAGAGAATTAAAAAAAAAAGTTAGATTTAACTGCCAAAACAGTGTCCAATCATACTGGATCCTCATTTTGTGCTGTAACGCACTGTGTCTTAGGGTAGGAGAGCTTTGCTGGTTCCCCTCAATGGCCGAGGCCCAAAGCTAAGTGCTGCTAGTTGGCTGCTTCTTTCTCAACCGTCAACTGTAGAAAGTCGCAAGCACCTTCACTTGGCCTCCAGTTGCTGCAGCAAGGGGTTCACCTCGCTCTCCGGGGTTTTGACACTATCTGTCCTGACAATACACGTGGGGCGATGGCGGTTCAGCATGAGGATCAGTTGCTGTCGTTCCAGCTTCAGCTCCTCGATCTGCGCTTTAAGGTCAGAGTTTAACATCTCTAGTCTCTCCGATTCCTGCCAGAGGATGGAGGGAAAAGGGAGTAGTGAAGAGGAAAAGACTGAGATAATGGGCAGATGATCTTTGGCAAGTTACAACAGATAAAATAAACAGGTGAGAGTGTGAAATAGTTATAAAGTGATTATCTAGGAATGTATGTCTCACCTTTTGTAGATAATCTGTCCTCTCTTTCTTTTTGTTTCGACACCGAGCTGCAGCCACTTTGTTTTTCTCCCGCCTTCGTTTCCTCCTCTCTTCTTCTTCATCTCTCTAAAGAACAGCGACAATATGTTAAACTGAGATGGACCCGCCAGAGTGTGAGACCCTCCAGGTTGAGGAATAAAATAATCATGATGACAATGAATATTTTCATCTTCTTTATATACATTGTTATTTGACTATAATGGTGTTAAACTTGAGATTTCATCACTATCATTATCAATATGCAAAATGAATGTGAACTAGATAAAGAACTACAGATTTTCCCACATTTCTATTTTCCAACTTACTTTATATGCATGTTTTATCATGCAAGTGGAATGCTTGCCGAATCTCACTGCTCACTGTAATAATAATGACTGTTTAAGTGGTCGACCATTAGTTCAATGAAATGATAAATTATGGAAAAACATACTGTAACTGCATGTAATGTCATCAGCAGTGAAGGTATCCGGCTCATACAGTTATTAGTGCACATGCATTTCATTCTGGCACAGTGTGCAACAAAGACAAAACCAGGCCTACGTTTAGCCTTGTCTGCAGTGTCGCCCTTTAAATGCTAAAGCAAGATTTGTCAAATCACATTTTACCATTTTTACTTTTAACCATATCTCCAGCATTGTTACATACTGTAACTGCATGTAATGTCATCAGCAGTGTAGGTATCCGGCTGATACACAGTTATTAGTGTACAATGGATGAAGCGCACCTCATTCATAATACTACTTCAGTCTACTACAGTAGACAACATTGTCAGTTATTTTATATCAAACCCTTTTACCCTGTCTTTCTGAAAACTCAACCCAAATTCAAAACTCAAAGCTAAGGGTCTGACAGCCCAATAGAGCCAGAGACCCTTCTTGTTCATGATCATGTTTTTCTCTGGACACTCAGGGTGGAGAGTCTCCCACAGTAAATATAACAACAGTAACATGCCCCACTATATCCACTAGGTGGTCCCGTTGATTAAGATATGTCACAATAGTGTTAACGCCAAAGGTGCTTTTGCTTCATGTCGACCTGCTTATGATATACGAGCGATATTTTATATATCTTTAAGCTAGAAGCTGTATGACAATTTGAAATGCTGTTTTTGGACTGTTGCACCTGTTGTTGTTGCTGTGGCAACAGCCCACAAAAAAGAACACATAAATATTTCAAAGTAAATTGGTAGAATGACCTAGAAGGAGCATGTTTGAGTAAAAACTCAAAATGGACTGTTCACATGTCCAGACATTTGGAGTTATTGGCTACGATCTGCTCAGTGTGTCCTATACCTCTGTTTTGATGACTAGAGGCCTTTTCCCCAGACTGTCCAGGAAGTGCAGAGGTGACAGCATTGTCCCAAACTCCTGGAGGTCACCAAATTTGAGCTTGTCAGTCAGCGTGGTGGCTGAGATCCCAGCCAGTGGGCCCAGGCTGGGCAGGGAGCCTGCTGTCACAGAGGGATCTGGGATTTGTCCTGGCATCGTGTCAGACTCGGTCGTGACCACAGCTAGGAGGCAGAGGGAGAAAATGGGAGACTGACTCAGACAGCAAGTAAACCAGATCAATGAAAAACACGTAAAACTCTGTGTGCTCTGCTTGTTATAGAACATACTGGGGCATTCTTTATGGTATGACGGTAGGAAACAGCCATTTTCCATTAACACATTGGAGGAAAATAGATATGTAAGTGCTGTATTTGACCTGCCGTCTGTTAAAGGGCTTCATGAAGGCATTTGCCCAAGGTTCACTGCTCCTTCCTAGCAGTCAGACTTGCCTTACTGTGATGAATTGCTGGTCTGTTATAGGAACCGGATGCTGAGGCTGCTCTCATTAGGCTATTTTATTATTTTGCTTCTTTTTCTGGAATGAATATACCACCATTTACAGAGGCTTTGGCAAGAATTTGCCGTATTTAATCCCCAAAGGCCAAAAGAGAGATGGGCAACAGTGCACAAAGCAGGCTCAGACAAATTCTCCTTACTTCCAAGGGGAGCTACAGCTAGCTGTTGCCAAGAAATACCCGTTAACTGTGGTTTCCTCCTTATGAGACTTAATGTCAGGGGAGTGGAACGTGGCTGTCAAAATACAACATAATGTGGGAAAGTTTGAATCCAAATTTAACTTGTTTTCTTTTGTTTAGCCAAATGACAAAATAAAGGTGACTCTGTTCTTATAATATTTTGTGCTGAACAGATTGTCACTGTGTTGTCCTGTCTAACACTGGCAAATATCTCCATTTGAAAATGGTGAACATGAACATTTAAATAGACCAGGAGACAATGAGAGACACAGGAAATTACTACAACAGCTCAGCGGATTTCCAAGCCACATGATGAAGCTAAAAACTACTATCTAAGGTCAATTGCTCAGAGACCATTAGCCCACAACACAGGAATAAACAGGCAATATCTGATATATCTAAAATACTGCTCTAGAAAACAACTGCCTAGTGATCATCTGTGAGGGCAGCCCAGGGGGGGTTTTAAAGAGTTTACGTATGCCAATTACGCATCTGTTAAATAGTTTGGCATAGACTATGAGCTAAAAGGAGACATGAGAATCGCACATGGGAATAACTCCATTTTTACACTTCCCCAAACTATAAGTCAGAGTGACAAAGTGGAACTCTGCAGATCACGATGTTGGCACATGATGGCCAGAGGCAACATTTGTTTTGAAAAGGTGCGTAACACACTGGTTAAATAGAGATCATTTGTTGTCACACACATCAGGATTGTAGTTTGAAATTTTAATGAAACCAAAGCAAAAGCCAAAACCACCTTAACTCCATGGGTGTTAAACATTTTCATAAAAAGGATTCCCATGCACACAATGTGGACAACTTACTGCCATTTGAATCTATTATACTCCACAGTGTAGGTATGATTAAATCAGCCATTTAACATTCTCTTATAATGGTAATAACTTTATTATAGCCCTGAAGCTGCAAGGAACCTATGAACATATAGTGCTGATAAAACTGCATCATCAGTATTTGTTTTGAGCTCCTTGCACTTTTACACGAGGAAGCCTCAGTGTAGTTTATGAATATAAATAAGCAGTAGTTTATGAATACATGTGTAATCGACAACATTGTGGTGAAGCATGCACACTAGAGCCACTGGTCAACTTGAAAGCGGAAGTTTTTCTTCAGTGCGGCATTTTTCTTACGTAACTTTCTCTTTCCATCAGAGAGCTGCAGTGATAAAAATGTTACAGCATTTCGTTCAGAGCGGATTTCGCTTTGAATAAATACCGTTTTAAGATTCACAGCGCAGCGTAATGTAAATGCTACACTACACAAAATAGGAACATTTTGTTCTGAATTGTGCACGCCGTGGTTCCATGTAAGAGGAGCATGCACACAAAAGAAAAATGATCTTTCTGTAGCATGCTCAGTGACATGTCAGGTCTACTTTGAACACCGAAAAACACGTAAAAGTCCGACTGAGCTCTGAAATGCACCCTATAAGCGAAAACATCACAGACCTGCTCGCTGCCTGTTCACTAACTATGCTCGTTGTGACCTATGCGTGGCGCGCCAATAAGCTATTCAGCATGTAAAAAATGATTCAGCTCTCGACTTATGAAGTTTTCTATACCGACCTGACTTTGATCCCAGGTGCAACAAATGTCCTTTCTTCTGGTCAGCCGAGGGTCGAGAGTAGATTTTAAAAAGTGGAAATCGTTGCATCAGCCCGATTTTAAACGTGATCCCAATCTGGGAGGATTTGGGAATGCGGAAATTAGGCTATGCCAGCCAAACGTAAGCAGGGATGTAAAAAAGTACATAGTGGGGGCAGAAGTGGGGAAGTCGCACCGCTCCTCCCATAAAGAAGAAACACTGAGGCTGCAAACTGCTGCAACGACAGACTGTGGCTCAGATGGAGGCCTGCACTGCAAACACATTACTACCACTGATCCACAGTGAACACACAAACAAGGGCCAAATGGATAATACGCAAATATAAAAGATCAACCATTTTAACTGGGTTATATAAAATACTAAAGTTATGTTTAAGGAATATAGTGCTGTAATTTAATAAAATCATACCTTAAACTCTACCTTGTATATCATACAGATACTGCAAGTTGATTAGTAGAATTATAACCTTATAATTTAATGTATTGGAACAATATATAAATTTATTTAAAACACCGAGCTGTCACTTTCAATATTTTCATCTTGATAAAAAAGACAAAAAAAAAAAGATTTCTCAGAGACAGATTGCAAACACTGGCACCAAACACCACTCTGAATGTAGATTTATTTGTAATTATTCAGCAGCATAGATAAGCAATCAATGCTCATTTTACTTATTTTTAAATTTAACAAATAAGTCAAAATCTGAAAGGTAAAAAAATAAATCATAAGTTACATCTTGATAAGATATATATAATATATAGTATATATATATATATATATTTATATATATATATATATATATATAGTATATAGCACTGGATGTTTTCATGGAAAACTTTCAACATTTTAACAATGAGGTCAAACCACAGTTGATGACATTGAGGTATGCAGGTACTTAACATAGATGTATATGTAAATACAACATTTACAGCAATCAATATACTATTGACACCAAAACACAAAACCATACTGTAACATTAAATTCCACATTACATCTTAGATCTAGGAACAGATCAGATATATATGAGCTTTGAAAATTATTTGGAATTTCTCAGCATGCGTTTTAAAATCAAAACTTACTTCAGTCCCTCCTGTTAAAGTAAAAGCCATGCTTTTAGCTACATCACTCTGTTGGCTATGTATCTGGAGAAAGTTTATATGTTTGCTTAGTCACACACAAGACATTTCATGAATGTATTCCTTGAAGTGTTACGGCATACTGTGGCATATGTTGTTCATATCGTTTCAAAGTCAAGAACCTGCAAACAGAGAAACCAGAGAGATCAGACAGGTAATCTCCCTCTGTACATTATAAGGCTAGGAGAGTTGGAGAGTTGAGGATGTCAACAGATTCGGCTTTGCCCCCTCCACCTTTATGGCTGTCCAATCCCTCTGTGAGACAGTCCAGCTCGGGACACGCAAATGTGAACACAGACAGGTAGCTGCTGCAGGTGGGGGTGGAGGTCACCACAGGAGTGCTGAGAGGCTCCAGGTCGCTCGAAACAGACTTGTACAAGGTCTCCCAGTCCGAGACCCCGAGAGAACTGCTCAGGTCTATGTCTGGCACGGACCGGGCCGTCTCCATGGGGGTTTTCTCTTCCAAACTGGGTAACATACTGTCCAGCAGGCCCTCCTTAATGTCCAGAGAGGGCTCGAGATCGCAGATGTTGATTTCAGCGCTGGCACACAGCAAGATATTGGAGTTCCCAGAGATGGCTGTGGACGGATCGCTGGGGATGTCCATGTCCTGGAGCGAAGGAGCTTCCTGGATGCCATCCTCTGGAAGTCTGTCCTCGTCTGGACTGGGCGGTAGCTCTGGGGATCCCGCGGGCTCCTGGAAAATAGCCTCCAGCTCCTCTGACATTTGGCACACTGGTTTATGTGTAGCAAGGATAAATTCAAGCCTCTCTTTCTCTTTGAGGAGGTTGGCTATTTCCGTCTCCAGGGCTGCTTTCTCCTCCTCCAGCTTGTCTGTCTCCTTCAGAGAGATCGACATCCAAAATCATCCACACGGGAAAACACGTAACAGTGGGTGCAAATGACAGCTGAGTAAATGCATCACTGTTTACTTACAGTTTGCAGTGTATCTGTGAGTTCCCTCCGTCTGTTGCGACACTTTGCTGCGGCCATTTTATTCCTCTCCCTCCTTATCCTCTTTTTCTCTTCCTCCTCTGGAGACAGCTGGGATGTGAAAGGAATAATTCAGTTACTACCTTGAAGAATCCAGCCATTTCACCTCCTAATCCACTACATCCGCTGCCAATCCACCCTCTGAAAAATGGCAAAAGCATGTTTCGCTGCAATGCGTCTAAAAATAGACCATTGTTGCAGACTTGCTGTGACCTGAATATAAATTGACTGCCTAAGGAAGGCATACAGCCAGCACAAGGCACCAGAGGAGCATGCACAATAGCACTGTTGCACACAAGGAATTCAGATTGACATATGTAAATTTACACTGTTGACTATTCTGTCCAATAGCAGGTAGACTTCGTCTGAGCTAACCTACCTGCTCTGTTTTCCCCTTTCTGACAGCATTTTTTCCCTTATTCCCGCCTGCTTTGGGTGTTGCCCTGTGAGAGCTTTGCGGTTCATTGGCTTGCTTGCTACCCAGAGACGGGGAGACAGATGTAATAATTGTAGGCTGGACCATCCACTGGAAATCTGGGGTAGAGGAAATTGCAGTGACTGTTGGAACAAATGGAGTGTCTTGAACGCTCATATCTTGGCAGACATCCTGAAAAAAATGGAAATAAATCAACAATGAGGACTACAATAGAGATTTTTTTTTTTAATAATTCTATTCCCATGCTATTAGTGGTTTAAAGTGAATCTTATTATGATGACAGTTATCAGTGAAACATACTAATCATATGTTTAGAGTCTAAAACAAAGGGTAGCCTGCATGTGTTATATTTTCTTGAAATTTACCCGACCAGAAATAGCCTTCTCCAGATCAATATTTGACTTTATCATTGTTTCTGACGTCAACACTGACGCAGAGATGCTGTGGAGTCTCCTGAATGGATTTATTTTTCTCAATGAACCGCTGCATCGACACGCTCACATTTGGTCCCAGGACGTCGGAATCATAACAAGACGACCTACAGTGCAATTCTGTCACATCACCTGCGCCGATCTCAGGTTCAATTATATAATCAAGTATATTAAAAAAAATGATGTTGAAAAATTAAAGCGCACCCAGTTAATTAAAATCTTATCAATCAGTTCCACCTCCCCCTCCCCCCACCACCAAGATAAAAAGCATTAGGACACTCAGTCTGTGAATCAAATAAAAAAGGGTTGTTATATCTGCTTGTAAATGGGGTGCCCCCCCCCCCCCTCCTCCCCCCCGCGGGCTGCATGTTGAATATATATGATCAACAAAGCCATTCATACCTTTGCATTGCTCTCCGAGGAGGCGGCGGGAGAGCTCGCCTCTTCTTGCGTCTTCTGGCAGAGTGTCCCGACAGGAGACTCTGTCCGGCAGGTGGGAGAGACTGAATCCATGTCAGGCGTCAGGTTGTTATGATACATCACGAGGGAAAAAAAACCCACAAGTCCTGATCAATGACAAATATGACTCTGGCCTTCCGCTGGGCAGAGCGGCTCGGGTCTTTTCTCCAGGTATATACCTGGTAACTGGACGACTAGAATGCAAGCCCCTCCTTTTATGCTCTGCTAGAATTTTATGAATGAACCAAGACTGTACCATCCGCGGAGGGGGAGGGGGGGTCAGACTGACAGCCACAGAGGCCTACATTTTGGGGTAAAAGAGCATTATTTTGACATCTTTCCTCTGGTGGATTTACTCCACGAATAATATGTAAACGCTTTTCTTAGATCTCGTCACCGCTTCATTGCCGCACGAAAGCCCGACAACAGTTTTCACTCCCTTTCACAAATATCGGCTTCTAATGAATGCAATGTGGGGTGAGAAACGTGAGCCTATTTATAAATACACGTATGCAACCATTTCCTGGGCGATCAAAATTGGATTTGATGTGATAATTTAATCAAGGGTAAATGATAGGCTACCTACTTAAGTGATTATGAATAGACAAAAATGATCCAATGTTTTTGTTTTTTTTTTAAATAATATAACAGCTGGTTTCATTGCAAGGCCGACTTGACACATTTTGCACGTCCATTTCAAAAATACATTATGTCGACTATAGCTTACATATTAAACCCGCTTATGAAATAAAAGGCTGGTGTTCTTAACAGTCTGACAGACATCTCTCAGTGAGCTCAGCACTTCAGCACTGCGTTTTACAAAGATAAGAATCGAGGGCTGTTGGCAGACATAATGAAATGCTGCTGAATTGTTTACTTCGGGAGGAGGTGGTGGTGGTGGTGGTGGTGGTGAAGAGGAGAGGTGAGAGCATCTGGGGGCGGAGAAGTCACGTGACATGACCCGGAACTTGGGGGGAGGAGAGAGGGGTCACATTTGACAGGAGACGCATCATCCTTCTCTCCCATCACAACACATGAACGGTACCATGTTTTCCTCCGGATGCATGTCGTGTTGGACCCGGTGTTTGCAGCTCTTCAAGAGGACATCCACACAGATGTGCTGGTCACAGGCGAATATGAATTCAGCGAAAAACCAGGAACTACAACTAATCTGAAGGTAAGTGGACGATCACACTGCAGCTGTAACATGTGGCAGACTTTATTAGATTGTTACTATGGGCGAGTTTGTGAATGAAACAGTGAGTTTACTGTATTTTCATGCCAAAAATGCGTGATTGAAAAATAACACTTTCGGTCAATACATCCTGCAATGAATAAAGCTAGTCATGTAAACACTCCCATCGTGTTTCCTTTCATGTAAAAGGGTACAATGAAGCTTTTCTTATTAATTTCATATTTTAGGGATGGTCAGAGTTAAAATTAATCTGATCACCAAAAAAGTAAAACCATTTTGATGGAAGAGTCTAATACCATCTGTCACTTTATTACTTTGTAGCCTTTAAGGCCAGGAAATAAAACACATCACGATATCACTTGTCTAGTCTCATATGAAGATATCAATATAAGGGAGTCCAAGGGATTCACTGAGTTGATAACTGAGATGTCTTTCCTCATATCACTGATTCTTTTGGCCACATGTTGTACACAAAGGAGAAGTTTTCATTCACAACAGAAAAAGTTTAATGTTTGCTTTTAGACAGCAGATCCACTCGCTGAATAATAAATAATTTAAAATAGTAAGAAATAAATCATGTTTTTTTTCTCAATTAACTACTTGTGATAAAGGGGAATATTCCAACTCAAATGGACAAACAGTACATAAATTATTAGATTATTTTAAGATGCATAATTGGGGATATCCAAGTGATGGCAAAAGCCTAAATATGTTCTGTCAAATAACTTAATTAGCGGAAGCAAAGAACTATTAAGTGTTAATATTGTTATATCCAATAACACAAATTTGAATCCAAGCTATTTCTGATAATTCAATGCATGATGAACTTTGTGACGGCAGGAAGATGATGCAGAGATCACAGCATCTAAACAGGTTTGATAAATATGACTGTTGCAACCTCTTTGACCGGTTGAAAAAAAGAGGAGAAACTGACCCCCCTTGAGGCGAAGATAAGACATTTTGAGTACCTCTCACAGTCCATCGCAAATAACTTTAACTACTTAAGGAAACAAGGGACAGAGATGCAAGACACAAATGCTAAATGGATAGAGCAAATTGCCCTTGGGGCAGAAAACTGTTGCACTGTTCTATGGATTTAAATTTATTTATTAATTTTTTGGCCACATCCTAGTGTGTCATGTGTAGCAGGCGGTGTCTTTAACAACAGAGAAAAATCACCTGTTGTTTGGGTTGGGGCCAGAAAAAGGGTTTGAACTCAGTTCAGAACTCAGTTTCCTCCAGTGCTTGTTGCCTCCAAAACTATCAAGTTAACTGAGCAGTTTAAAAAAAGGTTGACAGTTTTAACACTATTTGACCCCCATTTCCTTAAACAGGTTCCACCAACGCATGATTGCTGCTCTTCAGCATCATCTCCATGTACTGTTTTTAATTGCACTGGCTGTGTGGCAGGTTTTTATTTTATCTAAGGGATTCTTCAAGGCAAAGGAGTTGATTGACTGAGGGCGTGTTTTCAAGCACAACCTGAGGGATACACCTTGATCAAGTGCACTCCAAGTTTTGAAATATTTACGTGGTCACTGCAATGGGCCTTTTTCTACTTTTCTGACGATGCATCACGTTTCATCAATGTCAATTTAACATTGATTTTAGTATTTAATCTTTCTGTGTGCTTGGTGATGTAACGGTGATGTCCTTCATTTGTAAAAACTAAATGTTATTAATTTATGACATGTTTAATAAAGTGATTTTTGTTAATGGATTAGAATTCATTTTGTTGACAATTTAAATTTAATTTAGACATTTAACATAAAACACACACCCACTTATCTATTTCCATATAGTTCCCAAGCTTTATGCATTCTTCTCAGCTTTTGGAGGTTGGGTTTCTGTAATTCCTGCAGAGACAAGAATGCTTAGTCACCACCAGATTGCTGTGCTGTAAGATGCCTTGAATACTACATTTAGTCCAAGGTTCAGTGTGCTACTCCATTCTAGTACCTTCTGGTCTTTGTCCAAATGCAGGATGTCTACGAGGGGAGCAATGGAAGGACGACCATGGGCACACTGGAAGGGCAGCTGGCAGGAGGATAAGGATGCTACCAAGCTGTGGCATTCATCTCTGCTCAGGCTGTCATTGAATTTGATGGCACCTGTTTAATGCGTACATGTATACAAATAAGTATAAAGATTTTGGGCTCATCACTGCAGAAAAAAAAAAAAACTGAAGGAGAGAAATAATGTCATTTTACCGTGACATGCTAGGGAGGCAAGCACTTTCAGCACAGTGAGAGGCAAAGTTCCTCTCACTCTACCAGTTGAGCGGAGTAACTGAAACAATAAGAGAAACAATACATTTGACCCTTTATGGAATTGTAAGACCCCTTTCTACGCCACAAAGATTTAGGAAGTAGAAAGACACTTGCAAGCTTACCTCAATCTGCTCTCGTAGATACTCCTGATGTGAGATAAAGCAAAGTGGTAAACTTAACTGTAAAACCATCACTTAGCTAATTGCGTGATGTAGTTAACTATCTCCACACTGAGGTTTCACAAGTCTTACCTCAACTATAGGCTTGATAACAGATGGTCTCCCTCGCCTTAGCTCATTGCTCTCCTTTTCCATGAAGCACAATGGTACCTTCCCCACAAATACTTGTGGATCTGCTGCCTGTGAGAACTTCACTTCCAGGCCCAATTTCCGTAAATCTGCCTGACAAGACCTGTTCGAGGAAGGGTACACAGTTCTTTGAAAATACAAGAAACATTGTTATACATTATATGCAATGTTATAATGTCTTTGATATTAGACAAATGGGTTGGGGAAAAAATAGCTTAACTGCTGTATTCACTATAGTCGTGGAATTAAACAGTTTGACATAAATGAAAGAGATGTGCTCATGTTTCAACGATACAAAGCAACGTCACACAGCAATGGTGAATGGTGGTTTAACACATTTACAGATTACAGAATACAGATTCTGGCAGTTACAGAACCATCAGCCTCCAGTCCAAATCAGACAGATGGCATGACTACCCAGAACTGCAATTTAGGCTGTATCCGTCCAGAGGTAATGCTGACATGATTTTTTTGACGACGCCAAGTACAAGAGAAATACAGTCCACAAAAGCAACCTGTGTACTTCAGTGTAATGGGTTTAATAGATTTAACTGAGGCCTTTTACACTGTATCTTGCAGGAAATTTGACATACACCATTAATACGGGCTGCCTAGACAAGAACATTGGAGCACTGACATTACTTAATGATGACATGTGAACCAAAGTGCTACGCAACATCCCAGAGTTAACACAGGGTTGAAATGAGGCTGCGTCACTGTGCCCATCCCCCTTTTGTCATCTTTATTACTACCATCCTTCACCTCATCGCCAAAATCTGCTGCTGGGTGTCTCAGGCTGTTAAACCTCAACCAGTTTAAGTCCAGCTGCAGAGTATGTAGTTCATCAAGCAATGACATCATCATCACAGCAAAGTAAAAAAAACCCTATGTATTCTAAACACCTTTACTAACGCATATAGGCCAATACAGAAGACACAGGTTATGCATCAGCTATTGTATGACTAACGACATGATAGAGCCTAAAAAAACCAAAAAACTAAGAAAATAATGTAGACTACTTTCACTAAATTAGAAATATTCTGTCCTGAAAATCAGATGCTGACTTAGAGATTTATCCTCACCGGAGTTGGAGGCTCACAACTGTAATGGACAGGCCACTGAGAGTGGCTTCCATGTTGAATAAGTATTGATTGAACTGTCTTATGATATACTATGAAAAACTTTATACTCTCAATATACTGTATCAGCCTTTACGTCAGTCCACTGGTGATGCTGTTGTACTGTACATATACAGTAGATAAACACACCTAAGCAGCCTTAGCTCCTCTTCTGTTACATTGATCTCAAGAGGTGGCAAGATGGTTGAGGAACACAGACGTCTCTCCCCTGATGCATCTGGGTCATCCTCATAGGAATCTGTAAACGCACATACAGTTGAGACAGTAGCATCGCATCAACACCATAATTCATTTAACATCTAATTCTCAAAATGAATACTGTGCAGTTTTTACCTGCAACTAAATTTTCGAGCCGAACTCTCTCGTGTGCAGCGTGTTGATCCACCAGCACCAGAAGATTTCCTGCAGTTTCAATACACACACGAATATTCAAATGCATGAGATGTTGGCAAAACAATAAATGACAAAACAGTGAGGTTCCTGGCTATACCTTCAGTTTCAGTGTGCGCTGCAGGTTCTTCGTCTCTTGTATCGATAAGACATGCAAGAAACTTCTTATCCACTTGATGAATAACCTGTAAGGTAATTAAATAGCAATTACGTTATAACATCAACGGAGACGAAATGGTTGAAGCATTATAAAGAACATTTTTTCAGAATATTCAAAAAGGAAGCCAAAAGACAAATGTGCCTTCATTGTGTGAATCATGGTCTTAGAAAAGCGGTATGGAAACAGGATGTTATGGATCTTTACAGCCAGTCCATCAGCTTGCCCATTTGATATGTCCACACCAACCTGTAGGTAAAATTCATAATGAATCATTAAATTATTTAAAAAAAAAAAAAAACCAAAGGCTCACAAATGCGTTCTAATACAAAGAAAACATTATTTACCATAGGAGGTCGGACAAACACAGGATTTTTCCATTTCGAGTACAATGAAGAAAGTGAATTGGAGCTCTCACCATCATCATCTGTGAGGGCAGACAAGATTACGTGTAAACACAAACAAGCTGGTGATGATTTTGTACAGTGTGTGTTAGGTCCTTACAGTCTACAATCTGATCTGTCCGTGAGGTACCTCTGTCATCAAGCCCTGAACTAATCACTCTCTCTGTCCTGGATCTAGGCAGGAAGGGCAACACTAGATCCACCTGAAATGGGTAACACCTGTATTCCATCCCTACATGAGCATGAAAGTAAACATGGGCATTATGGCTAACACTTGATCCACATGACTGTTTATCCATTTTCTCGGTTAAATCAATCACCGCGAAGGTTTTCATCCTTATTGATGACTAGTAATTCCATGTCAAATCAACAGATTTTGTAAAGTTTTCCCAAGTGGCCATCATGGGATGGTCTGTGACTAGCTTCAAACTTCACGTGACTAAGGTCATTGTACCCAACAATGAGTATGCAAAATTTCTGCCCCGTATCTCCTTTAGTTTCTGAGATATAAAAAAGGGGTTGTGGCCCTATTAAACATGTGTTGCTAAAAAAGTTCCATAAGTCATTCGACTATTCATGCTACATGCTTGACATTTTCAGGGACTGTTCTACGCTATTTGATGTCTTTAACTTATAAAATGGTTAGCCTACAGTTGCATATTTCCCGAGTTCCCAGATGGCCGGTCGGGAGGTTTCTGTTGATTTGACATGGAATGATTCGACTACTATTTCCTGGTACCATTATGTCAACAAATATGTCTACTAGCGTACCTGTTTCAGAGATGACACTAACTGCCATATTGGTGACATCAGATGTACAGCGCACATGTGTTTCTTCAGTGGATGGATCCTCGTATTTGCTAAGCCCAGTCACTCTGTTGATGTAAACATTCTTTCCCACTGATGTATCGTAGTGATGAAGCCAGTCACCTGATGTTGTATCCCCTTCCTTCTCACACAATTGAGGGTTTGTATTGCTACATGAGACTGGCTCAGGGTTCAGTGCAGTGTCACAGGGATTCTCATTGTTGTTGCTGTCTTGGATATCATTACCACTGCTGAGACAGCTACTGTCCTCTGAGGTAGTCCTGGAAAAGTGCGGTAACACCTTTGAAGCTTCTGTCCTGTGCTGTTTCAAATGACAGAGTTTAGAAGCCAAAGATTTTTTGCCTTTATTCTGAGCAGAGACTGGTTTTAGTTTAGTGAAAACTGAGAGGGTTGCTGGGCTTCGGAGGCTGCTCTGTGTCTCCTTTTTTTGTGGCTGTGTAAGATCAACATCTTGCTGATCTTTTTGACAAACTGACAAATTCTGGGGATTCGAAATAAGGCCTGTGTTTGCCTGTGGAAGCCTAGCATTGTTCTGTAAATGAGTCTCCAAAGAGGGTAATTTTATTTCATCACATTTACCAAATACTCTTCTAAAGTTGTCAAGAGATCCAGATTCTTTGGGTAAAGAAAACCTTTGACAGGATACATATCTGGGAATCTTTGAGGGAACAATAGGATCAAAGTCTTCGCATTGTTTCCGACAAGATCTGTCATGGCTTGCATCCAGTGAAATTTTGCACTTTGATGCAAAGGATCTCTCATCACCTTTCTGTGCTAGGTTTTGCTGCTGAAATACTGACTTGTTGATTTGGGACAGGTCATGAGTATGCAAGCTTTGATGAATGAATGGATCAGACAGACTGATCTTTCTGTTACTTATCAATGTCCGTCTGTGTCCTCCTGGACCCTGACAGTCAGGTAATAATTGCTCGATACTGTATAAATCAGGATGAATTTGTTGAGTGATGCAGTCTGGTAAAGTCACATTGCTGGTTGAGGTAGAACTATTCAATATGTCTCTTTCATTTGAAAGTTGTGAGTGACTTGACAGGCATAAAAATTGAGAGCCTTCCCCAGCTTTACTGAATGTTGGCTCCTCTACTTCAATTCTGTTATCATCAGATGCAGGTTCCAGTTGAGCCAGATCACATCGGGGCTCATCTCTACATTCTTCATATATGCATCCTTCACTTTGTATCTTTTCCATGTCACTTGTGGGTATCTGTTCAGCTTCAGTTTCTTCACATTCCATCAGACCAGACTCCTGGCAAACACCATCCTCAGAAATATCTCTGCGCTTACGATGAACAGATTCAGATGCCAGTTTCATTCCAACACTGCAATCTAGTGTGAAAGCACTCCTAGTTGCTTGGCCACCTTCGTCACTGTTGTTCCCCTCTTGGTCCATATTGTCAGTGCCAAACAGTTCAGGAGACACACAGTCCAAGTCATCTTGAGAAAGCACAGCCACCAAGTTCTCCTTTCTCAGGAAAGCTTTCACTGCCTCTTCAATGCAGAGCAAAATGCCATCCCAATCTTTGAACTCTATTAGAGTTTTGGCAGGCTCAAGACAGATGTCATACTCAGAGTAAGAGCATTTGATGTTGATGATATATACTCCATGCAGGTCTTGGTTTCGTTTTAACTTTGGACTCCTGATGGCAGACTGCCCATCTGGACTGTCATTTTTCTGATTTGAACTGCTCAGTCTACGTAGGAGAAAACTCAACAGCTTGTGTATCTGTGTTTTCAGCAGCAGTCTATCATTTACATACAGGAACTGTAAACTGTTGTTGTAGTGGCCCTCTCTGCCAATGTAACCCGTCACTTCAAACTGTCCATGTGTGTAGCAAATTTCTCCCAGTTTCTGTGCTCGCCCAAGGCTGTGTATCTGAACAAACCTGTGGTAAGTGTTTTTGGCTTTGGGAAGCTGCACCGTCATGACTCCCGTGCAGTCATTCTTCAGGGTGAAAGACACAGAGGGATGCATCAGAGAAATAGCCTCCACTCTGTGTCTGATCCTCTCACCCTCCAGGACAGCATCCATCCTCTTCCTCCGGACTGGCATGTTGTGGAAGAAGTTACAAATGACGATAGTTGTCCCTGCAGACGGTCGAGCAGTCTCTGCTTCGAAGACATCCAAACCTTTGGCGTTCTTGAACATTTTCACGTTTGTTTTCACGGATGATCTGGTTCGGGATGTGATTTCAACAAGTGCGGCCAAAGAAACTATACTCGCCAAGGCTTCTCCTCTAAATCCATACCACCTGAGGTTGTCCAAGTTTTCAAGAGAGTTGCACTTGCTTGTGTGGTATCGGTTTCCCACACACTCCATATCCTCAACGCTCATCCCAGCGCCGTTGTCGATTACCTGAACTTTGAACGCCTCCATGTCCATCCTGACTCCTACACAGGTCGCTCCGGCATCGATGCTGTTTAGGATGAGCTCCTCTACGCACTGTTGAAGGGAGGGGATGGCGACACCGGAGCGAAGTTTCCCCTGAACCTCTTTGGGCAAACACTTAATCATGGTGTTCATTAAATTCAGTTGGTATGTTTAGTCTCTTCCCTGTCCTGACCGACTACAAGCAATAACATAACTTGTCCGTTGCTACCTAACGTCCAGAGACATTAGCTCAACGCTAGCTAGTTCCACGAGTTCCAACGATAACTTTTTGACGGTGACATATTCAAAATACTTCTGGTTTCAAAACTCATTAAAATCAACAATAAAACGGACTAAAACCTGACTAAAATCAACACACCTAGCTACTGTTTACAGTCAACGTGAAACAAAGACATGAACGTAAGAGCTAACATTTGACGCTGACAGCGCCATCTTCTGGTGTGAAGGACCTCGTCCTTCTTTTTCTTTGGATCAATGGAAAGTTGCAACCAGCTTGTAACTTGCATACCGCCACCTACTGTACGAAGTGTGTTATCTCGTGTTTATAGACTGACACAACGTTGCATTTTAATAACTGCCATTTTATTATCCTTGTATTTTCAAATTAAAGTTTATGTACAAGTAAAATTTCACCTGATTCCTGGAGCCTAGCAAGTTTTCTCTTATTCATTCTTATGAATCTTTCCATTCATGACCCATCTTACATTTTGTGTGTAGTTTTATTCCTATGAATAAAGTCACATTTTCTCTATTCAAATTTCTCATTAAGAAGTGTATAGATGTTAATTTTGTATGTTAGTCTTAGTCTTGTGAATACCACTTTTTCACTTCTTTGTTGCCCCCTTTGTAAGTGTAGCTATAACTAGTGTGTAGTGTAGTGTAACTATCAACCTGAAGGTACTTGACACAGTAGTTAGTTTGACTTTCTAATAGTAGGAAAAGCACAGGTGTTACTAATAACACTAACAATGGCTCTGTTGTATTTAAGTATGCCAGTAAGACAAAACAGTGTGACAGTGAGCCAGCATCTTAATACAGGAACATGATGCTGAAGCAGTTAGTTCATTTTATCATGTACACCTGTGACTTTTTTGGGGGAAAAAGGCCTATTAAGGCAGCAAACAAATCAGTCAACACACCTAGTATTTATTAGCTGTTCCTATCATCTCTGCTCCTCATGATAGTTTTAAAGTAAAACCAAAAGTCTGTAACTGCAAATACGCCTCTGTGTTTTTTTGGAGTAACTCAGTTCAAGTCTATGACAGCTTTGTGATTCCTGCACTGACATGACCATTTAAAATGCCTTTTGAAAATATGCTACTAAGAAGCTGGACTAATCCTGCAGTTTATTTTGGTACTTGATCTTCATGAGTATTTCCACAATGGATCAATTTAAAACAAATTGAGGATTAATACATTCTACATCGTTGTCAGTGTTTGCCCACAGTCGTCTGCAGAGCTCAGTCCTTGCCAACGGAGGGCAGCAGCATTCTGTTGAGTATTAAGTCGTTCTTCTGGCTCCCCTCAGTCTCGTTCAGTTTTTATGGAGGCCCTTGAAGACAGTCGTGACCGATTTCAAGGTCATACCATTGCCTGTTTTCTCAGCAGGATTTTTGCGGGGCTCTGGTTTGTTTGCAAATGTACCATTCTAACACACTTACAGTCTTTGCTAACTCATGTGGTCACCTCTTATGACGACACTGCTGATTTGGCCTTTTAAAATTAAACTCATCAAATAACCCCTTATTGTTGTTACTACAAAAAATATTCAAACATGGAGCCCACTGAGAGAGAGTTTCCATTTATTAATGTAATTACATGTGTTGTACATGTTAAGGAGACCTAACTTACACACACATTTTCAACTCATGTGTTGCCTTCCTAAAAATGAAAATACTAAATAAATAACACATCTGCTTTAAAGTTAATTTTACAGGCACAATATATGGGTTCATTTATTTTACTATGTTAAAAGATGAGTGTTCTAGGCTGTCAACTATTTTCTCATTCTTGAACTCCGCCTTGGTTATTTGAGACTTGGGGCTCCCAGTGGATTTCAACCATTCTTGCATTTCTTTCACCTTGTTGCGTGGCCCTTGTAGCTGCCCCAGAACAGTTCCTGCACCTGTGTTTTGGACCCATCCAACCAGGCCAAGCTTCTTCCCCTCTGCCTGGAAAATGACACAGATGGTTATGATGGAGAACATGGGTAGGATGGGATAGATGTGATTTCATACAAGTAAGAAAAAAGCTGTGCATAAATTATTGAGTAGTAGTTAAGAGTCACAGCTCATGGAACAATTGGACAGGGTACTTATTGTTGCCTAATAGGAGTGGGCAGATCAGTCCCCAAAGTATGAATACTACCAATATAATGTTTGGCAAATCATTGGGTAGTAGCCTGTGAATGATGTATTCATCTCATAAATTATGGCCCATTCTTTCTGGCCTTGGTATTATTTGATATCGAATCGGTTTCCCCAGCAAAACATGTATTACGTAGTAGAAATAAATCTCGACTCAAGGGCAACTTATTAGCTTTTTCTAAAGCTTTCAACTGCTCATCACTGTCTTCATCAGTAAGGATATACTTTGCTGGTGGAAACGTTTGAACAAGCCGGATAAGAGGACCTTGGGTTTTTTGTCAAGGCCAGACTGTGTTCATGAAGACAAGCTCGTCAAACTTACTTGAGTGTATTTCCGAAAAAATACACCCTGGACTCTGCCAAAAATTTCATAATCCACTGAAATTAAGTCTTCATTGGACATAGTGGACCTAGAAAAACACAAATAAGACAGTACTTCAGTGCTGTGTGTTGTGTGTAAGGAACCCAGCATCATGCAGGTGCTACATTACAGCTACAAGCTATGCTAACACTAATTCATTTGTATTCAAACGATTTGCAAGCTAGATAATTCGTAGGTTTAGCTTCATATTTAGACTGTATGAATATGAAATAGCTCGCTATCTGTAAGATAATCACCTGAATATCGTTGGAAATCTGTAAGATGACCATCCAGTTCCAACAGACCTCCGTTTGAAAACATACGGGACTCTGCTTCAGGAAGTGATGTTTAGCGGTCCAATCAGAAAACACCCGAGATACTTGGTCTCTAGGCAACGAGTGTAAACTTGGGATAAAGGAGTCGAAACAGTTATTTCGGGTGCTCTCCGATTTTCATCTAAACGCAGTGTTACATTGAATTCAGACGACTCACAATTGTGTTTTAAATCTGTTAAGAGATTTTAGGAAAATGTGTCAGTTACAACTGGAGTACATACACTGGTAAGTAGAAAGTAGCTCGCTAAAAAAATTTTCCCGGTATTGACCACTTCCATTTGGTTAGCAACTGTTATGCAAAGAAATCAAGATATCCCATATAAGCAGTGTTTTGTTAAAGTATTGTATTAGAGAGTTTTCTAACTACTTTCCCTTTTTTATTTATGCTGTTCATGAAATGAGACATCTACAGACTTGATTAAAAAAAATCCAATCAAGATCCATTTGCTTGTTCTAGAGTTTCCACCGTACCACTTTGTCTTCTACAGCAAATGAACTCATTTGTCATTGAACTGCAGATATTTGAAGTCTCCATTACTTTGAGCATTTCTAGTCCATGTTGGTTTAAAAGGTGAACAGTGACAGCTCATTCTTGACTTGTTAAACAAGTGTTAACCAAACAATTTCCCCTCAAGGTCAAATTACTTGCATGTTCTTGAGCCCTTTTGAGCGTATCACAGTCTTCATCGGCAAGCTTAAGCTATTTTTAAGCAGACATAGACAAAAAGTTCCAAAAGTGCTCAGTGCTCAACTTAGCAATCGTCTTCCGCTAAGAAAGATTGTGTCAATTGTCAATTGTTGTTTTCAAGGCCAAGAATGAAATGTCAAGTTGTACCTAAGCACCTGTGCAATGAACTGTCTATTTGTATCACCTGCTTTCACAGTTTGTATCTTATGGGATTGCTTTTTCTGTATTTGCTCTTACCTGATTTTTTTGACTAGAGACTGATTACACTGACAGAACTGCTTGGGTAACTTGAGACTGACTTGGGTCGCATGCGCTCTTATTTGATACAAATAATCACATACTTGAGATATAACCAAAGCCTTACAGTTCTATACTTTTTTCTATTTTAACCTTGCTCTATTTTCCTGCTTGTTTTTTTTCCTAGAAATTATACAAGAAAAAACCTTTAGTGGCTGATGTGGTGGGCTAAGCTGTCTTTTTGCAAAGATCTATGAACCAACAGATCCATCTCAAAGAAATTACCTTCTACAACAATTGAAGTCATGAGCACATACACAAGAAGAAGTCTCAGTCCTCATGGGCAGCATGATATTCCAGGACAAAGACAAGGAAATGTCTATACTCAAGTTCAACATGGCAGGAGAGCAGATGGAGTAGGCCGCCCATTTCCAAACAAGCCTGTTAGCCACAGAAGACCTCTCAACTCCAGGACACAAGACTCACTTGATCTGTATGATTTTGAAAAAATCACTATTACAAAACAACAAAGAGGCTCTTTTTTGCCCCAAGAACATAATTTAAATGACATCAGAAAGACCACTGGATCCCAGCATACAAGAAAAGACTCACACAGACTGCCCAGTGGAGAACTGCAGATGGCCAGAGCAATTCATGCAAAAGAACTAATGCTACAGGAGAAGCTGTGGAGGGTTGAGGAAGTAATAAGACAAAAGATCCAGAGGGATAGTGTTGCAGTTGCTGCAGGTAATGATGAGATGACAAGTGAGAAGGAGATGCATGATGGGGGACAAGCAGAGAGGGGAAAAGCTCACACAAAAACCAAGCTGTCTGAGCAGCACAGAAGAGAAGCACTGAGAAGCGGAGAAATATTGATGCAGGAAAGAAGGAAGGAGGATGTTAAACAACTTAGGAGGAAGCAAGATCAGAGGAATGAGGACAGAATGAGAAATGCACATGAAGAAGAGGGGGCCAGATGGAAAAGAAGGGAAATAGAAATTGCAGAGTGTCCCCAGTCAAAAAGACCTGGAAATAAAGGGAGTCTTAACAATACAGTAAATAAGAAAAAAGTGAGTGGAGAGCTGAACAAATTGAGATGGGAAAATGTGACAGAGCATATCAGAGGAAAAGGGGATGAAAAAGATCAATACATTAGGGGAAAAGCAGGTGTGGGGCCACAGGATGGACTAGAGGAAGCAAAAGAAAGAGAACAATATAAGAATTCTATAAGCAACATAGGTTGGCCAAGAGAGAAGAAATATATGGAAAGAATATATAAGGACATGCGCTGTTCATATGATGAACAAGACATACCTCAAATAACTCAAGAGAAACTTGCTCATAGACTGGCAATAGAAAACCACAGAGGTGCAGAACGTAAAATATCTTGGGAATCAACTCTCCCACCAGTTTCTAGTCCCTGTCATTTCAGCAGACCGCACAAAGAGAAGCTGGGACTCATGAATAGTACAGACACCAACTTCCAGCTACTTCCTTGCACAATCTGCAACAGAAAGTTTAAAAGTGACAGGTTAGAAAAACATGTCCATATCTGTAAAAAGGTGAGCCGATCACATCGTCAAGTCTTCAACTCCTATGTTAATAGGACCAAAGGATCTGCCATTGAGGAGTTCTGGAAAACTCACAGCAGAAGCAAAACTCCAGAGGTAGGCCAGTAAGATTTTTACCTCTTTAAAGAGCCACTTTACCAATTCATCATGACAACATGGTGACGGGTAGTGATATCATCAGGATTATCTTTGGCATGGAGAATACAAATTGATAACAGAGCCTGCATTACAAATTGGGCATATAGAGTTTGAACGCCATCCGCAAGGAGACTAATGAAAAGATCCTCCTGGTTGCAATATGGAATAATGTAGGATTCAGTTGCTGTTTTTTTTTCTTCCATTTCCCAACTTTAAGGGAATTTAATGCTCAATCAATTATTTTCAGAGAGTATTACTGTCTTTCATTGGTATTTGATGTCTTTTAATCAGGTGTTACAGGAAAAGAGCAAAAGACAGAACCACAAAGTGTACACGAAGGGTCGACTCCCAGCTGGATCTTCACAGCAAAAATTATCCAAGTGAGCCGACATGAACAGACCCAGATGCTTTGGTCCTGGACCAGTTGAACAACAAATCCTCATGTATCAGCACATTAAGTCATCCATCTTGTTATTGTCAATCGTCTCTGAATTGTTTGGTTTTATCCCTTTTGATAGAGACCTCGTCTCCACTGCTTAAATATATTCCCTAACTAAACATAACTGTGTAAGATAGTTTTAGATGCTTTTTATAAGGAAAGCCCGTGTTAATATCAGCAAGTAGAAAAGTTACAGTATATTTTAGCTGACATTGTGGGAAATATTGACTGTACACAAGTAACAACAGACAGATGTTAGTTTTATTTATGGCAAATCAGGAAGCAACAGTGTGACTGTGAGAGGAGTGTTCGTTACTGTTACATCTCCACAATATTTGGTAAACCTCAGTAAAAAGTAAACCACATTTCAAATGCTGTCAACACGTATTAAAAAAATTCACATAAGCCACAGCATTGTCATATTTGCTCTAATTTTGGTTTCAATAGCTCTGACTGTATTTAACGCTGCATTTTACTGCATGAAAACACTGCCAGTGTTATACTGTTGACATCCGACAGTTCACAAGTTAACACAAGTTAAAAGCTTGTAAGATAACTATGACAAAGGGTTTTACACAACACACACAATAAACAAAACCAACTTATCTCAAACAAAAAAATGCAATTGGATATTTGCTTTCACAAATAATGCATTTTTTAAAAACATTTCTGAAAGTACCAAAGACAGATAAAATAGTTAAAAAACACAATAAGAAAAGAACATTAGAGCTGCAAGGTCAGCTAATTCATAAATGCTTTAAATTCCACGTTTTCCACATTCTAAGAAAACTGTTCAAGTGTTCATACATATAGATATATAGACCAACATGTGCGGTGCCAACAAGAATTCAAGAGTCAAAGAAGGCAATAAGAAAAAGTAACCTACTTGTTAAAAAATGAATCAGTAGTTTTGTGTTTCACACAAATGCTCTTTATATGACAATAGAACTTGCAAATTTAAACAGTATATATTTGCATGAGATAACTAGAATAAATTTATAATAGCTAATGTGTCTGGTAAATATGACAAAGTATAGAGACTATATTGTTTTAGGCACTTTAACCTTTTGAGAATAACAGATGAATCCAGAAGAGCACTCAGAGAGACCTCCAAGACAGACCTCCATACACCAGACTTCAGAGAGAGAAAAAAATTAAAATTCAGAGTAAATGATCCAGATCTGCCACATAATTTAATGGGCTCATTCCTGGCCCATGCCCCATCCCTCCACCAAGTTCAGAGCAAATCAGTTGAGTACTTTTTGCGTAACTTTCTGACAAATAAACAGACACAGGTGAAAACATAACCTCCTTGGTGAAGGTAATTGAAATTATCACCAGTAAAGTGACATTTAAGAAAGCTATGTTTTCACATTAAAAGACTGTGCCAACATTAAGTATGGACAACATACCGGCTACCAATCCAGACAGTTGAAGAAAAAGGAAACCTTAAAACCTTAATGGATGAATCAGCAAATGGTTTCCTATTCGCATGAGCTGGTCTTACCTGTTACATGATAAATACTAATATCCAAGGCACGAAGGACTGAAGCCTCAATGTTGACATCATTAAAAGTCAACAATAATACCACCAACACATGGACTTAACATTCACATTGCAGAGTAACACTATGATAAGACTGTCTCTCGCAGGTGTCAAGGTCCAATGCTTCATGTTGAATCCAGCCAACATTTCAGTCTGTGGAGAAACTAGCCAGATCACTGCACCCAGGTGAACACAAGTGTGCATATGAGAGTGCGCAAGGTATCATACAGTATAACATGTGCATTTAAATGTAATCATGCAACTTAAGCACTCAGCCAAACACGTATACTGTAATGTAACCATTGTGAGTGGGCATGAGGATGCACTCTTCTGCACCTCTAACCGAACCACCACTTCCCACTTAACCAGCTTGTAAATTCAATATGTGCTATGAATTGTGACACTTCTCCCATGATCTTGAAATCTACAGGTTGCTGCTCACACACTGGCCCCTGCAGATCTGCTCCCATGGTTTGTGAATCCGCCTCCCCTTCCTCCTCCTCCATCCCCGGGCATACGATCCGAGTGATGGTTTCCGTTACTGTCACATCCTGATTCCCGTAGCGCTGAACAATTAATTGCCGCCCAAAGCCTCTCATTCTCCCTCTGCTGCTCACTGACCTAGACACGGCAAGAATACAGGTTATGCTGTTACAAGTGCACATGGATCAAAGCTGGCTCTGAAGCAGGATGTCGGCTTTGAGAAAACTGTCTCACTTGCTTCTCGAGCATCTGGATTCTCATCTCTTGATGAGCGACTGTCTCTCGCAGCTGCAATATAAACTGTTCAGTTAAGTACTGTGGCAAAGGTATGCTCTCATCGGTTCATAATTTGCTTGGTGTGAATTTGATACCTGTGTGACCTCCCAACTAGCACTGCAGCATACACCTGATTCTCCTTTTTTGCAGATGCGACCCACATCATGTCCATTCATGTTATCACAGCTCATTCGTTTAGTCTGTGGAGACAACCAGAGAGGAAGAAGTTGAAAGCAGACATGAACAGCAATATTGTGAAATGTTAAGTGTTTATTTAGAGTACATAATGTCTAGATCAGTGAAAATAACAGCTATGTTGGCATTACCGATAGGTCTTTCTTACTGCTGACAGCTGCTGCCGCAGCCTTCAGCTCTTTTAGCTCCTCATAAGGTAGAGTGACGCTGTCGGAGAAAGAAGAGAGCTGGTCAGGAGTGGATGGCTCAGACTCTTCTGGCATTGGGATGAACTCTGCGTCCTCAAGCTCCTGTTGGAATTAGGGCACGGTGAGTCTTCATTCAAATGTTTATATTTTCTGATTCAATCAAAAGATTCCTTATTCCTTGGTGCTTTCATCATAACAAACCTTTCTAAGCCAGAGAGGGCAGGAGCTGTCCCCAGTCTGATTTGTCATTGACATCATCGGGGTCTCCATGAGGCACTCCTCTGTATTAACCTCCCGTGTACCCCCAAGAACCCTGTCACGGTACTCTGTTGCTGCACCAGGTTCTATGTCCAGATCCACTGTGGATGTAGACGCCTCCTGGCCCAGTGCTTTATACACACAGACAAGGAGAACACACTAAAACAATGCAGACTTGTTGTTCTGGCAAAGAAAATTAACCAGTACGCAAATCAGTGACTGAAAAGAAAGAAAAGCACTTACCACTACCAACTGATAGTCCACTGCTGTTAGAGCGAATAGTCTTGGAGTTGAGTACTTTCTCTGCAAGGAAGAAAATATATTTATTAGACAGCTGGCTGCTTACCCCAGATTAATGTGCACGTGTCTGGTTCTGATTACTAACCCATTATGATAATGGTGTGCCAGCCACAGCAAGAGAGGTCTGGCACATGATGGAGGGAACCAAAGATTGGTCTTGGCATGGCAGGGCAAACCTCAGAGCCAAATCCCTTTTCATGGGGCATTCCAAGTCGCCCGTTTCCTGCGTTTCCCCATGCAAAGATCTGATTGTCTAATAGAAAATAAAGACGATAAACACACAGGACCAAAAGTCTGCAGCAGTCTGTTCTTGGGAGAAATGAAATTGTCACACAACCGGAAATATTTATATATATATATATATATATATAATTGCCATAGATACCCTGCAGCATTGTATGTGTTCTCACCTTCAGTGGCTGCAATGGTGAAGCCATCTCCACAGGACACTTTAGTCACTATCTTCCCTCCAAAGGGTCCAACAAGGACTTGGACACCATGATGTTTCTTAAAGTCCTTTACACCCAGCTGTCCATACTTGTTGCAACCAAAGGTGATCAGACGACCACGTTCTGTAAAGTCAGAAATCATATGAAATGACATTTCTTTGAAATGGTGACAATTATCACCTGCAAGAGAACTAAACTACTGTTTTTGCAGTACCATCAATTGCAGCTGTATGGGTCTTCCCTGGAGATATGGCCTGGATCGTGTATCGTGACAGCTGCTTTACCAAGGTCAGTGTGGTGATGTACGGGATCCCCTGGTAACCCTGGGTTGGTGAACAGGAAAACCAACATATAAATACAGCTGTGTCCCCTAAAGTCTCTAAAATAATACAGCCCTTTAAGTATAACCCAGTACCTCTCCGGGATGGTTTTTGAGACCAGAGATTCCCTGGTTCAGGCCAAGCTTGTTGAATTCATTGTTTCCACATGCTAGGACTTTGCCGGTTTCTGTCAAATAGAAGGTTCCATCGCTGCTACATGACACTGAGGAGATGATGGCACCTTTAGGGATCTCCACCTGGGAAAACCAGAAAACAGACAGTACTTTTGAAATAAATAGCTACAAATAAGATTATTGTATCATATTGCTTGAAACACTTTGTATCTAACTGGCTCCTGTAAGGCTTTAGTACAGTCACAAATATGCCAGAATGAGGAACAAAATCTTACTTGCATCGGAGAAGAGAAGTCATCCTCACATTCCAGGCCAAGACGCCCTGCAGCAGGAAAACAGAGCAATTTTCACAAGGAACACTTAGTATTACTGTATATTAAAAGGGCCACTGTCTCCACCTGCAGGCTACACATGTAAGAGCAAAAACAACCTGGCAAAAGGCTTAACAGCATCAGCACAAAACAACAGTACATACAGCAACCCTATGTACCATACTCTCCGCAGCCCCAGGAGTAGATTTCCCCACTCTGAGTCAGGACCACCACATGGTTGTCCCCACACGAAACCTGATGGACAGGCCGCTCCTCAAAAAACTCCAAAAGCACTGGCTCCAAAATCTCAATGCCGTGCTCGCCTTCCACTCCAATGCACCCATAATAGTCTGACCCAAACATGTACATCTGGTCCTCATCTGCAAAAGCAGCAGCAGAGGGCTCATTAGAAAAAATTTGACTTTACAGATTTCTCTTTTTTTTCCCCCCAGTTCCTCTTTCCACAGGAAGCTTTCTTCACTCACCGGTGACACAGGCAGTGAAGTCAGCCCCGCATGCCACCTGTCGGATGGCCTTCCCCTGAAGCTTCTCCACCCTCTTTGGCTGCCGGTACGAGGCCTGGTCTCCATGTCCCAGCTGGCCCACCATCTTTGCTCCACCTTGGACATTCTGAGTAGAAAGATGATAAAGTTTCTTGTAGTGAACCACAGGAACAACTAGATTCATTCCATCTGTCCCAAATACTCACAGCCCAAGTGTAGAGCTCCTTTTCCACTGTCACCACTGCAAAGTGACTCTCTCCTGCACACACATGTTGGGCACTGCTGCCTCCTTTAAACGTGTCCAGTTTTTGGGGGGTGAACTTCCCTCCCCCCCAGAAGTACACCTCCCTTGAGCGTGTGGTCACCACGGCAACAGGAGTTTCTGTCACTGTACTCAGCCTATGGTACAGCCATGACAACAAATCAGGTATAAACTCATACTTAAGGGATGACAGACAGGCTATTACAATGGAGAATATCAAACAAGTATAACTTACTTAGGTTTCTTCATCGCTGAATTCAGCAGGGCAACACGCTCTTCAAGCTCCCTAACAAGAATGAAGTTGCCATGGGTGTTTTGACTGTATATTCATTGCATCCAACAGAATCTGAAATATTTTCTTATCAAGACAATCAAAAAACGCTTTTTTCATTTCACGTAACTTACTGTCGGCAGCAAGAGATGTACGGCTGGTCCAGAATTTGCTCAGCTGTAGGCCTCTTTACAGGATCCTGCGACACAAAAAGAACACAGGGACTTACATTGAGATTGATATCCCTCATGAAGGCCAGCTTTTTGATTAGGATGCAGCATTATCCCTGGCATCAAAACCTTTCATTTTGTAATGATTGGAAACAGGAACATCTGATTATTCCCCTGACTCACTTGATCGAGGCACTCATACACCAGCTTGATCAGTGCGGACGAATAAACATCTGAGTTCACTTCCATTGTCCAGTTGCCCTGGACTATTTTCACACAGAGGTTCAAAGGGTTCTGCATGGACACAAAGGCAATCAACTCATTCTGATGAAATAAATCCAATATTCTGATTAATGCAATTAATTAAAAACAATTTTTAGCAAACCTACCGTTGCATCAAATGTTCTTGTAAGAGTTAAGACTTCAAAAAGTACACAACCCATGGCCCAGATGTCTGATTTGAAGTTGTACTTCGCTCCCTGGCACAATTCAGGTGACATGTAATATGGAGTTCCCACACACTGGATTTACAAAGAAAAAGTGCAAAAACATTAGTAAAACATGTACCTGAAGTGATGCAGAAGGAGCTATGCCATGAAATTGTGTAGTGCTATACCTCAAATAGTGAGTATTTACAAAGTAAATTTGCAGTCAGCAAACACCCACAGCCTTTTATAATCTGTGATCAACTATCAAGACTCAAACAACCAGAGCTTCCAAGGTTGGCGAGAGAATATTAACTGTACGCACTCACTGTATTTGTAAGGTACGTGTTTTAATCTCACTGTGTTGGATGTGATGAACTAATCAACAGTTATACCTCAGTTTCAAAGTGTTATAGAAAATGGTGAAGACACTATGCTTTCCTCTGGATTTATGTTGACTGGGGTGCTAAATAATGTGGCAACACCCAAAAAAAGATAACACACACACTCAGGAACCACATAACAACTACACCAAGAGTCAACACAGTGAAGAGAGTATTTAACCACTGCGTCACATTCAGTTAATATTTACTAAATCATGAAAAAAAAAAAAAAAATCACAACTTACAGTCTCTGCCATTGAAAACTCAGAGTCTAGCTTCTTTGCAAGGCCATAGTCACCCAGCTTGATGAGGTCAGTCTTGGTCAGGAAAATGTTCAGAGTTTTGATATCTCTGCAATTAAAACAGAATGGTTCCATTACCAAAAAAAAAAAAAACACTAAATAGAAAGTCATGTTACCTGCCAAATGTTTTCAATAAGGGCATGAAAATGGGCTGCAGATCTAACCTGTGTAATATCCCTGCCTTGTGAATGTGGGCCACTGCTGAGGCAATTTGGTACAGGTACCATATGACCACCTAAAGAAACATGTGAAACGTAAGGATATAATAGTCTGTTTTGCATAAAGTAAACCGGCGTGCAATGTTGCAATCATACCTCCTCAGTGAAAAGTTTCCCCTTCTGTTGGTTGATTTTATCATACAGATTTCCTCCTGTGATGACAACACTGTTTAGCGTTCTGTCACAGCTGAGCAGCATTCAAACTAATCTTTATCAAGTCTTCAGAGTGGACACCGACAGTGTATTTTCTTACCATTGCAATACTCCAACTCAATAAGCAGAGTGTTTTTATCCATGAAGTGGTTGAAGTAGGCTATGATGTTGTTGTGCTCCAGGATGGAGAGGATGCTGATTTCATTCATGACATCTCTGCGCTCCTTTTCTGAGAGCGAGTTTAGCTCCACCTCTTTCCATACCACCAGAGAGTTGTCCTTGGAAAGCCAGAGGAGACATGTCATTTAGTAATGCTGGTAAAGAGTCCCAAAATAGGGTGACTGAAAGCACACAATTATGCCTTTCTACTGTTATATCTACCTGAATAGACAGACAAGGAAAATCGTCTTTTCTGATATATAATTACTTCAAAACACATTCTCTGGAGGAAGGGATGGCAGTATGTGCAGCCAGGATAAAGAAGCAAGGCATGGGAAAGTCATTTATCTTGTTCACACTCAAGAATTTCTCACAGGGGTATGGAAACAGGGGAACAGTGAGGAATTCAGTTAGCCAGACACATACTGTACAGTCAATCACAATAAGCCACAGAGAAAACAAAGATGTAGCACTATTAACTAGACATTTCTGATATAAAGTACTGTATGTAATCAGTATGATTTCAAAGTAGGCAAGGGTTCTCATCATTTCTGAATGTGAGACCCCATGTTTGTCCAAGAAAAAGTTGTGGGGACGATGTAAACTTGAATAAGACACGTTTTCCTTGTCATGTTGTTGTTATTACAGTGAGAAAACAAAATTGTGCTTGGACTGCAACCCGACTTACCTCCGTTCTTCTGTACAGAGTTGCTTCACCAAACGCCCCTCTCCCGAGGATCCGGATAGGAATGTAGTGCAACTTTTCCTCTTCGCCATTAAATGTGCCCAACGCTGATCGCTCACTGACCACAGACCCGCCGCCCAAATCTGAATTTAGCGAGTCGAAATGTCTTTCATAGTCCTCTAGTGACATTTCTGTTTAGGGACTTGTTAGCAGTGATGGAAATAACCCGCACAGGCCTAACGACAACTCTTTCTGAAAGCCCACTACAAAACAACACATGCGTCAAACATGTTATCCGTGTCGACTACAAAAAAGACCTGTCAAAGTACGAGTACAACCAGATGCCTCAAGGCCACTTACAATATACAATGTAAGAAAAATACAACGTATCAAAATGCGTGCAACTAGTGGCTGTACCAGCGTCAAGTAGGGCACAACAACAATTAGGACGTTCAGCCAACTTTTTGAATTTTCAGAATAAAACGCCTACCCCCAGGTGTGTTGTGGTGTATTTTACGATGAAATCCAGAACAGTGCATTTCCGGTTATGTTTAAGTGTCTGTTTAGCTTGACATGGCTGACAATAACAAGAAGAACGTACAGCACCGCTTGGCACAGTAAAATCCTGAACTGATTTGGAAATGTTACCCTACTAAAAGAGGTTGAGTGAGTTCGTCTAACAAATACACAACTACACATATGTTTAAAGTTGGTTGAACTCGTCTGACACTCGACTAAGAGGCAACAACACACCGAAAAAAGTCGTCCATCCTTTCCTGGCGCTCAAACCCGGAAACTGTCAAATTAAACGGTGTCCTTGTTTTGAGGCTTTGTACTCAGTATGTTTGCCCTGTCCTTGCCACTCTATATTTAAAATTGGACGGTGCACAGGTAGGAGATGTAATTCAAGCACTATAGCTATCCATATTTATTTTGTATTTAAGTTAACAATTTTTAAAGTTTTCACGACTTCTGTGGTGCAGTGACAGTGATTTTACAGATGGTATGACACTTCTAATGATTTGATATGTGGGTAAAATCTGTCATTGTACGATTAATTTCACATTTAGATATATTTAGATGTCAGTAGTACATTACCATCATCATTATCAACTGAATAAGGCCTACCTGACAATACAGGGCACTATATTTCTGTATTACAATACAGAAATAATATAAACATTCAGGATTGTCATAAAGCTGTCATACTCATTGATTTAAAGCACTGCCTACAATAGTTTTTTCTCAGACATATTAAAGAGAGACCTGTATCTGAACCTGGTCAGTTATGTTCTGGTTACCTTCAGTGTAAGAAAACGACACAGAGAAAGTACCTGCACCAAGTCTGGTACAGAAGCAGGATATATTCCACATGTGGTGTGGAGTGTACGGTAAGGGGAAGAATGTAGTAAGAAAGGCCAACTGCGCCACCTGGAGAATCACACCCCAGGATACACTATTATTAAACCTTAGCTGTTTTTTAAATGGATATCAGGACCCAGGCTCATTAACTGATAAGACAGAGATGAGTTTTTGGATTCAACCAAAATAATTTATTAGAAACAAAAATGTCAGATAGCAGGGACTGGAGCTGCTGAAAAGGATCATTATAGTAAAGGCAAATGATAATCAAAACAAACATAAGGAATAAAACTATTTTATTCAATGTATCGATTTCTTAAAAAGGTGGGATACAAGATCTTCAAATTTACAAGAAATTTACCAAGGATTGACATGAAACAAATGAAACCAATAATGCAAAATAAACTAAGCAAGACAACTAAGGTAAAACAAGGTGAGCCAAGGTGAACCTAAAAAGAAAGAAACAGAATTAGCTGGCTCACCATGCTGTATAAAGTTATCATTTGAAAAAGGGGCACTACTCGCCACCTCTGGTATGGGGCATGAATGGCCCACTATTGATCAGCCACTCTACAGCTGCATGAGGAGGCAACCCTGAAATAGAGGCAATGCAGGTAAGTGACAAGGTGACTGGTGGGTGTAATTTTTTTTTTTTTTTTTTTTTCACCAATTACCTGCAGCCAATGCTACCAGCCACAATTGACAGGAACCAGCAAGAAACTAATAGAAGCCAGGAGGTGCCCATTATAACCTGGCCAAGAGGAGGGCGTTGGCTAGGGGAAGGAGTCATCCCAGGGCTGTGTTCACAGGCCCTACACTTCCTGAAAGCATTCACCACCACACAAAGCAATACAGTAATGGAAAAGAGAGGGATGTTTCAGCAATCAAAATCCACAAAAAGAGTGAAGAGTGAAGAGGTTTTTGGACTTGACCAGGAATTAGGAGGATGCTGTACAGAGATGTCTACATCACAAGCCCTTAAACACTGTTTCCTCACAATGATCCACCTGCTTAATGAAATGGAAACCAGCTCCTTTGCAGACACTGCCCTTCAGTTTACAAATGTTTCCCCCCTGCATAATTTAGATGAATCGGATGATTCTCTCATCGACACTGAAACAAGTGATAACAGCGGCTCAGCGACAACTGACTGGGTGACAACTCAGAGTTGCAGATATACAGAAAATCTAATTACCACCCATTTGTCAGAAGTGCAATTTTTTTTCTTGCTATCAAAGCAGGAGCATCCCATTCAATCTTCAATAATCTCTTGAAGACTCATCTCCTCTGAGAGCACCTCCTCTTCTAACACCCCTAACATGTCTAACTAGCACTTACTGTAGACTTTCAGATCACGTCCTTGCCTGATCTCCTTGCATGTCACCTTATTGAATAGATGTAGTATTTAGTACTTACTTCAAGGTCTCCTACTGCACTGAAGCTTTAATGCTGTCCCTCACTTGCAAGTCGCTTTGGATGGTCTGCCAAATGAGTAAATCTAAATCTAAAGTTTTAACTTCATTAAATGAATAGTCATTAAGTAAATAGATAGGCCTTTCCAATATGAACACACTGATACTAAACTAGTAATGGCTTTAGTTAATTGCAGTTTCCTAAAACATCTAAAATAACACAGTGCAAAAAACATACAAGAGACAAGATAGCAGGAACACATGTTAGCACACACACACACACATACACACACACACACACACGCACACATACACACACACACACACACACGCACACATGCACAGTTTTGTAATGTTGACAGAGCAGCTGCCCCATACAGATAAAATGGCTGGTAAACTGCCTTGGTGCACTAACAAGTGACACACAATGAAAATTTCTGATTAAAAACCTGAGGACCAGAGGGATATCCAAGAATTTTAAGAACTCAAAATCAGAGAGTAACAAACATTTGAAGACTTTCAGGAGACATTTTCATATAAATCAGATAGATATACAAGCACACATACACACTCACTCTCTCTCTCCCAGACACAGTTTTGTAATATTGACAGAGCAGCTGCCTCACACAGATAAAAGTGACATGCTTGGGGGAATCCTGAGTAGAAACCTGAAGACCAGAAGGCTATCCAGAGATGATTTCAAATGAAGAAGGCAGTAGAGATGGAAAACAATTTCAACAAAGCACAAGAAGCAAAGGTTGGCTTGTGTTATTTAAACTTCCTTCATATTGCTTTTACTAAACCTTCTGCATTGTTATCTATCGTTTACTTTGAGGTCACATCAAAGTATCTGTTTGTTCAGGATCTGTCTCCACGATCAGAGTTGGGTCCAGAAATCTTCCACTGTATCCACTTGTTATCGTGTGTTTAGGACTGCTGAACACTATCCTGCTGTTAACTTCTATTGTTATTGGGATTTACTGTGAGTACAATTGATCCAAAGAAGTTGTTGAATCACTACTTCACTTATTTAGAGTCGGTTTGGCATACAATGTACTAAACAATTCATTAACTAATCTATGGACAACATTTATTAACTGTATCTACCATTTCCATACCCAGCGATATGAATTTCTAAATCTCCTTCTTATCTCTGTTAATCACAGGTGGCAAAGTCAGTGAGGAATCCACTCACCATCAAGTAGGCCTAACAGAAGAATCACTCTTAGTAGAAGTGAATCAACTTCTGATAATTAAGAATGAAGCTTTAATGGCTCAAAAAACTGCTGAACAAACATTACAGCAAGCGTTCAGGAAACACCAGCAACTTAAACTGCAGCTAGAGCAGAACAAGACCGTCAGTGACAGGTTTGAGAGGCAGCTTGAGATACTACGAGTGGAGAAGGCAACACTAAAGTCCAAATCATCTGATTTGTGTGAGAGGTTTATTGCATGAATCTTTAACGTATTTTGGAGTCAAACCATTTCTTGTTGTTGTGCCTTTAACTGATCTTCTTTTAACAGTGGAAAACTGTGGACGATGCCTCCCAGGATGGCTTTTATTAAACACATCGTGCTACTTCCATGCTAAAAAACCATTCAATCCCTCAATGACCTGGGGATCCAGCAGAACAGACTGTATCAGCCGTGGGGCCGACCTTGCTGTGATTGATACCTGGGAAGAGCAGGTGAGTTGTATGCTGTAAGCCAGAGGGGAAATGGTGGGCATATAGGCTGTGATATTCTTTATATTTAATGAGACTTTAAATAAAAAGTCTGTTATCTGCATGGCACAGGCTGACAAAATAATTAAGGCCCCTTCACAACCCTCTAATGATTGATTGGAAAATTTGAACTTTTGACTCAGCCCACCAAAACTCACCAGGAGATACACCACCACCCATACTGCTTGGCAAGAATTAAAAAGTATAAATGGATTTGATTATTGTGTTAACAATCATAATTTGTGTAACTATAGGAAATATATATTTATCATTATAATAATTACATAATTTTTATAATATATAATTCATATTAACACAGTGTCAGATCAGGTTTAATGGTCACTTCATGACTGTATGTAACTTCAAGAGTGTGTGACTGTGTGTTGGACAAAATGCCAGAAACATAATACGTTCAAGTACAGCACCACCACAACTAAAATAACTGTATTGCTCAGCTAATTGTATTTTTCATGGTGAACTCACTGTCGGCCTTTGCAAACTGGTATCAGCATAAGTTCAAAATTCAGACTTCACCTCTGTTTACCTAGGTAAATATTTTTGAGCATCTGGTAAAACTGGAGACACGCTATCGATCATCATGGAAATCGTCTGTGGGAATTTGGATTGGCCTTACGGATATTCAAACAGAGGGCACTTGGGTGTGGGTGAATAATGTGACTCTGGATAGAGGGTAAGAGGTTTAACACTTACCATGCAGTCTTTGTGTGTTAATGAGTTTCAGATCAGTTGATGTAAACATCATAACCAAGGATGAGCAATAGATAGAAATTCATGGAATAGATGTAAAATTACGTAGTCATTTATTATTTTTAATTTCTAATCTTCCTGTATTTTTAATTGTGAAAGAAACACACACAATATGATCACATACTGATTAATACATTTTAGCATATCAACGTGTCAGACAATTTAACATTTTTATTGGTTACCTGCTAACTTGCAACTGTTTGGATTCAAATTAGTCCATCAGAAAATCACCAACAACAGCAACAAAAAATGCATTTATAGTAAAAATATAACTTGAGTCTTGCTTTAGGTACTGGATGCAAGGGGAGCCCAACAACAATCAAGCAGACAGTGAGGACTGTGCAGCACTTAGGAACAAGGACAGTACCATGAGAACGTGGTTTGGGGTAAATTGCCAAGTGCGCAAGGAATGGTTATGCGAAATGGCACCCAGCAATTCAGGCTGACTTTAAGTGTCAAACAAATCATCATATGAGGAGAGAGGACAAAAACCCAGTTGTCCTTCAAAGCAAAATGTGTTGTTTGTTGATTATTTACCCATGAATAAACACATTGATTACATATAAACAACAGTGGCTCTTCACTGCAGTTGTGCTTTAACAGAAAGCAGGCTTAAACCAACGAGGGACTTGACGGCTTATTATACATATACATATACATATACATATACATATACATATACATATACATATACATTTACATATAATTAGTTTTTACCCTGGCAAATCTAAAACAGCAACTTTAATAACAATTCACCCAGATTTGGATTTTGTAAAGTTAAATCACAATAGAGTACTGCAGGGATGACATATTTTTGTAGGCTAACCTGGAAGTTAGCATCACCTAGTTCCCTCGACAAGAAGCCAATGGGATTTTTTACATTGGTTTTTGAATTACTGCAGAAAATAATATGATATGTAGCCTTCATGTTTTGCTCAGCAAGATAATCTTGAACACCACTTTTATGATTTTTGAAGCCTAAATACAATCGCCGTATCTATGCCATAAACATGCATAATAAAGAATGGTTCCTGTTTTTGTTTCTTAGTAATGGTCATCCCTTAAACAAGCTATTTGCAAGTTTTGCTATTGCTCAATGGCTAATGCTAGCATCAACAGCTGTTTACCACTCGAGAGGAAATGTTGTGAGTTCAGCATCAAATGTCATCTCTTTACTCGCCAAGAGCCGTCTCCAGCAATGGAAAGCAACGCTCTTGTTTGACTTCTATTTCTATCTCTTCTAACTAGCCAGTCCCGGCCTGGTTGGACGGTTTCGTTACTTTCCAACTCCAAGTCACTGTAGTGTCCGGTCTGCCCTGAAGAGGTAGCACTGCTCAGAGGATGTATTCTAACCACTTGTCTTATAAATGCAACAATGGCAGAAGCTCTGGGCAAGATTGGTAAGTTAGCAGCTGTTAATGCTAATGTTGGCTGTATAACACTAGCAAAACTTAGAAATATAGCTCATTTAACAAGGACATAAGAACATTTTAAAGGATTATCTCTCAGGGTACTGTGAGGTCAGTTGGTTAAAAAAAAACAAAGAAAAAAATATTACAGCTTAGAACAGGCTGTTCTCAAAACCTCAATGCTTGAGTGAGAAAGGGAGGTCAGCAAGAGGCCTCTGATGGAGCTACAAGACCCATGGCAGAGATACGAGACTTCACAAGTCACAACTTCATGAAGGAGTGGCAAAGAGAAAGTTACTCATGTATTACTCTTGTCTAGAACAGCCAAAGAACATTTTGTGAAACATTGTGTAAAACACTGTGTAGGCCAAATATTAGACATCAGCAGAATCACAGCTTCCCCATCATGAAGCCAGTGACGTGTCCAGGAGGCATGGGCACATTTGTGTAACATGAATTTAGCAAAATGCAGCCTTCTGATAACTGACCTGCCTAGGAGAAGATTTATATTCCAGGAACCCCCAAAAAATCAGAGCCAAAGTTTCACAGAAATTAGATAAAATCTCCTGAAGTGAAGAATCCAGACATCAATCCAACTGATAAAGTGTGGCAGAATTGAAGACTGTTAATGCAACACTTAATGCCCTTAACAGTACATAGTATCTCCAGCAATGGTGTGAACAGTTCTAATGAAGAGTAATGAATAACACTGGGAGTGGAAAGATTTTGTCCAATAATACTGTTGCAAATATTTATTCTAAAGTTTCATTCTATACATATATATTGTACTTTCATTCCATACTCTGAAGTTTAGTTTAAGTATTTCCCCTGGACTCCTACAAATATATATGTCAAAAGTATAGGGGAGGCAAGCTCACTAATACAAGGAAGTACTCACATTCAAACCCACTTTGCTTCTGGGAGGTATAAAAGAGGTGGCAAATAGATGGATGAGCAGTACCTGCAACGCTGCAGCCATGGAGAATCTACACAGAATGGCAAATGACTGGGCAGACAAACATTTCCGCACAGTCTATGAAAATTTTGGACAAGGTATGACTTTGAAATTTCATCCAATGTCTGACACATTCAACATACATTTTAGATCTAGTAAATGTTCAACCATGCCTCAATGATTGTAGCTTTAAAGTCATTGAATGAACTGCAACATTTTTATGGATTGTAATCACAGGTGGATCTACTTTTCCTAACAACCGACGGATTATACTGTGTCTGGCACTATTGAATGCTGTTTTGCTGATAGCCGCTGTTGCCATTGGGATTAACTGTGAGTATGACAGTTGACAAAATGTTTCATTTCCTCTGCTGTGTATTTTCTCTTACATAAGATTGCTGAAAAGACGCTTTTTCACAAAAAAAAAAAAAGAATCTGCAAGATCTTATGCAAAGTTTACAATTGTTTCAGTATGTTCAATACGGAACAGGATAATCATGTTTAAATGTTTTTTTCAACTTCTTTTCATATGCTGTCACTAAAACATTTAAAAGAATATTATTTTTATTTCTTTTTTTTTATACATTTTTGTCCAATTTTCACAAACTTCTTAACAAAACAGAGCAAAAACAATTACAATATCCAACTGTCCATTATAGTAAAATTGATTTTTGACTACACCACTTCACACAGTTTTAAAACAGTTGTTTTTGTCTTTGTGACATTCTGCTTTCACTTCTTCAGGTGCCAAAGTCAAACAGGGTTCCCCCCAGGTTTCCCACTCAGCTGCAACACAGCTCATCGACGAGCTGAACTATCTCCGTAGCAACCACAGCGACGTGATCGAGGCCGAAGAGGAGGCCAAGAAGGAGCTACAGAGGGAGATCAAAAACCATGCACAGCTAAAGGTGCAAATTCAGCAGCTGAAGACCGTGAATAACGGTTATCAGAGACAGATCGAGGGACTGCGAGCAGAGAAGACAGCTCTGCAGTCCAATATGTCAGCTTTGGGTGAGACTGAGTTGTATCATAGTTTATAAAAACACTTTTTATTCCATGTGTTAAGTTAGAAAATGAAAAACACCTAAAGTGACCAGAAGTCTTTTGTTTCTCCCAGAGGGAACCTGTGGTAGATGCCTCTCTTCGTGGACTCTTCTCAACTCAACCTGCTATTTCTTTTCTTACACTGAATCCTCCACTGTCAAGAGGAACTGGCCAGATAGCAGAGCAGACTGTATCAGCCGTGGAGCCGACCTGGTTGTGATTGATAACCCTGAGGAGCAGGTGGGCTGTGAACTAACAAGGATGAGAAAAATTGTAAATAATATTTGAATTTTTACAATTGGGCCCTTTAAAACTCAACTCCTTCGTTTGCTTACACAGAAATTTGTGAGTGAGAGCCTCAAAACTTTGAAAGGTTCCCGTGGCAGCTGGGAGAACGGGTTCTGGATCGGTCTTACTGACATCGAGACAGAGGGGGCATGGGTCTGGATTAATAATGTCACAGAAGTGGAACAAAGGTGATTGATTATTATTAATTTTTTTCACCTTGCCACATTAATTTGATGAAAAAAAGTGATATCCTGTCATCATGACTGAACAAAATGGAGTAACTGTATTTTTTGAATGATTTCTCTAAGGTACTGGATGGATGGAGAACCAAACAACAGCGGAGACCACGGAGAGGACTGTGCGATGACAGTTTATAGATACACTAATCCATGGAAGACCCGGTTTGATGGAAAGTGCAATGAGCATCGGTTACCCTGGATATGTGAAATGCCATCAACATAAACTTTATATACGGTCCTGAAGTACTGCTGAAGCAGAAAACATGAGCATATATTTCAAACTGTCTTGAATAAAATACCATTTAAGGTGTGTGTTATGCTTTTGGGCATTTTTCACTTGAAAATATTCTGACAGTATTTTAGCTTTAGTATTTTAGTCATTATGTTGTATACTTACAGACATCTGTATGCACTGCCAGTAGCTACCCTGCAAGAGATTATATTGTACTTGTTTGGTTGTTTTATATGACCACAAAAAAAATCTACATAATCTCAAATGAACAATATTTATAGACTTTCCAAACCAAGTTTACCAAGTTAGATTGATGTCCAAGTTGTCTAATGCAGCTGCATTGTACTCAGCTATTTACATTTTAAAATGTCTACAATGACTTCAGTATTAAATATGACTAAACTGACCTCTGTGAGTGTGTGAAAGGATGAATTAATGCCACACTGATGACATTCCCAACAACCTCAACATGTTAGCATGCTGATGTTTAGCATTAAGCTCAAAGCACGCACTACTGTGCCTTAGTATGTGGTGCTAGCATGACAGTAGACTCATCCATGAAAGCACCTATGGCAGAATCAAAAAGGCTGTTCAAGAGTAGGACGGACACATGCACACACACTCAGACACACAAAACCTTCCGATCCTGAAAACCATCCCGTGTTCTCCCAGATACATTTGATTCTCTTAAGAAAACATCTGCAAAGCACTCGACATTACTGACTAATGAACAGTTATTTAGGGGTTGATTCACTCTCAGTCCACTCATCCTCTTTGCAATTACAAAAGGAGAAGTCATACAGGTCTTCGGGAAGTACCTACAGTACTGCAATGGAGAATCCACTGGGGAGGACAGATAATGGGCAGAAAATATCATTCATACCAAAGTTTTCTAAAGTTTTCTTCAATAATGATGCAGATTTTCACTCTCGCAATGGTAAGACTTTAAAATCTTCAACAGCGGCTAACACATTTCGTATTTCTTCTCCATGTTTCCTCACTTCCTTCAGCACATGAACCTGTTGGTCAGCCATGAAAGTAGATCATTAAGTAGCTAAATGTTATTATTATTCAAATGTTACTGAATGAAGAGCATTGCTGAGGGTAATGTGTTAGTCTTACTACCAAGCCTCTATGTTTTTTTTCTATAAAATTATATTTATCATAGTTATCACCTATCATACTCTATTTAAAAAATGTGATTTTAAATCAGCAAAAATATTATTGCAAGGGTCACTTCACCCAAATTGATAGGTTTGGATTTATTTGCTACATCTGCTGATTCCTCTTCCACCATCTCAATAAAATGGGTGAGACCAGATTTATTGTGGTCAAAGTATTGAAAGAGTCCATTTGACAAAGCTCAAAAATGACAATATTCACAGGTGGAGATGGATTTAATCGATGGGCTATTCTGTGTCTGGGACTGCTGAACTTTGTTCTGCTGATAGTTGCTGTTGTTCTTGGGATTAACTGTGAGTATGACAGTTCATGTGAAGATGAAACCATTTCTCTCCTCTGAGGCATTTCACAGTGTTTGACTAACCTCAATCGACCCTAAACACACCAGGTTTAGTGCTTATTTTACATTTATATCAGAATGCTTTGATTTTGTTTCATGCAGCATAATCTCATGGTAAATTCTAATCAAATTTCACATCATACTGTGCTACCCACATGTTGTCTATTAGATTTAATAAGGGTTTGTGAAGAGTGTTATCTAAAAATAATTAAAGTGTAGGCCATGAAACCACCCTACTGCAAGAATGAGTCCTAAAACCTAGATATAAGTTAGCATTTCTGCAATTCCAGTTCCCTCATCCTGAAGTCTATGGGTTTCTTAAAACATCATCTAGCTTGTGGTCAACACAAGCTCAAGACATTTTCATGTTTTATTCTATTACATATGACAGTAAATAACCTATTTGTGATCTTTTTTTATGCTTTAACGTGTCTTAAAAAGGCGGTTGCTAACAAGTGGCTTGATGAGACTGGTTGCCTGAGACATTAAACCACCATCTATGCACCAATCAGCCTTTACAGCCTTGTTGTACTCGTGCTCCTGCAAACTACTGACTTTGTAAAAGTCAGTAAGGAAGAGGAAAGTCGCGCCAAACCAAATAACAAATTGCAAAGTAAGTGGTGGTGACATTGAAGTCATGCAACCATGGTTTCGTTCGTTTATAGCCTAATGTGAGCTTTTTACTTCTGGTGAATGTATTTAGGTTTCAAAAATCAAAAAAGTGGTGTTCATTTGTGAAGAATATCTTGCTGAATTAAGCATGTAAGTATCATTAACCTTTGTTTGTCACAGAGCATATTTTCTGAAATAATTCAAAAGCTTATGGAAAAATCCCATTGGCTTTTTGTTGACGGAGCCAGAGTGATGGAAATTCTTTAGGCAGATGCTGATGTTATCAACCTTACAAGAATTTGTTCATCAAGAACACAATCAGTTTGACAGCATCTGAATGTTAAATAATATAGTTGAACATTTCTGCTGACAAATCAAATAGAAATGGGGAAATGTTGCAACCTTGCTGAACCATTATTTTGAGGACGAAGGGAAGTGAAACTTCTAGACATATTGTAAAACAAAGGATGAACTAGGGACACACCAGAAACAAAAGGTAACCATTTCTTTTCGACATTTAAATATAAAGAGTATAAAGATAAATATATTGTATATACTACATACAATTTTGTATGTTATATGAAACTATGACACAACTAATGTTTACCATGTTCACCATCTTAGTTTACCATGTTAGCATTTGAACATTTGCTAATTAGCACTAAACCCAAACCCAAGGCTGATGGGAATGTCATTAGTTTTAAAGGTATTTCACCGACCAAAAACCAAATGTCTGTAACAGACTCCATGCTAATAAATATTGTCAAGATAGTTCAACTCGGTGCTTATCAATGAGCAGGTAAAAACTTTGATCTGCTGTTGGTGCTAAATGAAAAGTCAGTGGATCACCAAAGTCAGTTGTATTTATCATGTAGGAACTGTAAATATGAGGGGCCGCCTGGGGCATTATCTAGATTGACCATGCATATACACATATGAAACCATACTCATTCAGATACTATACTGAAAACCTCACACACATACAAGTGAAAAGATTTTACACACATTATTGAAACCCTCTCACAGATACAACTGAAGAATTATACTCTCACATACACGACTGAAAACCTCATAAAAACTCATATAAACTAGTTCAACCTTTTGCATGTACTTTTGAAATCCTCTCATACAAACGACTTAAATAAAAAGTACACTAGTGAAACCTCACACATATACATGAAAAGCTTGCGCACATACTAGTGAAATGTTCTCATGTACACACCTGAAATTCTCCCTTATAATATTGTGATCGAGCAAGAGGATTTGAGTTGAAACGGAAGGCGTTTTGGTTGAAGCCTATGGTTTGTTTCCTTTTTTTTGTACAGTCTATGTACTTTTCAGTTGTGTATGTCTGAGGGTTTCAGTAGTGTGTGTAAAACCTTTGAACTTGTATGTGTGTGAGGTTTTCAGTATAGTATGTAAATGACTATAGTTTCATATGTATATGCATGGTAATTCTAGATAACGTCCCTGACGGCCCCACAGACGGCCCCACAGACGTAAATGTCTTCAATAGTTAGATATTAGTTAGATATTTCAGTCTGGATGAAAGTGGTGGACTGACCACTCATTGCCATCTCAGGAGCCAAACTGCTAACCACATGAGGCTTTATGCACATTTTATAAATTGCAAATCATTGCAAATCAGTATGATTACGTGTATTACATAACGTTTAGATGTACTGTATGTCAATATAATTATGTTATGTAACATCATTACTCAGATGTTGGCATTAGGTTTCATGAGGGTTTCTGAGGAGTTTGTCAGGTAGTGTATGATAAACCTACAGTGTTGTCAGCCTTTGCCCTTACTCTTCCTGTCTGTAACAAATGTAGAACTGTGAAGATTCACTTCACATAGTTTTAAGACAGTTGTTTTTGTCTTTGTGACATTCTGCTTTCACTTCTTCAGGTGCCAAAGTCAAACAGGGTTCCCCCCAGGTTTCCCACTCAGCTGCAACACAGCTCATCGACGAGCTGAACTATCTCCGTAGCAACCACAGCGACGTGATCGAGGCCGAAGAGGAGGCCAAGAAGGAGCTACAGAGGGAGATCAAAAACCATGCACAGCTAAAGGTGCAAATTCAGCAGCTGAAGACCGTGAATAACGGTTATCAGAGACAGATCGAGGGACTGCGAGCAGAGAAGACAGCTCTGCAGTCCAATATGTCAGCTTTGGGTGAGACTGAGTTGTATCATAGTTTATAAAAACACTTTTTATTCCATGTGTTAAGTTAGAAAATGAAAAACACCTAAAGTGACCAGAAGTCTTTTGTTTCTCCCAGAGGGAACCTGTGGTAGATGCCTCTCTTCGTGGACTCTTCTCAACTCAACCTGCTATTTCTTTTCTTACACTGAATCCTCCACTGTCAAGAGGAACTGGCCAGATAGCAGAGCAGACTGTATCAGCCGTGGAGCCGACCTGGTTGTGATTGATAACCCTGAGGAGCAGGTGGGCTGTGAACTAACAAGGATGAGGGGGAAATACTGTTGAGAACACACAGTGTCAATAAGGGTGAAACGAATGTTTGTGAATTTTTGAAAATATCAACTCCTTCATTTGCTTACACAGACATTTCTGAGTGACATGATAGAAACCATGAAAGGTAACCGTAACGTGTGGGACAGTGGATTCTGGATCGGTCTCACCGACACAGGGACAGAGGGGACATGGGTCTGGATTAATAATGTCACCGAGGTGGAACAGAGGTGAGAGCCACAGACTGTTAATATTGTACTGATTTTGAAATATTATTGATTAAACAAAACTGAATAACTGTATTTTTTTTTTATGATCTCAGGTACTGGATGGAAGGAGAACCAAACGACCAAGGATATCAGGGAGAGGACTGTGCTGTTGCCGTTCATAGTTCCTCTAGTCCCTGGAAGACCCGGTATGATGGAAACTGCCAGAAGAAAAAGATACACTGGATATGTGAAATACCATCAAAATAAACCTTGGATACATTCCTGGCATACCGCTGAAGCAGAAAATACAGGCACATGTTTGTAAATGTCTTTAATAAAATAACTTTAAATGTGTGTTACGTCTCAGAGACTTTTTTTCCACTGTGCTCTAACAGTTGTCACCAAGTCCACACCGCTGGCTGTTATTCTGCAGGAGAGGGTTTCTTTTTTTATTTATTGTTAACCAGGAAACATCTATTTCTGGAGAGCAAAATAGTGGGATACTAAACAGTAAAGCAGGGAAACATATACTGACAGCATGGAAGAAATTTCAGAGGACACACACACACACACACACACACACACACACACACACACACACACACAAGTGGGGCTGGATTATTCAACCAAATGGACATAAATTTCAAGTGATTTTCTAAAGCAAACTTCCAAGTTCACACTCACTCAGCTGACTGCTCTTCGGCAACAAGATGATAAATATGAAATCTGACTCAAATGAGAAGCACTACACAAAAATAACAGCTTTTAACATGGCTGCATGATTTTAGGGATTAAACACATTCATTTAAAACAGGGGCATTCGTTTTGAAAATGATTTATAAATTACGAGTTCCATGGCCTTTAATGTGATGAGGTAATATGCAGAATTTGATTAACCCTCTGCAGCATGTTACATAGAAACTCTTAGGGATTCTTGCTCTCGCTGTTCCTTCACAGCAAAACTGTGTGTAAAAGCCGTATTAAGTTGTGAGATTTTGTGAAATGGCAGCCACAGGTTTGCTACATGGTAATTTGAATACAGAGAAATTAATTTAGGAATATGCACCAAGTAAGTATCAACTGAAACAATGAAGGTAGAATCCACCATAAGGCCCTCATTATGCCCTCATGTGCCATTGCTTTAGTAGAGCATGTTTCAATCTTTCTATTAAGATACTTGTTCATTCTACAGAACTCTGTACTAGGCCTCTACTTGGGTACTTACCTTGATTCATTTCATAACAGGAAGCAGAAACACTGCATGGATTTAGTTGTGAAATTACCAGTAATTTCACTTCTCTTTCCTCATATATGACACTAACTGAAATTTGATCAAGATGAATCTATTGCTGAGCTCAGCATAGGCAGCATCAAGTATCGGAACAAGGCAACGTCCTGACAAATCATCTTTTGCATGTGCTCTCATACAACTGATCTGAATAGTCAGAATGGAGAGGAGAGTCTCAGTCTCAGATAATAATTTCGATGGCGGATTAAACACACTGATTTGTCAAGAGGACTTGTACGACGAGGAGCATCCCCCCTCCACCCCCTCCAAGCAAAAAAGGGTACAAGGTATAGTAAGTTATCATCTGGTCCATCTGTTTGCATGTCTCTATGAAGCTAGCTTATGAAATAAAGAATACAGTATATAGACTCAACTAGTGGTGAGCACATCATTTTGGAATATATACCATTCTGATAATAAGTGTATTGTTAGTGCAGTTTGATACAGTTTCTGGATTCATGATATCTATACATTATCTCTGTCTAGTGTCCATGTCCAATATGGCACTTGGGAGACATGCCAAGCTGGCTGCAGTGATCCTAGTGCTACTCGCCGCTGTTCTACTGATAGTTGATATCAGCCTGGGGGTCCACTGTAAGTCAGTATTTCTGAATGTTTCTTGATGCATCAATTAATCACTTGTATGTTATATCTGAAAATAATGGAAAATGTCCATTACAATTTCCAAGAGCCCAAGTTGATGTCATCAAGTATAATGTTTTGTCCAACAGAGTTCATGTAAGCAGTAAATTCTCACATTTGGGAAGCAGGAAATCAGGCATTTTTACTTGAAAACTGACTTAAGCGATGAATCAGTTATCAAAATAGTTACTGATTCATTTTTTGTCCATGGGCTAATTAGTTGTTTGATCATTGCAGCTTAAGCCTGAGCTTATATCTCTGTAGCCTGTTGCTTGTTTTGTTTGACCTCCATATTAATGTTTAACAAAGAATTTTTAACATTTATGTAGTTTAAATTTAAGTAGTTTTCTGTCGATTAACAAATAATCAAATTGTTTCAGCTCTGTCTTTGATGAAGCGGTGTACAGAAATGGTGGACAATGGTGGAAAAACGAGTCAAGTGATTCATAGATCATGTATATACTGTATTTGTGCAGCAGCTTAACAAATATGAATACTGAATACGTTTGGGGACTGGATACATAATGTTTGTGTTTATGCTGGACCTTAAAGCCCATGGCATGTGCAGGATACTAATAATTCTGGAGTGCATTAATCTCCTGTAAGTACTTCAAATACTTTTTAAAGGCGCTTAAGCTGAGTTGAGAGACAGAGAGAGAGACTGTTTAACACTGTTTGTCTTTAACAATAACAGACAACAAACTCACGGATACCCACCTCACAATCGATGATACAGAACACATCGAAAATGAGTTGAACAAACTCAAGGACACTCACAAAACTGCGACTGAAACCATGAAAAATGCCAATAAGCAGCTGGACAGTGAGAGGAGTCGACAGACACAAACCAACTGGGAGCTTGAACACGAGACGAAAAGAAAGGATGACTACGTACAGCAGATTGATAAAATTACAAATGACATTGCATCAATGAGAGCCCACTTACCAATGATTAGTGAGACCTGTTTTACTACTATTGTATATCATATGTATTGATAGCATACTGATATGTTTTTATATATACACTGTTGCCCATAAAGTTGGAATAATTTTGTTTTCAGTGTAATTGCGGTTTCATTGTGGTTCCATTTTCATTGTGATATGTTTGGAAGAGATTGACTACTAAAGTTTTGAGAATATATACACTTTATCTGTCAAGAATAAATCACATTGTCACAATCATTTCATGGAAAGAGGTAAAAAAGATTTTATTCCAACTTTATGAGCAACAGTGTATATATATAGATATATATATATATATATATCTATATATATATATATATGTTTTGCATACTTGTATTATTCACTCTTATTTTCTTTGGCAACAGCTGATGGCTGCAGACACTGTCCAACAGGATGGATATTGATGAACATGGCGTGTTATTACTTCCCTTTCTCTGTGATTTCTGGATTTAAAACCTGGTATAAAGCCAGAGCATTCTGCCAGACATATGGTGGTGATCTTATAGTCATAGACAGCAAAGACAAAGAGGTTGTTTGACATTTCTTTGCAACCCAGTTTATATAAAATTTCAATTTAACAAAGATGTTTTTTTTAAATCACATTTGTATTTTCTATTTGTTAGAATGCAACTGTAAATCTCTTGAGAAATAATGTTGACCGCTCTAAACCCATCAATGGCTTCTGGATTGGACTGAGAGATGTGCACGAGGAAGGGACCTGGAAATGGTTGGATGGAACAGTATTAATTGAAGGGTAAGGGTAAAATATGTTTTGAAAAATGCATAAAACAAGATCCAGTTTTTATAGGACATTTTCAACGTAACGTCACATGCTGGGTCCATTTCTGGTACAGCCAGTTATGTAGTGAAGATTCCCAAGATCCATTTTTATTTTTACAAGGAAATTCCTACTAATTGATTGGATCCTCCTGCATTATTAGTTTGAGCAAGAAGGGGTTGTATTTTATCTGCTGTACCTTAACCACAAGCAGCAATATGTCTGCTATACACAGTCTGTTCTCACAGCTCAGTTGCAATAAAATAATGTAACTTTGACAAAAATAGTGTCCTCAAGTTCTTTTTCAGACCAATGTGACACAAACAGACATGATTGGCCACCTGGACATTGGGAAAATTAATTTTAGCTCAAGGTTTTATAAAGCGATGGGAAACAATTTCAAGAATTTTATAGAAATCTCCGTTTGAAAATTCATCTGAGAGACCTGTGAGCCAACCACGGGCTTGCTGACAGATGATTTTAATGACTAATTTGCAGTGTTTTTTCTTTTTGACTCTCATTCATTTGTGACAGCAGTTTCTTGTCCATTAGAATAAATGCTTTGAATATGGGGCGGGGGTGCAAAATGTGAACTCAGAGAAAGCAAATACTATGTCTCTGTAGATTAACCTATGGTGTGCTCCAGGTACTGGAATGATGATGAACCAAATGATATCGATGATGAGGACTGTGCAGCGGTGTACCCCAGAGAAAACTTCTTCAAGGCTTGGAACGATGTCAGCTGTAGTGCCACAATGAAATGGATTTGTGAAAAAGCACTATGAATTAGAAGATTAGCCTATGTTTTACTGCATTTGCATGCAAACTAACAGAATCTTTTCCAAATCAGTGGTTTGGGCATCTACATACTGTACACATGTGCATGTTACTATTACAGAAATCTCTGTGAGCTCAGATTAATAAACTAAAAATTGTAACAAACTTTCAGCATTTTAATAACTGCTGTATGTACTCATGTCTGATTGCTAACACTGCAGTGTAGTAAAGATGAATTTTAATTAATAAAAAATCTTTATACAGTTGCTATAAGAAGTCGTTAGTATGTATTTAAGAACACTTAATGCTTCATCAGGTTTTAATGGGCCATCAAGTCTGCACTTGTTACAGTAAGTTAATATTTAAAGAGCTGGGTAAAATTTATATTTATTTATATTTGATCTGTAAAGAATTAAAAAATGATTTCTTGGTCATTATTATAAAACATAAACCCATGTTTAAGTATGAACTGTTAGAGAGTGGCATTGATTTAGCTCTAGAAGTATAATTTCCCATTTTGCAACTCATATAGGAAGCTACTGCTGCTAGCCAGTTAGCTTAGTTTAGCATAAAGACTGGAAACAGCTAGCCTGTATTTGACAGTAACAAAATTTAAAGCTCTAAAGCTCATTGATTAACATGTTGTATTATTCCATTCTGGCAAGCTAGCTGTTTCCCCCGTGTTTCCGGTCTTTGCACTAAGCTAAGCTAACCAGTTGCTGGCAGTAACATTAACCATACAGTTAAGGAAATGGTATCAATCTTCTAATCGAATTGTCTACAAGAAAGCAAATAAGGTTGACAATGTGAAACTGTTCCTTTAAGAGAGGTTAAGTTTCTTAAATAGCCAGCTATAAAAAGCCAGCAAAGCAATCCTGACAAATAGGTATAGAAATGGAAGGCTGCGCTGATTCCTCTCTGCTATGAATTCTGAATTTCATAATTGTTAATCAGCACCTCAAAAATTCAAGTGATGCAACAGCCTGCAAACAGGCTTACAAGCACAGTGTGAACAGGGCAATTATATTTTGAAAATTTAAATGTAAAACTGAACTGTATCACAGTTCTACTAGCATTAACAGTGCTATTAAATCATACTTAAATGCAGTTTTAAACCAAAGCTCAAGCTACACATGAATCTGTATGTCTGATATTTTTACCAACTATACTCCAGACACACAAAGGCATCCAGACCAGGGTTCAAACACACACGTCTGCCTTATCACTGGTATAAGTAAGAGACAAACAGATCAATGGACACCACTTTAACCAGTATAATGGAGAACTCGCAGTCATATTCAGAACATGAGGAGGAAATGTCATTCGAACAAAAGGTTTCTCAACATTTCAGCACAGATGGGCATAGGCGCTATCAACGTCAAGCATTTGGACAAGGTACAATTCACTTTAAAATAAAATCTTCTGACCTATCTTTTACACTATCACTTCACTCTTTTCTCTCTCTCGAACTGACCCTGTGTAACTTGAGCTGATTCAGTGATTTTGATGTCAAATGTATGTGAAAATGTAATCATTTTAAAAAGATTTATGGTTCAAAACCAAAAAAGTCACTGACATAATACTCTTTATGGCTTACTTATGATGATATACATTGTTAAGATTTTAATTCAGAGGAACATTTTCAAGGTCTGTTTACAAAGGGAGGTGGATCTGCGTTTCCACCCAACCGACTGGTTATACTGAGTCTGGGCCTGTTGAATGCTGTTCTGCTGATAGCTGCTGTTGTTACTGGGATCTATTGTAAGTATGACAGTTCACAGGAAACGGCTGGTTGCCTTTATCTGATGCACAGTTGCTCTTCTATGAAATCCATTACACAATTTATTTAAGGATATGAAAAATTGGATTTCAAATCATAGAGATTAATTTCATTCTCAAATTTTCTCACGTAGCTCTTGGTTAATGTACTGTAGAGGTACTGAATGTACTGCATCCAGTTGAGTGTCCATCGCAGACAGATTTGTTGTATATCACCATATCCAGTGAATGATGTGATACAAACATTTTAAGCAGCAAGTGGAAATTAATTAATATGATTGAATTCAGGTGTGTTGCAATGCAATTTGATGTGGTATGAAAGTATAGGCTGTAACTAATACTTCATTGATTAATGGACTGATATTTTGGCCTGTAAAATGTCATAAAATAGAGACAAATTACCAACACAGGTTCCCAGAGCCCAAGGTGACATCTTCAGGTTGTTTGTTTTGTCTGGACACCAGTTCTTAAACCAAATGTGCTCAGCTTACAGTCATATAAGACAAAGATTGGAGCAAGCAAATTGAATCCGTTATCAGAATTGTTGCTGATTAATTTGCTCCTAGTCAACTAAGTGATTAAGTGTTTCAGCTCTACGTGATAAAATGAAATTTAAAACACTATGAGTGTCACGGTGGTGCTGATCATCAGACTGTGCTCCCAATGAGCAAGAAGGTGGTGAATCCTTATTGTAGCCCTTATTGGAAGTTGTAAGACAGACAACAGGTATAGCCATCAATGTGTTAGCATGCTAACATTTGCTAATTAGCGAACAAAAAGGAATGTCATTAGTTTTTTTGTAGGTATTTGGTCATAAACAAGTATTTTTTACAAATTAAAACATCTTATGTGAATAATGAATGTCTCTCCAAACTTTGTGACCGTTCATTACTTTAATGTTGACATATTTCATCGAGTAAGTGAAATGGTGGTACTAGAGGAAAAGTCAGCGGATCACCAAAATCAGTCATCAAGATTTATCCTTTTAAGACTTTTAATAGAGATATTTCAGTCTGGACCAAAGTGCTGGACTGTCCAACTGACTTGACAACATTTTTCCACACTTCCTCTTTCTGTTAGTTACAATGAGTTTTTATGCTTCAGGTGCCAAAGCCAAAAACCTTCAGATTTCTTATTCCGCTAATGGACCCCTCATTGCTGAGTTGAACCGTCTCCGCAACCACAGCGGTATCATCAGAGCTAAAATGGAGGCCCACGCAGCATTAATGAAAGAGCACGCCAGCCATCTCTACCTAAAGGAGCAGGTGCAGCAGAAGAAGACCATCAGTGATGGTCTTCAGTTACAGATTGAGGCTCTACACACAGAGAGGACAGAGCTAAAGAGTAATAAAACTAATTTAGGTAAGGCAGACTTCCATCCTGTCTTCAGTGGCAACTGTCCAAGTACAAAGAAAATGTGATGGTTGGAAATGTGGAACATATGTACAGTTTATGTATTTATGTAACCTAGGATTTTTTTGAGAATATCAAAAATAGCCTTTGACAGGATATTTTTCACTTTTTCCAATCTCTTGTTGCAACAGAGGGAAGCTGTAGCAGGTGCCAACCACGATGGATTTTTCTTCAATCATCCTGCTATTTTTTTTCTAACTCTGTGTACGAAACCAGGAAGAACTGGCTGGATAGCAGAGCACACTGTATTAGTCAAGGGGGCGAACTGGTTGTGATCAATAACTTGGCTGAGCAGGTGGGTCAAAAAACAAATGAAGAAAAGGGCTTCAGCCTCAGAAAAAAGATGATAAGAAATGATACCTCTCATTTCGTTGGATGTCTCTACACCTGATTTTTAAGTCCCATAAAGTTCATTTTTCATGAGTTAGTTGTTCACGTTTAGTATGTAGGAGAAAATGACCTTCATGATGGCTTGAAAACAAATATTGAATCTTTGATGAAAATGTGTTGAATAATATTTAACTTATGTTGGACTGCATTCATTATTTTTGAATATTCCTTTAAAGCCCCTGAAAAATTGGTTTGAAATTTTGAGCATATCTCTTTATGAATAAAGCTGCTATAACTGATATTTTTATTATGTATGTATGTATCAACTTATGAACCTAATTATCATCCAAGCCTACAGCTTCCTTCAGTGTCTCTGTTCAGTCCGTAAAGTTACTGCTTCGGTTCACTCTCACCACTTTCATAGGGCCATTTTCTCCACACATAGTGAAGCATTTAGCAGTTAACAAGCCAGATATTTCACTCAGGAGCTGGTAAAGACTAAAAAGAGAGTGAATATTGGACTTACATTGGTAGCCAGAAACACGACTCTAAATAAATGATAGTGTTGCTCCATAACTGATGGCTGGGTAAATGAGTGAGTGTTTGCGAACTAGTATGTCAATATTGTGTTCACAGTCGAAGTCCTCAACTGCCCCTCATATCAAATGTGAGTTTATATGAGTTGATATATAGATATAAAAAAAAAAAGCTTCAGGACCTTTTAGGGACTTTAAAGTCTATTTGATCTATTTATGAAATTCAGGTATTAACTCCTGTGTATGCGTTCTTAAAGCATCTCATGAGTGACAACTTTCGAAGGGTGAGCAGTGGCAGTGTGTGGTGGCAGAACGGCTTCTGGATCGGCCTCAGGGAAGTAGTGGCAGAAGAAAAATGGGTCTGGGTTAACAATGTGACTGAGACAGAAACAGTGTAAGCATGTCCCAGACTGCCAACACTTACTATTGATCACTATGATTTGAATTTTTATTGTCATGACTAACAAATATAGCGGAACTAAATTCTTCTTCTGAATGATTTTGATTTATTCAAGGTACTGGAGAACTGGACAGCCTAGCAGAAGTGGACTTCAGAGCGGGAACTGTGCTGCTTTGAATTACTATTCTGATACCAAGAGGACATGGTATAATGCAAACTGCAATGAACTTGAGTTGAACTGGATATGTGAAATGGAGCCAAACGAGACATGACATCTCTCCAGTAGAAATCACAATCGCAGGACTATATATTTGTGTCTATGCAAAATGGTTAAAATAAAGAAACTGCAGCTCAATACATTAGCATCCGTGTTGCGTGTGATCATTTCTAAGCTATACACACTTCTTCAGGTAAATGACAATAAACGACTGTTGTCCCTGCAGCGTACAATTTGATTTCATTTAATTGTATTTTAGTTATGCTTTAGCAGAAAATAGCTATTTATCCTGCTGATTTGGTTAATGAAATAAATCATCATTGACACAATGAAACAAAAGGTGACACCTAAAGAATCACATCTTCCAAACTGAGTAGCCTAAATTATAAATCATTTTGTTAAGGTGATTAGAAAATGACACCAGCTTTTCAAATGGCCTGCACTCCCTGTAAATATTTAACAAATGAACTTGATTTTCTGTTTGTTATGTTACACACTCACCTACAGGGCAATGTCCTGACAAATAGTCTCTCTCAGGGACTATCACATCCTCTTATCTCAACAGAAAAAATGGAGGACAGAGAAAACTTTTGATGCACTTTTGATGGCACACGTAACCAACTGATTTGTCAGGAGGACTTCAGTGCAGATGATCGCGCTCTCTACTCAAACCAAGAGAAGCAACGAGGTATTCATCTGTTTAACATGTTCTTTGTTATTACACATACTGTGCTTATTTTGTATGTCATTCTTAGTAGGTGTCCTTGTTTTCCTGTAAGTTATTAAATGCATGCTTTGCATCATTTGTTTTTTTATTATTGTATATCTTAATCATTAATTATCAATCAACAACTGACATAAGATGTCTTAGTAGGATCTTATAAACACCACTGCTCAATTATTCTGTGTATTTCTTTATCTCTGTCTGTCCGTACATGGCTCTGAAATTGATCCACAACTTCTCTGTGTAGTGTTCATGTCCGTGGTGAGACCTGAATCCAGTATGCATTTTTACAGACTGGTTACAGTGAGCCTGGCAGTGCTCGCTGTCATTCTTCTAGCCATTGATATCGGCCTGGGAGTCTATTGTAAGTTACTGTTAACCCATAAAGAACAAAAATATTGTGGCTTTAACTAGCTATGAGGTGACATGCATTTTCACAACTCATAGCAATGAAACTAATATTTGAAAGGTTAAAAGTTCATCTTTGAAGTAATAGAAGTGACGTCAACAGAAGAGGTACAGCTATTTAAACATTGATATATTTAACATGAATTACCTTACAGCTGCTGTAAGTAATATCTTTAACAATGACTGTGTGTAATGTAAAATGTGTCGCTCCTAGCAAGGAACCCACCTGACTCTGCAGTTCCCTTCATTCTATGTAGCATTTTAACTTCTTTTACTTGTTTTGGTTCACTGCTCTAATCGGCTACACACCACCTGCCCAGCACTGAACAGCAGTTAAATCCATTAAGAAGACACTCTCTGCTCTGTGCCTGCTAACAACTGTTGGCTAAATTCTGGTTATTTACAGCTTGTGTGAAGCTAGAAGGGTACCATCGAAAAAAATATGTGAAAACTCTTTAGAGATATATGTATTGGGGGTAATGGTGGGAGCAAAGTCTCTAGTTTGGTGCCAGCACGCTGAAACATTTCTCTTACAGCTCAGCAGCACCATCCTGCTGTGAACTGATGTTGTATGACACCCTCCAGAGATTATACACAATTAAAAAAAATAAAAGAAATTAAACTTTCTGGAATGTATTTACAAAACAGTTATAAATGCCTGTGCACCAACAATGTTATGATATGCAGGTTTTTCAATTAACTTTTGTTCTGCTACACTCCTGTGATCACTTTTGACCTTTGAATTTACACTGCACAGCAGGCAAGTATAGACGTGCATGTCCCGAAAAGAGTGTAAGCAGATGTTTATCATGCTATTAAGAAACTTCAGAATGACTGCTCGACTCCAGTAACACTACGTCTTCACTACTTACAGACAGCAAACTTACTGGGCAATATACAATAACAGACATCAATGAGGAGATGACCAAACTGCAGGCTTTTTACAACTCTGCAGTTAAAAGCAGGGATGACGCCAAAAAGGAGTTGGCAAAAGAAATCAGTGAACACCTACATACTGAGTGGGAGTTGGAACATCAGACTAAAAGAAACAAAGGCTATGAAAAGGATATTGACAAAATCCAAGAGGAAATATCAGCAATGAAAGCCCACATACCAATGATTGGTGAGAGCTTTTTTTTTTTACTTGTTTTTTATGATCAAAGGATTAAATACATTATTATTTAAATCCAAACAACATAACATGTTTCCATTTTCAGCGGAGGGCTGTAGACACTGTCTCCCCGGGTGGACTTACATGAACTCAGCATGTTACTACATCGCTACGCCTGAGACTCTTTCGCGCAGACCATGGCATCAAGCCAGGCAGTTCTGCATCAATCAAGGAGGAGACTTGGCAATATTAGACACCACAGAGAAAAACGTAAGACTCAACATTTAGTCATTTCCGTGTTTGTAGTTCTCTTTCATATCACTTTATATTTTACTTTTGAGCATTAAAAGAGACCTGTTTCACTGCACGGGACCCAACAAAATAAATGCATATACATGTGTGTTTGTGTGTGTATATTTCCAATGTTGTCAGGTGGCAGTAAATAGCTTGATAAACAATTATCATGACTCCTCAAGATTCATATCCAATAATGGCTACTGGATCGGACTGAGAGATGCAGATGAGGAGGGAATTTGGAAATGGTTGAATGGAAGAAGAATGACTGAGGGGTAACAGTTACACACCTGAACATACTAAAAAATGGTCTTAAATATTGTCAAGAATTGTCACTATTGTAAATGGCTGTGATAGCACATTCACATACTAATAATATAACGAATACTAACACTAACAATAATAATGATAATATCAAAATATGATGTTTAAATATAAAGTGTTGGAGGAGATATTAAGGCTCAACAAAGTAACTTATCATTTGTTTCAGGTATTGGAATGACGGCGAGCCCAACAACCAGGACAATGAGGACTGTGCAGCTACGTATCCCAATAACAACCCCTTCAAGTCCTGGAATGATGCTCCATGCAGTTATAGCCTGAAATGGATTTGCGAAATGGCACCAAAGTCTGGGAGTTAATGTAATTTTATTTTATTTTTTTAAATCCCATTAAGTTTTAGTTTAATTGTTTGAATGAAGATTTGACTCGACCTTAGAGACTTTTACACACCTTCTGAACTGTAACCTTTTATTGTGATGTCAATATTTGTTGAAACTACAAAATGGCAAGGAAGGTTCAAATATGAAAAATACATATAATTTATTAAATGAGCTATAAAATGTAGGTTAATTATTTTACTGTAATAAATTAAATCTTTACCATAACTATGTACATATGTATTACTATTACACAGATTTGTACACTAGTTTACCAGTTTATCAGGAAAATACCCACCTTCACATAAATTGTACATTCCTACAAGTCATATGATGCATGATGTGTGGTATACATCATATATCATTATGTATCAAAGACATGCTGATGAGGTCAATCACATCAATCAAATTCTTTCTTTTAAACTTTATCTATAACATATGGTATACCTAGTAACTGGCAATTTATTGTATATGTACCATTTAAAACATAAACGCAAACCAAAACTAATGCCCATTTCTTCATGCCCATGTCTGACTTACTTGCCTGCCTTTTAGCATTTCAATAACTTTGTGTTTTGAAGCCTGATGGCTACCCCTGCGGTGCAGTCTCTCACAGCAGCATCATTCAAATCAAACCCTTCTTCCTCAGCACACTGGTCGGACGCTCACAGCACCGCAAAGTGCTGCCGAAGTTGCTTGAGAAGCTGCTGAGTGTCAACGTGCTCAGGAAAGGCATCCTCAGACTTTTGTGCTGCAGTGTAGCTACTCTGAAGGTCTCCAATCTGGACACAGACAAAAAGATTGCATTGGCAAACATTTTCATATTGATTATTTTGTCTTAAACGACTGTATAGTGTAAATATTCAGATGAAAAAATAGTAATAAATTACCTTTTCAGAAAGAATGGAAAGATTGAAGTGTGGCTCATACATGTGAGGAGCCAGTGATGCAGCGGTCTGTAGGAAGGCTTTAGACTGGATCAAAGATAGGACATTCAGTTACATTTGTCAGCAACAGGATATTCAATGAATTAATTTAATTAATGTTAACTGAAAATAACTCTTTGCTAATTTTCAACCCTCATCTTTTCATTTTATTGGTAGGATGTGAAAATCTGTCATAAAATGTCTCACTTCAATTTGTGTCTGCAGAGCTGACCTCCACCACCTCTATGCCAGATGACACATTTTACATCACTTGAGAGACTGTACATCATTTTGCTCTCTTGTTAGCTCAGTGGCAGTTTAAGTTCAGCTCAAAGACCGTAGCTGTTTTTGATTTACTAGAGAATGTAAATAAACAGCCTTTATGGTATGATTCACTATTGCAATCAGACTTTTAGGGCAACTAAAAAAAAATTAACCACAAGTATACTGGTTTGACATCTACACAGTATTAGTATTACTGCTGCTGTGGATGACTGCCACATAGCTGCATGTGAAACTCAGCCCAGGGATCTCATAATATCTTGTTCTCATATCATGATATAAATGCTAAATTGGTTTATCACCAACCTCTTAGGAACATTCTAAAATAATCAATACAGTACCGGCTGTATTTGAGAAATATCTTTTGGTAATACAAGTTGGTATATCATTAATAATAATGACTGTTTAATGACTCTCTAATAACAGGCTGTATAACATCATATTAGAGTGTCTAAAAGGAAAGCAATATGATCTCGTCCCTCATATTCTAACAGACTAAAAGATATGACTTCACCTGTTCAATACGACCTTTGCGCAGCTCCAGCACAGCCAAGTTGTTGTAGGCCTCAGCATGGTCATTGTTAAAAGCCAAAGCTAGTTTAAAACACTGATAGGCCAGTGTGAGGTCTCCTATGCCCTGTAATCATAGAACACATGCACTCTATTTGTACTTGTATTTGGTTTATTTTAACTCTAAACTATATGAAGGAGAGGTACATATTATTAAATAATCAGACATTCTGGGATATTTTTGGGTATTGCTATCTCACCACAGCAACGTGCCCTATGTTGTACCAGACATCAGCCATCTCTTCATCATTGTCCACCAGGGCCAGAGCCCTCTCAAATGAGGACAGAGTCATGTCATACTGCTGGGCATAGAAGCAGCACAGGCCCAGGTTGTTGTACAGCTGGCAGTTATACACCCCCATCTGGAGCAGCCGTCTAACAAAGGGCAACGCATATTGAATCACAGATGGCATATAGCCCCTCATTACCTATACTGTAACAATGCATTACATAAATTATACATAAAAGTCAGTCTGACCTGTAGAACCTCAGGGCGATCTCTGGCTGATCAGTATAGAAGTGATTGCTGCCTATACAGGCTATAGCCTCCACGTGAGTGTTGTCCTGCTTGAGGACATCTTTGTAGTACTCTGTGGCTGATGAAATGTTGTTCATCTCCTGTGAGAATATCACAATATAGACAGTAAATATGGTTTCCTATTTCTTTTGGCAGTTGTATCTTGGGAGTGGAGTAAGGGGAGTCTATAGTAATGGCCATGGTGGCATACTGTACCTCATGAATGCGAGCTATTCCTGTTAGAAGGGTGACTTCACCAGGAAAATGGTCCAGGCCTTGCTTGAAAAGGTTGAGTGCTGTTATTGGTTGATCAAGGCGCTGGTAAACCTAAAGTAAAAAAACACACAAGGTTTTTCATTTCATTTATTAGCAAACTTTTGTACCAGAAATAAGTAAGAACTGGTATTTTCCATTGTGCAACAAGTTGTTAATGTAATGTATTGCTATGATGTCTCCATCATTACCTTTGACAGGTAGAGATATGTATCAACCACCTCCTGGTGGTTGAGAGCTGATCGAAACTGTTTTTCTGCTTCTCGATATAAACCAAGCCTGCAAAGGTCAGAAATAACAATCTTTAATTAGATTATAAAAATGCAACTTTTAGAAATGTCAGATATACTGAGCTCATGTGGATGTTTACTTGCCTGTAGTAACATTTTCCCAGCTGAACTTTCCACCACCAGTCTTTGAACTGAGCATGTTCAGTAGCTTGAGCAGCCAAATCTAGAGCCTGGTGAAGAAATTTTAAGTTTTTGTTGCATGACTAAAAGTCAACCAATTCTCTTTATGCTGTAAATCTATGCACTACTTACATTTTTTACATCGTTTTCATGATGGAAGATGTACTCAAACAGTGTCTGCGGAGGGAAACGATGGTTACTTGACATTTGAGAAAAAGCTAAAATCTTGATTCATTTTGGGAGGCAACAGTCTCAGTCTTACCCTGGATAAACTGGGCTTTTGGGAGTACTTGGCCAGATTTAATCTTGACAAGTTGATAAATGGTCCTTCTGGATTGGTTAGCATTGAAGCCTGGAGAAACAGTGAAACAACATATCATGGTAAATGATACAGGCTTTCTTCACAGTAAGGAAAATGTATAACACAATAAATAATAAATATCTGTAATTTATATGAACAATGATAATATTTTAAGCAATAGGAGAAAATTAAGGGTTTGCTTTTGTTTTTTTGGTGGGAAATTGTTCCCACATGAACAGGCAGCCTTTATGTCGCTGCAAACATTCAGGCATGTTTACTCACTGTTCCCAGACGGATGAATCTACCAGAAGCACTAGTAACAGGCCGAGCAGTGCTTGCAGTGCGGGGAGTTTTGATGGCCTGCTCCATTGTCCCAGGACGCCCAGACTGTGTGCTGGGTCTCACAAATCCTGTGATAGGACGCCCTGATTGTGTCATAGGCCTTGAATTCAGAGAAGAAACCCAGATCATCTTGTATCTCTTAATTTGTAGAAAGTGTTGTCAATGGTAAAAATTTCAAGGCAAAATTTTGAGCATTGCCTTGAAGACAGTACCTGACAGCTGGTGTGGGCCCTCCACCCTGACTTGTTCCAGGGAGCCTCAGTGACGTTCCAGGGCCTTGGAGAAAGTCAGGTTTCATCAGTCTAACAAATTTAACCATTGGGTGCTAATTTTCTCAACTTTAAAGCACTGTGAAGAGTTTAAACTTACGTGCAACTTGAGCAATAGAGCTCTCATCCAGCATCATCTCAGCAATCCCCTCCTGGTCAACCTCAATTTCATCTATGTATACCATCTCTGTCAGAGCACGAGTTTTCAAGCTCCATGCAGCCTATAAAACAAACACACACACAAACACAAACTGCTAAATGACGTAAAGAGCCTGATGTTACGTCTTCCAACCACTGGGTAAACATGTTACGGTCAGGAATGAAAAAATGACAGAGGAACAGTCTGCAGTCAAGTTTACCTCTGAGATAAACAAGGAGGAGTCCTTAGGACAGCATGCAATTAGTTAGTGAAAAGAGAAAAGTTGAGGACAGATGAGAATAAACGGGGGAAAAAAGAAAAAAATGAAAAAAGACACGATGCAGAAGAAATGAAAGGTAAAATGAAATGCAATGTAATGTCAGGAGTATGTTGCAGCATAATGAGTCAAAGAGATACCAGTAAATTCAACGTTAGCTAAATTAAATTAAGAAAACTACTAGGATTAATCCGGATTATGCACGAGTTGCTGCAGGTTGCCTGTATTAGCAAATTGGATGGCTTTCCTTAATAGATAATCGCTAGCATGCTAAACTAGCCCGGCTAACTGTATCACGGTACCTGGTCATATGGGTTGTCTTGTAATATTTTTGTACAAATATCTGAACACTGTTGGAGTTTCCGCCTCCTGGAATAGCTCCACGCGAGAAACAAAGGGTCCATCGTCACCTCCATTGCGCTGGCCGAGAAGAAAACAGGTTTAGAAGCGGGTTAGCAAGCTGTTTTGCAAAGCTGGGACGATGGCGAAGCTTCCTCTGTCGCTCGGCAACAGGGAAGGAGGCGGTCCTTCAATGACGTAGCTTCCTCTAATGAAAAAAAACTGCTAGGCTATATTTTTATGCATAATATAGATAGATAGATAGATAGATAGATAGATAGATAGATAGATAGATAGATAGATAGATAGATAGATAGATAGATAGATAGATAGATAAATAGATACTTTATTTATCCCATAGGACAAATTCATGAATTAATCAATTTCCAATTTTATTTTTTCCCCTCTATTTCTGAAATAGAATGACAGAGCAAGGGTGAAAGAACATGATATGAAAATAACAGTGTTCATATCATGTATTAAATATATACAGCCATAGATGTCAACAAAGAAAAATTAAGATAAAACAAAAGAAGTAGAATAGAAATGACATATTTTTAAACAAATTAATAGAAATAATATAAAGTGCAAACGGTACCTCTTGCTCAGATCTCTACTGATAAGCCCAAAAGATTGAGTGTAGTTTCCAAATACAAAAATTATTAATTCACAAAAAGGGTGGAAAAGACGAGTAATTTACAAAGCTCGAACTAGTGCATATCAATTTTACAATAACAAAAAGAAAAAGAAGTGAGTTAACAGTTGTATTATCTGTTTCTTTATTTAATGTAATAGAATAACATTCCATTAATTGTATAATTTCTTTGGTGTACAAAACAATCCTCTAGCTTGAATCTTGAAATATATTATGTAAGATTTTGTAATGATGATAATAATGATAATAATAACAGTTCAGACTGAGTCAAAGTTGTGTCAGTAAAAATCGAATATAGACTAAACTTTTATTTAATAGTAATATTCTGTCAAAATATATTTGTTTTATGGTAGTATCTTTCTCTCTGTGTGTGAAATTCACCCATTAAGACAAAGAGTTTACATTAAATTAATAAAAATTAAGTCGCAGCCAATTTGACGTTATCCTTGTATAACTGTTTCAGTCGTGACGAGATTGTCCTCTCCTGCTTTTTTTTCTCTTAGTTAAAGGATCTGATTGAAGGACAGGCTGATCCGTCATCTTTGTGGGCGGTGCTTGCGGAATAACAGTGCAGCTCCATCTTTGTAGGATTTGACAGGAGCTTTGACCTGGAGCCGACGAGGACCGCAAGCCCGGGACCGAAGAAGTACAAGCAGCTTCTCACAATGAACACAACAGCTTAGAAACTCGTTTCTGAAACAGAGACAGAGGGCTTTCATCTCATCATACAGCAAGACTATTCATTCACACGACCCTCAAAAATGCCCAATTTCAGCGCTCTCCCTGGACTGGTGGAAATCCAGTGGGACTAATGGGACACACGGGCTTAAAATAAATCCTTTTTGGTGAATGACACTGTATCAGAAAGCCTACGTGATAGCGACAGAGAGACACACACGGAAGTGCGGACATGGCTGACAGAACTGCTCCCAACTGCCACCTGAGACTGGAGTGGGTGTACGGATACCGGGGACATCAGTGCCGCAACAACCTGTACTACACCGCCGCCAAGGAGATAGTCTATTTTGTCGCCGGTGTTGGGGTTGTGTACAACACCCGGGAGCACAAGCAGAAATTTTACCTGGGACACAACGATGACATAATCAGGTAGTGTAATCATACACAGGCAACAGTATACTGCACACACACACATATAACAATTAGTTTCAGCACCTCGGACAGCACCAGACTCATAGTAGCTGAAAATGAATTGATCCTGTACTGTTGTCATTGTAGGTGCTGGTGTCACCTTGTGTAATGTAATATGATATTTTCTAGCCCCATAGGTAGTTAACAGGAACACGCACCTACACAGCAGCATCTCCATAGTTTGTAATGGGGTCCAGTGTCTTGCTCAAGGACACTCCAGCAGGGCAGAGGTGTTGAACCAGCTCTCCAGATTGAAGCTCCCTTTCTCTCACTGCTAAAGATTACTCTGCTGCCACTCCTCATGTCATTGCTTCTAGTTGCAGGGCTGCTAGATTTTTATATCAGGGTTCATCATTAAACCGTATTAATAATTCAATCTATAAAATAGGGGGGAAATGCTGCTCATAATCTTCCAGAGGTCAAGTTGATAACTTAAACTAGATTTTGTCCAAGGAACAGTCCAAAACTCAAAGATACCTAATCTGTAACAACATCTCACAGAGCTCAAAGCAACAAATCTAGTCACCAGAGAATGTGAACAAAGAAAATATTTACCATTTTGTCTTAATAAAGGATTTAATGATTAATTGGTTATCAAAGTAGTTGATTTAAATTTCTGTAGATTATCTAATCACTTACTAATTGCTTTGTCTTTGACTGGTAGCAGAAATTTTCAGCATATTTTAGAGGTTTTCCAAAGCAGCAGCCTGCATGTCTCATCTTCCCATGACAATGGGTGCAAGCAAAGTGCAAATCTGAAAAATGCACTTGAACGTAGCTGTCCTTGAAAGAATCCTTTGGAGTGGAAAGTGTTAACTCATCTCTGCATGGCCAGACAGACCTGTTCTTTAATAAAACACAGCAAAGTAACCGGTGTTACATCACACATCTAATGATCCTGCCTTTCAAACTGTTTCTCAGCATGCCACACAACAACGACCTGTGTACAACGCTCCAGTGCTTGTGTTGACATGTGTGTGTGGGTTGGCCTGGAGATGACTAACATTATATTCTGTGTCGGTAGTCAGCTGGGCTCCTGCTCCATTATTAATCAGACAACAGAGGAACTAACCCTGCGCTGCCCTGTGGGTGAAGTGCCTGACTCTTAGCCGGAGGAGTCACTAAATGAGCCATCGTTTGATATTTGATGCAAAAATGCAACATGCATTTGCAAAACTAATAAATATGCAAAAGTATTGAATTGTAAAACAATCAAATTCATCATCTGTAACTCTGCACTCAGTATTTTAGGCGTTTTGTTGCCACATTTTTTTTCTGCAGACAGGTGGTTTAAAATACATGAAAAGCTCTTTTGATATGAACATATTTACACCACAAGCTATGTAGATCTCCTAGTGCTGTCTAGTATTGCTGGCACAAACCAGGTAATAGCCATATCCATAGAGGTCATTTTAAACTCAGATCTCAGAGGAGTGCTTGTAAAGCTCTCATAAACACGTCCTTAGACTTAAGGCTGCTATGGCACAACCAGGAGCAATCCTCAGCAGATTCAGTGCTGAATAACTGTTGGACTGCTCTCACGTTGCACTAACTCATGTGGAATAGATGCAGCCCCCTCAGATAGCACTGCGATTCAAATCCCTCTCTCTTTTGCCCTTATTTTTGGTTGCTGCTGTATCCTGTTTGTGAGCTATGTATAAATTGATGTTTTACCTCATGAGTTAATTGCTGGCCTTGTTTCTCGCTCTTAGTTTTATCTCGCCCTGCAGCTTTTTTAACTGGTCTCCCAGTCTGACATGGAGGAGCTAATAGGCAGGTTCTCACATGAATGAAAGGTCGGTCTGGTCTGTGTTTCAGTGATGCTTTTTGAGGAATGTGAATTGACATGGTACTGGGCAATAGCCAAATAGACTGAGGAGAAGGTTAATAACATCTAATTAAAACACAGTTCACATGTTAGGAAAGTGGACTATTAAAAAACAGTTAAAACAGTTATTTGCAATTCTTTCTTCATATCTGGTATTGTTCCACGCTCCATTTATTCCAGTCGGAAAATAAAAGAACCCGAGGCTCCTGCTGAAAAACCTGCAGGCGTTTGTCCATAGTGCAAAACTTAATCTCTCCTTTTTGCAGTTATGCTGACATGCAGGACGTGTACATGCACATGAATGCATACGAAACGCAAACATGCACACTGAAAATAACACACAGGTTGGAAATCTTATTTGTTGCTTCGGCACCAGAATCTAAAAACTATATTTTGTGCTGTTATTCTAAATCTTGGCTGATTCCTGTTGTTTGTTGTGATAGTGAGTGAGAGTTAATGAGAGGCTGTTATGGACACGGGGATAAAAGGCTGTCTCATATTACAATATCTTGTTAACTTTATGATGGAGCACAGCCAGAGTTATGGATTATAGATGCCAGTCCGAGGCCGGTCTTGTTTCAGTAAGCTTTGAAAGATGTGATGAATGCATTTCTATTCATATTGTTGAAAAATTTTCATTCAGCTCTTAATAATTTTTTTTTTCACTTTCAAAATCAGTGTGAAGTTTCACACAACAAATGTGTCAGGTTTGCAGGCAGGAGTCTCGCAGCCGTGCTCTGTGAACTGTATGGTATGATGCTAATGGTGTGAACTAACTGCATATTAATGTGCAAGCTAAAGTCTAAAACTGACAATCTTGCTGTGTAAAGTCATCATAGTGTGCTTTAATATATAGGATATTTGAGTCTCTAACAATATTACTATTGCACAAATGTATGCCTTGTATCAGAAACCAATAGCGCTGGTGTTTTAGGTGAGTGTGTGGGAATGTGCTGTCAGGCCAGTACGGTAGACAATGGCCATTAGAGGTAATAGATAGGATTCACATTTTCCTGTATTCATCTTCCCGTGTTTGAATGCTGATAAATAGAGAGTCATGGTCTGTGGTCTGTCTTCTGTCCTCTGCTTACTTTCCCTCTGACTTTGGTCTCAGTAGATTATCGGTGGCTCCTGTACTCATTTATGATTGCAAAATGATTTGGTCATTTTTATTCAATCCACGAGCAAATGACTTTTTATCACCATAACCACAAGGAAAAAGTAGAAATAGCTGCAGCAAAAGAGGATCTAATGAGAAGACTGTAGAAACAGTCCATCAAGTCGATAAACTTTACTGTTGGTGACAGTCGGGTCTGCTTCCCTTTGTTTCTTACCTTTACACACATTTGCAGGTGCTCTGTGCAGAGTGACTGAGGTCTCAGGTCTCCATCATCACTGCGAGGAGCTGCCAAGCCACTCACTCTGTGAAAGGCAGCTTGGTCTCTAAAGAGCAGATCTGTCTTCCTCAATTAGGATCCTCCAGAGTTCAGTACAGTTACTTAGCGCTATGGCGTGATTCAGCGTAGATGTTGCTGGGATTTTAAAAAAAATAAACTCAGGCAGGTGTTGGTTTTCTGATGGTGGTGTTATGAATGTTTTATTCAGATGAAGTGGAGGCAGCTGACGTATTGCTCTTATCGGTACTTTACCCTGACTTAGATGCGTGCATTTAGAATAGATAAAAATAAAATTGATAATGATTAGATATCACAATATTTTTTGAACAAGTACCGCAATATTAATAATGTATATGTTGGTATATACAGTATTGTGCAAATAAATATTGGTGCTTAAGGATATTTACACTATTGATTAGAAATGTGGATATAATGATGAATTATTCATATCTATTTTACTAGGATACAATCAATAGGAGACACGAAGAGCTGGAGCAATTATTTATTGTTGTAATTTATCATTTAAAAATGTCAAACAATATCCAGTTTAAGTTTCTGAACTTTGCTGGTTTTATGTTACAGTAAACTGTATTTGAGTTTTGGACTGGAGGAACAATATGAGCATCCCACTTTGGAAATTTTGATGAACATTTGTTGTTGTTTCAAAGACCAAATGATTATCAATTCCTCTAGTAGATAAGCAGCAGATTAATCACCATCATTAATGAAAATAATGATTAGTTGTAGCCTTGCAAATGAGTTTAGAGAACTATCAAAAATCTTATAAGGGAAACGATTATTTTAATTATCAATAAATCCCCTTTTTCAAAAGACTGATTGTTATCTGTAAAATGTCAGAAAACAGTATCATATGCTCAAAATATAAAATATAAATGAAATATAAAAACTGATTTCTTGATTATTAAATTAATTAATTCATCATTTAATTGTTTCAGCGGTAAAACTGATAAACAGCACCCACTAGCTCAAGTGCACTTGGTTTTCAGAAGAATCAGAAGACTTTTCTCACTGGGCCAGAAACCAGTCCAGAGTCTTTGCCCATGTCACCCTCTTTAACTCCGTCCTCTTTTCTCTCCCTTTGACTCTAATCAAGCAGCGCACCACTGTACTCACCCGCTGCTTTCTTTCATTTTGCCTCTTCTATTTTCCGTTTTAAGTGCTTGGTCTATGGGTGGGATTTTCTTATGGGGTTTGGTGAGCAGCTGTACTAAAACACTTTGTGGAGTCCTGGGAAATATCCTGCGTTGTGTAGACCTTCAGAAATGTGCTAATCCTCCGCTTCCTTTTAATCCACTGTAGGTATAATCAGACAAAGGAAGCTACTGCTGGAGAGTGTGTATCAAAGTTGTCTCATGAGCTCGCCATATCATGGGGGACTGGCGTCATTCTTGCCCATATGTAACCGTCTCCATTCATGAGTCAAAGATAGATTGCTAGACTCATGATGAAGAAGGGGAAACAGTGGGTAAAGGTGCATCTCATGCCCTTTTATCTGGCTCAGTCGACCTTCGTCTCCTCCTCCTCCTCTGTATCTAAGCATCTCCACCGTGTGAAATCAGCTCTCCAGGCTGTTTATTTGCCTCGTATCTACACGAAAACAGACTGTTTAATTGCTGCAGTATTTAGCTAGTTTTGTACTACAGTTCTTGCCAGATGGAAGACAGCCGCATCAAACAGCCGCAGCCTATATCAAACAGGAGAACCGTGGTGATGCACTGCAGGCTAAGTCATTAGCGATGGCATTTAGCAAGCTTTTCAGCTGACAGACATGTAAGTGAAAGAGCGATCTTGTTTTAGCTGGCTTAAAGACTGCACTGATTTTACCAAGCTGTAACACAGACATACCATACTTATTAAAGTCATAATTAAAGTGATTCCAAATAAGTATCAGTGCTTCCTGCACATACCTTTTGACGTGTGTCAAACCAGACAGAATTGTATTGGACCCGCTTGCGCCAAAGCAGTTTTCTCTGCTGTGTCTGTCTGCATCTCAAAGTGTTCCAATCATTTTTTTCTTCCTCTGAATGCTATTATTAGCTGCTTCGCTCTGATTATATAATTCATAAAAAAGTAAGATGAGAAATTGTGCCAGGTTGGAGAGAGGTTCAACAAAGAAGGTGGAGAAGCGGATGTGATGGGGAGAACAAGGAGGGAAGATCGAGGGAGGACAAAGATCGGGCCCATCACGTCTAACCCACCTCAGCTTTGAGAGATGTTACACCAGCAGAGCTTTGTCAAGTCCTTGGTGACAGCGTGTTTCACATGCAAATGAGGTGTCAGGAGTCAGACAGGAAGATTCACACTGAAAACTCGGAAAGGAGTGAAAGTGGAAGAAGGCTGCTTTGACTCAGCCGGTTGATGCTGCGCAGCCTGCGAAGCCTCTCTGACCTGCTCCCTCAATACACACCAGGATTAGAAATTCTGGAGAGCATTTGGCAAAACAGGCAGTCTGATTATAATGGAGGGAGCTCCGTCGCAGCATGAAATATATAGGCCAGGACAAGGCAAGAGGAAGAATTGCCCAGTGAATCACTCAGGCCTGCCTGGAACGTGACTGGCGGCCGCTGAAAGGATGGGCGGAGCGGGGAGGCTGACAGCTTTGTACAGCAGGCTGTTGCTCAGCTGTAGAGTGGGAATGCTCGTAGGTGGGGGAGGTACGAGTGTGGAGGGGAGGGGAAGAGGAGGTGGGGGAGATTATGTAACAGTGTTACAAACATATGCCTGGTGATGCGAGGAAACCCCAGATGAATTAGAAAAGGTGAAAGGGGCAGAGAGCGGTCCAAGGGCTGCTGGGAAAACGAACAAAAATGGAGGAAAATGTAATTCACAGATTCACAAATCCTCCCTCTTCTATTCTGTGAACACCCTGTAGGCATGCATGACGCCAGGCTGCATGTGTGTATTTGAGCATGACTGAGTTAATTGAACCATGTCACCTCATCAAGCTGCCCCTCTGCCTCCATATTCAGGCCCATCACAGACTTAATGTGTTCATCTCATCCCAGTGGTTCCTACCCCCTCTTTGCTCTCAGCGCACACACAAACACACACTCACAAGCGTGCAAAAGTGGTAATGCTAACCAGATGTTTTCCCTCCCTTTTCACTCTCTCTCTCTGTACAGTTTAGCTCTGCATCCCGAGCGTGTGTTGGTGGCCACAGGGCAGGTGGGCAAGGAGCCTTACATCTGTGTATGGGACTCCTACACTGTGCAGACTGTGTCCATTCTCAAGGATGTGCACACACACGGCATCGCGTGCCTGGCCTTTGACCTCGAGGGACAGGTACTCTTGAGACCCAATGATACTCATCTTTAAAAAGAAAGAATATGTCACAGAGTAAAACAAGCAGTACTGTCTTTGTTTAAATCAAGTTTGGAGTCAGAGAATATAGACAGAGATGAAAGTGTCACTGGGAAAAAAAAAAGTTCAGTTTGAGTAGCACAGCAGCAGCGGCAGCAATCAAAACTCCTCTCAAAAGCTGTGGGCTTTTTGCAGCTCGCCTGCTGGGCTGAGTTTCTGAATGACACATCTGTGATTACTCCAGCAGTATTAGCTGGACAGCTGCACTCAGACATGCTCTGCTTTGGAGATTTTAAAGGAAAACAGTCATATCAAGTGTTTGTACTAGTGCATGACAGAGGTTGGCAGCACCTGTGCAGTGTTAAGGTGAGAGAAGCTTTAGCGCATGGGAATCCTTAAAATACCCAGTGGGACATGCAAGCATACACACATTATTTGTTAATCACCGGAACATTCAAGAAAAGCTCATTTTCAGCCTTTTCATGTCATCTTTTTAGCCAGCTCTCTGCAGACCTGCCACCAGTTAGTGTTTACACATTGCAGCCTTCACCTAATAAAAATCGATACTGTGCGGAACCAGCTCTGGGTTTTTATCTTTGCATGTCTTTCTCTTCCTCACGCAGGAGCTCCCAGAGCGGAGTTATACCTCCTGTATTTTGCAGTAAAAGACAGGGAGATGACCCTGTGCTATTTTCCTGCTCGGGTAGAGAGCTGGGGATTTAGATGGAATGTGACAGTGTTTAAAGCCAGAGGAGGCTCCATCGCTTTCTCAGTTTAGCAGCTCTGTTTACTCTCTGTCTCTTCCCTTCCTTGATCAGAGGAAGTCAGAACTGAACTAAGGATGATCCAGAGGAATCCCTGTTGCCATTACCCCATCCATCTATTAAAGCAATATCAAAAAACACACTGATGTTTGAGACATCTCTTCTAGATATTTCAGCAGGAGATGCAGTTGTGCTGTCTGGTACAGAGAGTAAAACTCATGACCTCTCTTTTCACTTTATACTAGTTGTTCTGACTATTCTAACCAGTTCTCTACATACCACATCATACCACATCATATTTAAGATAAAAAAACATTTTCAGAATATTTCCACATGAAACTCTCATTAACCCTCGACAGGACTGATGCTGGTGGCTCTGTGAGGCTGTGCTTTGGCATTGTGTTAACATCCACATGTCAATATGCTCACAGAGACAATTGTCACACACTGATGTTTAGCCGGTATAATGTAATCTTTACCCTGTGACCCATTTTAGTTTACCATGTTAGCATGCTAACATACGATCATTACTGTAGCACTAAACACAAAGTCTAGCCTGGGGTGATGGGAATGTCACTAGTTTTGCAGGTATTAAGCATGGATGCATCATGGGAACTCTTAATATCTCTCTTATTTGGTCATAAACCAAAGTATTGGGCAAAGTTTTAACCTGAGGATGATGGGAAAATATGTTTTATAGGAATTTAATTTGACTGGATTATGTTTTCTATTAACGTAATGAGGACGTGTTGTTACTTTATGAATGTGGCTAAATGCAAATTTGTAATACTGACTACTCTGCTACTCTATAGTTGTTTTAGGCAACAAAGCACTTGGTTCATGTTAGGGAGCTCTGGGCTCTAGTGTGAAAGTTGTGCACTTTGTATGGCCCCTATCCACCCCAACCACCTCCTAGCAACTCTGCTGTGTAGTGCCTCAGTCACTAAAAGCCACAAAGTAATCAGGAAAACAGTTGTTATATATAACAGTAGTATATGAACTTCATTTCTAAGAGACAGTTTTGTTCATCCTGAGGGATGAATGTCTGCACAAAATTTCCCGGCGTGGTGGATCAGCTGACACGCTGACATCCCTAGAGCCACACCACAAGCAGCGTTTAAAAAAAATGACTTGAGTTTTCAAAATACAGATGCACTTTTCAACCCTGTGACCCATATAGTTTCACTGGATTTCATCACACAGGAGCTTTGTTTTTTTTTTGTTTTTTTACTTATTATTAAAACGCAGATTTCTCAAATCCGGTTAAAACTGGTGCCTCACCAGAGACTTCTATCCATAGCCAAACATTGATCCAGCAGTAGATCAAAGAGGACATCCTCTAACATGTAAAGCAAGCTGCGGAGTGGAGACGGGTTTCCATAAGAGCTGTTCTCTTCTTATCTGCTCCACTGCTGCTGCTGCTGCTGCTGCTGCCTACTCACTCAGTCAGCTATAGGAGGCTCCTCCAGCAAAAGCACTCAAATGTGCTCACTGGAAGTGCCAGGGGCCGGACAACTGTTCTGTTCTGCTCTGCAGCCGTTATTAGCCCTTTCATCGTGGCCTGCCATGCTACAGTGGAGGTAGCTAAGTTTGTTTTGCAGTGATTAGTGCAACAGAGCAGAGTCTGTTCAATCTGTGATGCAAGGCTTTTTTTTCTCTTTGCTCTCTTTGCAGTGTTTGGTGTCCGTGGGCTTGGACTCTAAAAACACAATCTGTGTGTGGGACTGGAGGAGAGGGAAGGTTCTGGCAGCCGCTCCCGGTCATACAGACAGAGTAAACACTTTCTTCCTCCCCTGTCTCCATCACAAGCTCTGTATCGACTGCCTCAATTAGCTATAAACGTAGGATGGACCGTCCGCCCAAAGGGGACATAAATAAGTTAGGCCTGATTGATTGTGAGCTTTTCAGAGCCCGTCTGAGAGGGAGCACAGCTAATGAAAAGGAATTTTAAAAAGATGAAATACAAGCAGCTGTTGCCCACACACATTATAACACAACTGGCCCAAACACACACACACGCACGCACGCACACACACACACACACACACACACACACACACACACAAACACACACACACACTTTTCTTTTTAATGACCTCCTTTTGCAACCAGTTTGATCATTACATATCTAGACTACACATGTGATGTCGTCGTGTTTGTGTAACAATAAGCCGATATCTGTCTGTTTTCTTCCCACAGATATTTGACATATCATGGGATTTGTACCAGCCGAGCAAGCTTGTAAGCTGTGGCGTCAAACATATCAAGGTACAGCCACTTCCTGGTCATTTCACAGCCTGTAGATTTCAGGTGGCTGAAGTTCTTGTGCCTCATTAGCATAAAATATCTGAAAACAGATTATCAGTTTTCAGAAAGTTTGAAGAATCTGTTGGCTCCATGACCCTTTCTTCTTTCCCTGCCTTCTCTGCTTTGTCACCATGACCATATCAAAGCCTTAAAATAGATGTATGCAAATTCACTTTATTCCACAGTCCATGCTTATTAGGCACTTAACATAAGTAGGAGAGGCAATGACTCACAGTCTCTTCTCTCAAATTTGGAGTAATCTGCACTGCAGAGAGGGAAAATGTTCTCTTTTTATGGGGGACCATGACTCTGCTGCTCAGTTCCCATTTCAGCTCTCCTCATTCAGCTTGGAAAACAGCCTCCGCTGTACAAACTGCAGCTGTGCTCGCTTCCCTTCACGGGCCTATCTCTATCACTGCTTTTTCACAGAAGAGTGGTGTTCATAAATCTTCAATGAGTTCATGCAGGGTGTGTTGACCAAGCCTTCCCTTGGGATATGTAGTAGTGTTCCTTGAGTGGCATGGCCATTAGGAAATAACAAGGAGTTCGGGAAGCTTATTTCCCAAATACTGGGAAAAGAATGAATCACGCTCAGATAGGAAACGTGCCCACTGGTCCTGCGAGGCTCAACATTGCGGCACGCTCAAATGGGTTTGATGCAGTCGGGAGGCTTAGCCTACTGTACGTATTCCCCAGTGGAGTAACATCTCACTGATGACTCCCTCCTCTCAATCCAGCTTGACCTGCCTCCTCTTGTAGTAATTCCCCCCTGAACTCTTCCCCCACCGCAGTGGCACAGATACCCCCTCTGGCCGCCGCACCCAACCCCCCAGTCCCTGCAGAATCCTCTTTCTCCTTCTCCTCCTCCTCCTCCTCCTCCTCCTCCTCCGCTCTTTCCCTCCCTTCTGGTTTTCTGATGCCAAGGCAATCCAGCAATTGTCCCACATAATTCCTCAGCCTTCACCCTGCAGACCATGTGACATCTGCTCCCCGGCCCTGTGCTCGCTCAGCGATTATAGCACTCAGAGCATCCAGGAGATTTAGCCCCAGTAATCCACTCACTAGCAGGCTGAGGAAAACACAGCCTCTATGATGAGGACTGGGGTCGCTGGCAACGTTTTACTCCTCACAGGCCGCCTCCAAGCTAATCATAAAGACATTTGTGTTTTGATTCATTTCAGACCACTTAGACCTTGGTGTGCCCTTCTTTAGCCCCCGCCCTCACACACACACACACACACACACACACACACACACATACATACAACTCACCTACCATACCAGTCATTCACCCGCTGTCTGACTGGTTGCTGATTAGAAGCTGTTTAAAGGACTGGTACCGCCTGGTTCTCAGCATTTGTGTCTTGTGAACCCTTAAAACAAAGTGGTATCTATTAGTTTCAGTCTTTATTTTTGAGGTCTGAATAGGAAAGATCATTCAGTAATTTACCAAAAAAAAAAAAAAAAGCCACCAATTTAAAAAATAAACATAATTTTATTTGGCAGTTTTTTTCAGATTCATATCCTGTTAATATTTGTCTTGTGACCCCTTGTGAGGGTCCCGAACCACAGGTTGTGAACCACATGCTCTAGCCCATTTACTATAAATCCTGTGTACTCAACTTCACAGTTAACCATTTTGCAGACCATGCTGGTGTGTTTCAAAGGTTTGAAGATTTTTTCTCTAGGGTTGTTATGGAGCTAACACCTGAAAACACACTAGCATGGTCCACTAAGGAAGCTATGAGTGCGAGTGTTCTGCCTCGTATGTTTTGTGTGTACTCGTGGATCTTGAGGCCACAAAGTGTCACCGAGGTGAGCTCGAGTTTGACACCATGTGGATGGGATGACCTCAGCTTTGAGGCCATGAGCTTCCAGCCATTTAGTGTTCCCTACAGCGAGCTGCTACAGAATTGACCTCAGTTAGCAAAGCATTTAAGGCTCTGACACCATTCAGGGTCATCGTAGTCTGACAGGAAGGATATTATGAGCGAGATAAAAGGGGCGAGGGGCGGTTCAGTGCAGTAGGTCACGAGTTACAACCTTTTCTGCTTCAATTACATTTAAACAGTTCTTCTTGGAGTGATGGTTAAGGTAACTGAGCTAATGACATACCACTAATCCTGGGTTAAGAGAAGCAGCTCCCACCATGCCAGGGGGGGGTTATGGGTAACGCGTAAGAAATTATATTTAGAGGAAGCCAAAATGTTTACCAGGTCTGGATTTCAACTCAAAGCAGTCTCATTTTCCAGCACATTTCCACCTTTCCACTGTGCCATGACTCTCCCTCTGTGCCTTTCTCCCCTGTGCCTGGCCTCATTATAAACCCTTCCAGCATCCCGTCTCCTCTCAGTAATTCAGCAGCGAAGGGATTAGCCTGCGCCCGCGTCTCACTGCCTTATCAGTTGCGGGCAGGGAGGGCTGTGCAGTCACGCCGCATCCATCCCTGCTGCCTCTGCAACAGGCTGGGCCACGAAACCTCCTCCCGCCCCTCTCCCTAACCAACCCGTGCACATACCCAGCACTTGACACACTTCAACCAGCACATACAGCACACCTTCCCAGATTACTCGCTCACCTATGATCTTCACAGCTTAACCTTCACCCTCGACCCCAGTCCACAAGGAAGCTCGGGGGCACCTGCTCAAATGCTCGCTCGAGAGATCATTCAGGAGCTCAGGATCAGGAAAGCCCTGTTCTGTTGAGGGTGCGTACAAGCCTCAGATGTTTGATGGCAGGGCTGTATCTGAGGCTGTGATATCTGAGGCTGTGATGTCTGTCTCTGATAATCGATCCCTCCCGCCAGCACACAGCAGCCCTATCAGTCAGGAGGATAGGTGTTAGTGAGGGTGTGACAGGCTGTCGCTGTCGAGGAGCTCATTTCTTCTGTCTGCCAGTGGTCTATCAAGCCTGTGCAGATCGGTTTTTCTGAGTTCACAAACAGCACACTACCGCCTACATTTTCAGCCTTTTTCAGCAGAATCAACACAGTTTAAGGAATCGCTTTTAATATATTTTTGCACTCAACTAAAGTCAGCTAATGTGGAGGTAAATCCTCCTTTAGGGAGAGAGCAGAAAAAAAAAAAGGGACCACCCTTCTGTCATTTTCCTGCTGCTTGCCAGTGATGAGCGTGTCTCAGTTTCACGTGCAACGGCCTCAGCAGTCGAGACGCCCTCCGTGAGCTTTTTTCCCTGTGATCTCATCTCCATGCAGACGGAGCCTCGTCTCTCTTTTCGCTCTCTCCTCCTCCGTTTGATGCGTTTGGCCCTCAGACGAGGCCGTGGCCGTGCATCCCAACGACCTTGTTCATAAATAATGAGCCTGCGTGTATGCATGCGTGTGTGTTTGTGTCTGTGCATGTTGATCAGGTGGTTACAGCACTGACCCCCCAGCAAGAGTTCCCGGTATCACATGCAGAGGAAGTGGGGTGGGGGAATTTGAATTTGACTTTGCTTTTTTCAAGGTCTCTCTCTCTCTCTCTCTCTCTCTGTGTGTGTGTGTGTGTGTGTGTGTGTGTGTGTTTAATGGACCATAAATGACTTGATGATTTTCAGCCTGTTGTATACAAATACTACATAATTGTCCATTTACTCTTTCAGGGCAGGATTACGCGGGGGATTATTAGCCACCATACTCTTTCACTCTTCCTGTTTGTATTTGCAGTTTTGGAGCTTATGTGGTAATGCTCTCACACCCAAACGTGGTGTTTTTGGCAAAACGGGGGATCTCCAAACCATCCTCTGCCTTGCATGCGCCAAGGATGAGGTCACGTATTCAGGTGCCTTGAATGGTGACATCTACGTGTGGAAAGGGATCAACCTGATGAGGACAGTGCAAGGAGCTCATGGGGTGAGTTTACAAAACCGGGGATGTGTTGTGCTTTGTGTCCTGGGCTTCTGCACCGTTTATAGGAGAGACACAGCAAAAGCGTCTAGTAAAACTTAACCAGGGTCGAAGCCATGCATGTTGGCTTCATTTGATTCTGCTCAGTAGAACAGGATCAGCCTTTTGCTCAACAGGATTAAATGATATCTATGGGATCAACAGCTGGGTGAGGGGATGGGCAGATGGGGGAGGGGATAATAACTACAGTACACGTTTATTCCTGCTTTTTGTACCACCAAATGCCTCAGTGGGGCTTCAACAAGGTGCCTCCCGGTGCATACAGCAAACGCTAAGACAAATGAGGCCATCGGTAAAGCTTTCCAATAGTAACAAAAAAATATGACACATCCCGTTACCTAGTTCTGCGTTATCTTGAGGCCACAGTAGCAGGTTTGTAATGGTGAAAGCCTTGTTAAACAAATGCCCGGCTGAGCAGCAGCGGCGCAGCGCGGTCTGTAGCTGGGGCTGGTTCTGTCGTTGCTCATTTATTGTGCAGATCCTCACTGACAGCCTGTCATTTCCTCCAGTCAGGGATTTTCAGCATGAATGCCTGCGAAGAGGGCTTCGCCACCGGGGGCCGAGACGGCTGCGTCCGGCTGTGGGATCTCAACTTCAAACCAATTACTGTCATTGATCTCAGGGAAACAGATCAAGGATATAAAGGTGATGTCAGATTGCCTCCCTTTTTTTTTTTTTTCTTGCCATTACTCTACGCACAGAAAGGTTGCAGGCAAAATTGTGGTCTCCTGAGGCACTTGGAAGAGTTAACACCCTGTTAGATGAAAAAGCCATTCTTTTTGCCATTTCTGTTCTCCTTACTAACATTTTCTTTCTTGTTCTCTATTTTCTCCATCTCCTTTATTTGTAATCTTGGACCTAACAGTAGCTAGAGGTGAAAATAGCAGAGGTGGGTAAAGTCATTGAGGGCGGAGTAAACAACCGTGTCAGTCTGTTCGTAACAGTCCCCACATTGTTCTGCTGTTCCTCTTGTTGTTAGTCAGTCCAAGCTCTGTTGCAGATGTCCTGTTCACATATGTAAGCAGCACATGCTTCCTCCATCTTATTCTTGCTGTATTACCCAGAGTCAGTTGCAGATCGGCTGTCATTGTATTTCCTGTTAAAATCTCCTAGGTAGCTTGCAGATGGTTATTACCAGCTCCTGTCGTTATTATCCCTGTCGTGTCTCTTATAATGACTGTACAAGCATTAGCAAAATGTCTGTCTGCTCATGTTTGCGTGTGTTTTTTGTTTGTTTGTTTGTTTGTTTGTTTGTTTTTTAAAAAAAAAGTTTTGCCTGATTTCTATGTGTGTGTTTTTGATAGGGCTGTCTGTGCGGAGCGTGTGCTGGCGGGGAGATCACATCCTGGTGGGCACGCAGGACAGCGAGATCTTCGAGGTGGTGGTCCACGACCGCAACAAGCCCTTCCTCATCATGCAGGGTCACTGCGAGGGCGAGCTGTGGGCGTTGGCCGTGCACCCCACCAAGCCTCTGGCCATGACAGGAAGTGACGACCGCTCAGTCAGGTGAAGCCTCAGTGTCAGCCTGAGAGTAGAGCTGACAGTGGGATACAGTTTTGGAGGAAAAGATTCTGTCACGTTACATTTATTTTGTTAAATTCCAGGCATTTGTACTCACTGAGTATCTGGGACAGTTATTGACATCTGTGTTTGGACAATTATCTTTGTTACTTGTAAAAAATAAATAAATAAAAAAAAAGATGTCGTGTACAGTAGGGCTGAACAGTTAATTGAAATATTATCAAAATCACAGCATGGCCAACTGCAATATCTAAATCGAAGGAGCTGCAATTTTTTGATAAAGGTAAAATGTGTCACAACATACCATTATAAATGAAGCGTTGCTACAGAGATGAGATTTTTTTATTGTTATGGTTTGGGTTTTTTTCTAAAATCAACAATAATAAAGCACTTCTGTCATTTTGCAGTCACAAAACAAATACACAACAGGACAGACACCACAAACATCGATGCCCATTTAATTTGTACTTGCAGACTTTTTCTCTTATTGCATCTCTGCCCTGGTTGTTTGAGCCTTTGTAATCTCATCACTGCTTCTCATCTTCATTTGTCCTACTCCTCTGTGTCTAAAGGATATGGAGCCTTATAGATCACGCACTGATAGCCCGCTGTAATATGGAGGAGCCTATCCGCTGTGCCGCTGTGAGCACCGATGGCATTCACCTGGCGTTGGGAATGAAGGATGGCTCGTTCACTGTTCTGAGAGTCAGGTGCGTCCACAACTCAAAGGGCAAATGGGAAAATTTTGATTCCCAGTCAACGCCCCATAAAATGAAAGGCTCTGTTGTATTGTGTTCATTTTAGCTCTTCATTCTAGCTACGTTTGTCTGCTTCCCTTCAGGGATATGACAGAGGTGGTCCACATCAAGGACAGGAAGGAGGCCATTCATGAGCTGAAGTATTCTCCTGACGGGGCCCATTTGGCCGTCGGCTCCAACGATAACTCAGTGGACATCTATGGTGTGGTGCAGAGGTACAAGAAAGTGGGCGAGTGCATCGGCTCCAACAGCTTCATTACACACATGGACTGGTCCACGGACAGCAAGTACCTGCAGACCAACAATGGCAGCGGCAGGAGGCTTTTCTATAGGATGCCAAGTAAGTACAAGTGTGTTGATTCCGCTGTGTTCCCAGATGAATTCGTTTTATCTTACAATTAATATTAAAGAAATATTAAGTCAGAAAGAGGAGTGTTTCTTGGATGTAATGTTGTTACGGAGCTGCATTTTGAGATAAAATATGTCTATCCTCTGTTGAGGTGGGAAGGAGGTGACCAACAGGGAAGAGCTGAAGCTGGTACAGTGGGCTTCATGGACGTGTGTGTTGGGCCCTGAGGTTAATGGAATATGGCCCAAGTACTCAGACATCAATGACATCAACTCGGTGGATGCCAACTTCAACAATCAAGTCTTAGTAACAGCTGACGACTATGGATTGGTCAAACTTTTACGGTATCCATGTGTAAAAAAAGGTAAAGAGGATCTCAGCATTTAATATTATACTTACTCATATATTATCATCTGCTGTGTCACTGACATGTTTCCTCTTGATTTTAGGTGCAAAATTTAAAAAGTATTTAGGTCATTCAGCCCACATAACCAACGCTAGATGGTCACATGACTACCAGTGGGTGATAACTATTGGTGGTGCTGATCACTCCGTGTTCCAGTGGAAGTTTGTCCCTGAAAGAAAGTCTAAAGAAGCTCTGCATATAGCGCCGCAAGGTGAGATGATACCACTATTTATATAATTATTTACTGTGATGTGGGGATTTTACCCTCTAATCAGTCCATTTAGGGATATTGCACTGATGCATTTTGATGTAGCTTTCTCTCTGAGGCCGATGACTTGCATCACTGATATTGCTTTACAAAAACTGTGGCTCTTGCCAGCAAGACATTATCAAATTAGGCTAAGTGGTGCACCTTAATGGAAATTTTGATGTCTACTCAATCTCCCACTCAAAGAACACAGAACAGAGTGTGCAGGAAAAATCCCTAAAAGAGTTAGCAGTTTTTTCTCCCTGAGAGTAAGATGATGATGATACCACTTTCCTGTGTGCGCGCTACATATGGAGCTGGAGCCAGGAGGTGATCAGCTTAGCTTAGCATAAACACCGGAAAAAGAAGGAAGCAGCCGGCCAGGCTCTTTCCAAAGTTAAATTATTATGCCTCCCAACGCTGCTAACACAAACAGACTAGTATCATTAGTATCTGTCTGTTACTTCAGCTGTAATTGTTGTAGAGTCACCGCAGTAAGAGAAATAATGTGTCACAGTACATTTCTTAGTGACCTATAACTGTAATTGTTGAATTGTTGAGCTGTATTGTTGAACTGTAACTGTAATTGTATGAATGTAGTTCACATAATGTGTGCGCCCGTACCGCTCCCACCAGCCTCATGACTCTAAACCACCAGAGAGAAATATACAAGATTGTTCCCTTCCCGTCACTTTTTTTTTTTTTTTTTTATGAACTATCATTTCTATAAAGCTCTACAAAGGAGTGGCCATCGCATTAATTAAGACAAATCCAATAAAAGTCAATGAAGCTTGGAAAGTATAATTGCATTGTCATTCCCAAGTCATATTTCTTCCAGTGGCAGAGCGCAGCTGTGCTTTCTGAAATTAAAGCACATCCTAACTGCCTTTCCTTTTAATTTTCCTAATGGGTCTTGTGAGTAGCCGCCCTTAGCTGCCAGTTCTGCTTATTGCCTTGTCTTGGCACAGCTGCACTGTGCTGCATCAGCATTTTTATACATTTGTCTTCAGCGATGTCACTGTGTAGCACGACCGCCTGATAAATAGGAGATGTCACAGTATTATTACATGATCGACCCTCACTTCTACTGAAACAGGATGTGGTGTATTTTTTAGTGTGAGCGTGGTGGGATATTTGTGTGATTTAGAGGCAGGGGAGGATTTTACGCTGAGCTGTGACGCAACCTTGTTTCCACTCGCAGAGACCTTGGCAGACTCTAACAGTGAAGAGTCAGACTCTGATCAGTCAGACGTACCTGAGATGGATTCAGAAATCGAGCAGGAGACGCAGCTCACATATCGACGACAGGTTTGTAACAAAATCAAACAGGCTCCCCTCTGTCAAACATGTCTCAGTTGAAAACTGTTTATTAAAAACAGTGAAAGCACACACTTTCCTACGTGCATCCAGGTGTATAAGGAAGATCTACCTCAGCTCAAAGAGCAGTGCAAAGAGAAGCATCGAGCGACGGCCATGAAGAAGAGAGAGCGAGCACCAGGGAGCGGGGTGAAGCTGCACTTCATCCATGGGTAGGCAGAGTCTTTAACATCACAAGGCCGATACTAAAAGATGAATTTGAATTAGCCAAGCGTTTCCAAAATGGAGACCTTCTTATTGTCTTCTTCCCCTTAATCATTCTACAATGTGTTTTTTTTTTTTTTTTTTTTTTGTTTTCAGCTACAGAGGCTACGATTGCAGGAGCAACCTGTTCTACACTCAGACCGGGGAGATAGTCTACCATGTAGCTGCCGTTGGGGTTGTGTACAACAGACAACAGAATACGCAGCGTTTCTACATGGGTCATGATGATGACATCCTCTCTCTGGCTATCCACCCCCTCAAAGACTTTGTAGCAACGGGCCAGGTAGCTGCCAGCACATCTAACTTACAATATTCAAGGTTTTTTTTGTTGTTGTTGTTGTGATTTATAGCTTATCGGTTAATGGTTTATCAACATCATAAATTCCAGTGTAAAGTAAAGACTTTAAATGTTTTTGTCTGTGCAGGTTGGCAGAGATTCCTCCATCCACATATGGGACACAGAAACGTTGAAACCCATGTCCGTGTTGAAGGGTTTCCACCAGCTCGGAGTGTGCGCTCTGGACTTTTCTGGTAACAGACTGCTTTTAGTTCGCCTATCAAGACAGATTGAATATAACATACGTTTTCTATTCACAAATGCCTCCAGACATCCTGCTTTCATAGGGGAACAAAAAACTTCTTTCACACATAAAAAGAAATGGGCAAATTCACAAGACACCCAATTTACAAGCAACACTGCTGTCTTTTTGTCGCGGCAGTCTGACAGCATCAAGGTAGAGCTGTTCATCTCGCTTCCCTTAATTGGCCCTAGACCAGACACAGCACGGTGATCTGTATGTCAGTGTCAGTGAATCACCTGCCGTAGATCAAACCCACCAGGGTGCTTTCATGTTGATAACAAGGGCCAAACTTCACTGAACCAAAGCAGGAGCTGGCTCCCTCTGTGCTGCACTGAATGGTTTTGGTTTTTTCCCTCCACAGCGGATGGCAAACGGCTGGCCTCCGTGGGCCTGGACGACAATCACACCATTGTGCTGTGGGACTGGAGGAAGGGGGAGAAGCTCTCTGCCATGCGGTTAGTACAGTCAGCAGTTAGCACAGTGTTTACATGGCTGCAGGTCGGCCTTTCAGCACGCAGCAGCTGCTGTCCCCACATCCGGAGAAGCTTTGACAAACCCCCTTGTTAATGCTAAAGATTGTTTGAACACTCTTAGTTTAAATATGGACATTTATAGATGAGGGTTAAATTGAAGCCACTTTGCGGTGCAGGGCCGACAGCATGACTGATGGAGGAGAGGGAAGAGGGGGAATTATCTTTTAGATTAGAAGGCTGCACCACTGCAGCACTTAACCCTGACGGAGCCTGAGCGGTTGCAGTGGGACTTTACCCCATGGCCTCAGCTGTAGATCCATGATTAAAGAGAATTACTTTAAATTTACATCTTCAATGGGAATATCCTGGTGAGTTTTAAATGTGTCAGATTTTATTTTCAGAGGGAAACATATTAAGACAAATGTGTTTTTAAGAGCTGTACAAACAATATATAAAAGCAAATGAGTTAAAAAAAAGAGTGGTTAGACGATGATAGGAAGTAACAGGAAGTAGCGAAAGCAATCGCACACAGTTTGTCGTGATGGCTGAAACAAATTGGACCATAAAGGCCGAGTATAAGTCTGAAGTCTTATCGCTTGCAGTTCATTAAAGATAAAGGAAGACAAACTCTAGTTGCATTTGTTCAGAGCCATCCTGAGCACAAGTGTAACAGACTGACTTCCTATACCGCCTAATGAGACAGTGATGCAACTGATGAAATGATTGCTGCTCCCTCAGGATGTATGGACACACGTGACCAGATATGGGGCGCACACACCAGGCATGTGCATCTGATGCAAGTGGATTACTCTAGCAGACCTGAATTATGAATTGCTGCAAAGCATGAGAGGTGTTAATTTGTTCAGAACATAATATAATGTTCAATTTGCATAATGAATTTCAATTTCATGGCAGATGAAGTTATATAACCTGGAATCCAGAAGGACCCAAAAGTATCTAACTGGAAAACATCTGCATCCCAAAATAGCTTTGCTTTTGCTTTGTTGCTTGATGTTCATATTCAGTATCTACTCCATTGAAACACCCTGTGGCTATCGTGGAGCAGTGCATTGCGGGTTGCTCTCCTGCGCGTTGTGTGCCAGGCTCTCACTGTAGCTCAGGGACAGAGTGGATCAGAGCTGCACTGATCCCCTTTGCGGACCCTGGTGGGCAGTGCAGTGAGGCGGGCAGAGGGAAATGGGGCCTGACAGAGCCTAGCTTGTACACTGCCACTGTCTCACTTCAGCTGGATGTGAGAGGGAGAGGCAGAAAGAAAGTGCAGGGTAGGAAAATGGAGAAGTGGGAGATTTTAATAAGGAAGGGCAAAACAAAGCAAACAGATAAACAAAGAGGGAGGAGAGGGGCGTAACGTTTCTCTAGCTTCACTGAGAGTGAGACTAATGCGGCAGCACAAAGGGCAACAATTAGAGAATTTTAAGTGTCAGGCACGGTCCATTGCATCAGACATGACCAGCCACTGGTCCTTAATGTTCATATTGTGTGAAACAGCAGAAACAAGGAGACAGTCACAGTATGCTGGATTCTTCTGGTTTGTTTGAAATAATAGGGAGCTAACAACAGAGGGTGGTCATTACTATCGTAGGTTCAGTTTCCTGCAAAGTATTTAGATGCAAGCTCACAGAACTGATCGTTTTGAATGAAAAATCAATAGGATTTAGTCCATCAGATTATTTAGCATCAGTACTACACTCCCTCGAGTGCCGCATTTAGTTCAAATTTTAATTCATTTCTCTTTGCTCTTGAACATTTTTTACAAAATCAACACCTGATTCCTTTGAGTTCAGTTGTGTCTTAAGGGTTTACAGATGAGTCAGATGGAGCTAGTTCATTGGGCTACCTATCAAAATAACACGCAGTGTCTATCTGCTGGATTTATTATGTAAACCATGCAACTCAATGGTTCTTATCACACTGAAACAGAACCAGAGCCGTATTTCTGCAGGTTTTTGCCATGATCAACAGTCCTCAGTGTAGCTTTGTGTACTTGGCCTTTGAATTGTTGCTTACTGCCACAATATGTTCATCCTCTCAGGCATGAGAATGGTTGAAACATAAAAACATCCTAGCATCAAAAAAATGGACAAATTGTTTTTCTATATATATTTTTTTTGTGATGTGCAACTTGTTTTTCCAGGGGAAGCAAGGACAAGATTTTCGTTGTCAAAATAAACCCGTACCTGCCGGATAAGCTCATCACAGCTGGTGTGAAACATATGAAGTTTTGGCATAAAGCTGGTAAGACCCCTGTTTTTTTTTTTTTGTTTTGTTTTCGTTTTTTTTTTTATTGGCGAGGAGTGACTCTAACAAGCAGAGCTCTGGCTTAGCTGTGACACGTCTTACTGTGAGCTGACTGTCTGTTTCTCTTTCAGGTGGTGGACTAATTGGGCGCAAGGGGAACATGGGGAAGACGGAGACTATGATGTGCGCCGTGTACGGCTGGTCGGAGGAGATGGTGTTTTCGGGCACATGCACCGGGGACATTTGCATCTGGAGGGACATGTTCCTGATGAAGACCGTCAAAGCTCACGACGGCCCTGTTTTCAGTATGCACGCTCTAGAAAAGGTATGTCACAAACCCGGAGGGGGAGTGGTCTTTCACTGACCGGTGAGAACTTTTGTAATATTTAAAAGAAAAGAAAAAATCTGAATCCATGTCTCAATCACTTTTTAGCTGTAAACATGTCATGACCATCTAGCCCTCTGTTTTAAGTTAACGGTTTAATTTAAACTTAAATGTAAAGGCCTAGTTTTTTGAGCAATTTTTTTATCAGTGGGATAGACATTTCTATTCTATCTATTCTCTCTATTCTACTATGATCCATTGTATCCACTGTATGTACCTTTTTGTGTAGTTTCTTCCTCTCATAGCTGATTATATGTAAAACAAGCTTTACTCTGTTAGTGACATGTTCAGTCTGCAGAGATCATTGCAGCTGTAAACGTGCCAATGTGATGTCCCCGTAGGGATTTGTGACTGGAGGAAAGGACGGTATAGTGGCTCTGTGGGATGACACTTTCGAGAGATGCCTCAAGACCTACGCCATCAAGAGAGCAGTCCTGGCCCCAGGCTCTAAAGGTAAAAAGGTCATCCTGTTGCCAGTGGCGCTCCTTAGTCCTTGAATCGTTCTTAAGCCTCCGTGGTTCCATAGACATAATACAACCGTCCGATGCAAATCCATTTAAAACGTTCAATGCTTTTAGCTGAAATGAAGATTGCTTCCTGTGTGCTGGTTCAAGTTGAGGTCTCTGACTTCATGCTATAAATTCATCGGCTCTGCAGGGTTGCTGTTGGAAGACAACCCCTCCATACGTGCCATATCTCTGGGCCACGGCCACATCCTGGTGGGGACCAAGAACGGTGAGATCTTGGAGGTTGACAAGAGTGGTCCCATCACTCTGCTGGTCCAGGTAAGATAAAGATAAAAAATAACCCCAGCTCCTGTCGCACATCTACTGTAATATTATACAGTACATCAGATTCGACTTGTGCTTAGACAGGGTATTCATGAGGAAGTTCGTTTTCTGCAGTATGAGTTGGGAGTCTGTAAGGTGACAGCCGTAGTTGGGGCAAACTTTTCTCAAGTTAGTAAAGGTTTGAAAGGCTGTAAATGCACTGAATGTTGTTGGACATCACAGCCAACAACTTCTTCTCTCTGTTTTTCTTCAAGTAAAACTATGTTATGAAAGTGTTATGAAACTTTTGCTTTGGCGGTGTGTTCAAGGGCACTTACACTTTAAATTTCTCTCGTCGTACAATCCTTTAATGCACCACCAACAGGGTGACAAAATGTGGAGGTGATGGATTACTAAAGCAGCTTCCAAGGCTGTGTTGATTGGAGTTGATTTTCAGTGTTGTGCTTGGAATGCAGTGGCTGTCTGGGAGGTAGAAAACGAAAAGGTGGGAAGTTAAATGTCAAAGATTTCTGAAGTGAAGATTGATGTCATGTTTCTCTCTGTGTATTTCAGAGATGTGCCTTAACGTTTGTGTGAAATTGCTATGTGCATCCTGAAAATCTTTATGGATATAGAGAAATAAGAAATAGAAGTTGTGCTCTGGAAAATGTCAGCAGTAAAACATGCATTTCTATACTGTAATTAATATGTTATAATATACAAACCTGCAGCACCAGCGTAGCCCTGCAGTGTGATTATGTCTATTTTGCACAGCTCCACAGAATCACCAAGGAGGTGGTTATAAACTGTGATGAATTACTGCTGCTGAATTAAGTAGAGTGGTCCCGCAGTGACTCCCAGCCTCCCCTGATTGTAGGCAGACAGATCAAATACTATTGATTGCCCTTTTCAAATGCCTTTAATGTACAAGCGCATTGTGATGGACGGGATCCATTGATGAGAGACGAGAACCAAAGGTCGTACAGGTAACAGGCTAACCATGTTTGTCATGCAAGAATACTGTTGCCTGTGAAGAAGAGACTGGAGAATTATGATATATATACACAGAATGGGGCACATTTCTTTAACCTGTTTGATCAGGCACAGCTGCTGCTGCTGCTGCTATCAGAAAGGAGGAAAATATAAAAAGATTATGCAGATGTTACTGCGAATCAACAAAGCAGTTAATAGGAAATTATATAGTTAATATATTGTTTTACACTTTAGATTTTTGTTTGTTGTTGTTGTTGTTTTTTAAATAAACAAACAAATATACAAATGAGCAAACCAGCACATTCTGCTGAATATTCAGTAATCTTAAAATCCGCCATCGTTACTTTAACAAACTCAGCAAGATTTCTTATAATATGATTTGTCTTAGTTCAGACTAATCCTACAGTATGGTTTAACTTATTAGTCACATAATTTTACCCACACCTAAATTTAGAGGAATTTTCCGAAATAAAATCCATGTTAAGTATACTCTGTTTTTTTCATTCTTTCTTCTGTTGTCACCTAAGAGTAAGTTGGCCAACTAAAGTTGAATCTTTATGCTGTTGTATGTGTCTTCAGGGCCACATGGAGGGTGAGGTGTGGGGCCTGGCCACTCATCCCCATCTCCCTCTCTGTGCCACTGTCAGCGATGACAAGACCCTGCGCATATGGGACCTCTCACCCAGTCACTGCATGCTGGCTGTACGCAAGCTCAGGAAAGGTGAGTCACTGCTTCAGCGCGAACATATGAGTATACTTTCTTTGGCTGTCAGCCTGACAAGAAGTGCACCGCTCCCAGGGCTTTAACAAACAACTTGTCCTCCACAGGCGGCCGCTGCTGCTGCTTCTCTCCTGATGGCAAAGCCTTGGCGGTGGGCCTGAACGACGGCAGCTTCCTTATTGTGAACGCAGACACCCTGGAGGACCTGGTGTCCTTCCACCACCGCAAGGACATCATATCTGATATCCGATTCTCTCCAGGTCTGAGCTTCACCTCTGCATTTCTTCACCAGTACAAATCTCCCTTTAAACCCTGTCTGGGAAGCAAATAGGCCTCTAAAATCTTTGTGCCCTTCAAAGCTTTATGTGGGATGCTGTGCAAAAGTTCTGCAGGTATACATGTTTCCCTCCTGCTGTAAGGTGGGGAGATATAGCTGCAGGCCTGACCCAAATTAATGGCTTTCTGTAATAAGGCCAGACAGAGAGACAGCAAGAGAGGAATGAGAAACAGTGGGGGCAGACAAAGTGAGAACAAGAAACTAAACTCTCTTTCGCCTGGACACTTAACCTTAATCCACGGTGCAAGTGATCCTGTTTCTCAACCCAACACCCGTGAACCCCTGAGAGCCTACGTCTTAGGCTTGAAGTCACTGTATAGTGCAGTGTAACACTAAGCGGGAAATTGGTTTTAGTATGGTTAAAATACTGAAACCCCTTTGAAATTTCTTATTTAAAATTTTTTTTTTATTGCAATTTGTTTCATGCTTGATGCTCTGATGCCGCCTGGTGTATTGCAGTCTATAGTAGCTGCTTATCCAAAGCATTTTCTTAGTTTTTTATACCATTACAGTCCCATATTTAGGCTGTACTCTACCTATGCTAACATGCTAAAACAACAGTGCTAATGTGCTGTCATTTGTGCAGTAGAGGAAAGGTCAGGGGATCACCTAAGATTGTCTGGTAATCATTAATGTCTATGTAGAACCATGTGGCAGTCGGGCTAGAAGACAGTGAGACATTTCACAGGATAAGTGAAAACTCAACAACATCCCCACAATCAGGAGGATTCATCCTGATTGTACCATGAATGTCTACACAAAATTTCATGGCAATCCATCCCAGAGTTGTTCAGATATTTCCGTCTGGATCAAAGTGGTGGACTCACCAAACCACCACTGAGACATCTCTCTCTTTTGTTGGCTCAGGTACTGGGAAGTACCTTGCAGTGGCATCAGGAGACACTTTTGTGGATATTTACAATGTAATGAGCAGCAAAAGAGTTGGAGTCTGCAAAGGATGCCTCAACTACATTACCCATCTGGACTGGGACAAGAGAGGTAAACATGTTTCCTTAAATACTATTGTCTCAGGAAATCTTTGTAAATTTACGCTTAAGAGCCAATTGTGCATTCAAAATGTCTCACTTAAAAACACCGTGCCCCTCTGGGCTCTTTCACGCACAGGAAAACTACTTCAAGTCAACACAGGTGCTAAAGAGCAGTTTTTTTTCGAAGCTCCTCGCGGCAAAAGGCAGACCATTCCGGCTACAGAGGTAAGCAGGGAGAAAAGGCACAGGCGCGACCGTGGTTATGGCGCTGTTGGCCCACATTTTCCCCTTGGGATCAGAGGAGGCTCGGGGAAGGGCAGTGAAGCATTAACACGGCCCACTTTTCACCAGTATCATTCTAATTTTGGCAGTGGAAGTGGGATAGTGTTTAGGGTTCCTTTAATGCAGTGAGACATTCAGGCACCTTGCGAGGCACACCGCATGAAGGAAATAAGCGTCAGAGCTGATAGATGCTGCTGGGTCTAGGCTCGGTGGCGCCTCCGATGTCCTCTATTACATTGGCTCCTCCGTCTCGCCCCGTTGTGATGCATCCACGCTCTTGCGCTCTCGATCACGGGATCGTCATTAACGGGCTGAGACAGCAGTCTGCTCTTGTTTTATTTTCTATGGATTTGCAACCATTTTGGCGTTTTAATGTGGCCATCTCAGCAGACTGCCTGAACTCTGTGAGAAGCTCAATGTCCCAAACCTTTCTCATTTTAAATTAGGTGGGAACAGGTTTTTATTATTGGCCATGAGAGTGCTCAAAAGACCCTGTCTGCCCTAAACCTTTTAAAGGAAGAATTAGACATTTTTGGAAGAATGCTCATCTGCTTTCTTGCATAGAGTTAGATGAGGAGATTGATAGGTGGCAGGTAGATTATGTTACACTTGTGCAGGCCCAGGAGAACAGTTTCCTCCTGTTTACAGTGAGGAGCAGGGAGCGCATGACCCCACAGTTGGCCTCTCTCCACTGGCTGTGTGTAGAGTTTGAAATTCAATATAAAATCATCATCTATCACTCTCTTCATGGTGAAGCACTTGAGCACATTTCTGAATTATTGTTTGTTCTATTTTGTTGCCCTTGTGTTTGATGTTTAAATACTTTTCTTGTGTTATTTGCTGCATAAATTCATCTTTACTGACTTGGCTCAGGTGGAGAAGATCGACTGGAGCACGTGGACGTGTGTCCTGGGAACGTCTGTTGAGGGAATCTGGCCCGTGATCAATGAGGTGACAGAGGTGACCGCTGCCTGCCTTAGTAACGACAGGAAGGTGCTGGCAACAGGAGATGATTTGGGATACGTCAAGCTCTTCAGATACCCTGTCAAGGTGAGACGCAATCCACATTTCTTATTATTATGTGGTTTGAACATCTCGACTTTGAGGTTTATGCAAATGTTATGTTAATTTCTGTGTTAATGTCACAAGTGTTACATAAATGTTGTCCCTGTTGCCACAGGGGAAGTATGCAAAGTTCAAACGCTACGTGGCCCACAGCGCACATGTTACCAATGTGCGATGGACCCATGACGACAGCCTCTTGGTGACAGTGGGTGGGGGTGACACATGCCTCATGATCTGGGCCCATGAGCCCGAGAGCCACAGGGAATTCAAACAGTGTGACAGCGAGGAGTCGGACATCGAGAGCGAGGACGACGGAGGTGAGAGACGACTTACTTTTGATGTTTTCAATTTTGACAAACGCTTCCGTTGCTGAAACAAAAAGTCTGTATCATTCCCGTCTTTCATCAGGTTACGACAGCGATGTTACGAGAGAGAACGAGATCAACTACACCATCAAGGCCTTATCCACCAACATGCGACCCATGACTGGTGTGAAACCCCACTTGCAGCTGAAAGAGCCCTCTGTTGATGAAAGGTATTTTAAATGAAGCTGTGGAGAGGATTTGCAGATGCTCCGACGGGCTCGCTTGAGCAAAAAAAAAAAAAAGAAGCCAGTCCTGTCTTCCTCAGTCAACATATCTTTTCTTTTCCTGTGTTTTACTCTGGCCCTGTCCCTGCCCTTTTGAAATAACTCAGCTTTTTCTGCTTTTCTTCTTTCCTTTTCATGGCTGTCCATCTGTCATTATCCTGCTTCGTTCTTTAATTCCACTTGAAGACAAGGGGTGGTGAGGTAAGCAGTGTGTATGTTGATTTTGCAGAAAAGATAAAGCATCAGGCAGTAGTAGTTAACAGATGTGTAATTATAAAGAAAAGGTAAAATACTCATCTGACTGTGGAAGTTTGTACTAGTCTGTGGGCTACATTACAGACCATGTATGGCATGGTCGCTGTATGAACTCCAGTCTTAACCTTCCTGCAGATTTATAGATTTGCATCTGTGAGGTTTCCTCTGTAAAGTAATTCACTTTCAAGCGTCTGTTTTTTTTTTTTTTCCCTCATGTACAAATGAAGTTGCTGTTTTGGTGTCAGTTCACTCATTTGCTAATGAGCTGCTGTTCTGACAGGCAGGAAAAAGTGGGCTGAAAGTTAAAGTGGAGCTTGAAATGAATTTACTTTAGTGTCCACTTTAACAGTGAGTGGAACAAAATCTGAAGCGGTTGTATGAGAAATGTTTTTAATTGTCAGAGACTCCAGGGAAACGGCTTGATTAAAGTGGATCAAGCTTCATACATCAAATCAGAATGAATATTAGAAATGTACACATCCTCTTTTAAAGTCTTTTGAAGTATTGATTATGTGGCTGGTGGTAAACACTGTTTACAAGCATCAGAATTTCCATCACTATAATACGTGTAAAATAATGTCACAGACTTTAGGTGCCTCAGGTTTATTGATTTATTGGTTTATTGATGATTTCCAGATTTGTTTTGGGTTTTTTTTTTTTTTTGTTCGTTTTTTTGACAATGATGCAAGCATCCACGTAACATCTTCTGGGCAGTAGTTGTCATAGAAATGAACTTTGGTTGTCATGGATACACAATGGTCCTGATTCCTGTATTTTATGTCCTCAGTGGCTGTGGTGTTGTGTTACGTGTGTCCAGCAGGCAACAGTGAACGCTGCGGGAAACCTTTGTTCTAATTCTTGCTTTTTCTTTGTTATTGCCGCCATGAAGAGGGTCAAGGTAAGTCTCTTACTGTGCCGTTCACTTATATTTTCTCTCCACTACTACTTTTTTGGCCTTATTTGGACATTTGTAGATTAAATATGAAGGGACTGGAGTGTTGTTGTGCCTGTTATAGACACTTGATAGTGTTTCCGCTCCACACACTGTCCTGACTGTAAAACAGGGTCATCGGTTTGTCCATACAGTCTTTGCATTATTAATTATTTTCCGTACCATACATACACTAAGTAATTACAGAGATGTTTTTTGTAAAGGAGTCGGTGAAAGCTGTTACTTAGCTGACCTGATGAATGAAACAGACTTGAAAACTTTACTCTCTGGTTGTTATTCACCCAGAACACAAATCATGTAAAATCATAATGTCAGTGATGTTTTTGAATCAATGAACAGGACTGTACTCACTGACAGTCTGAAGATGCGTGGAAATGACTACTTTTACTAATTATGTTGTTGTGATATTTTACTGTCACTTATAGTTTTATTTTTTACCTTCATCTTCTACATCTATTGACATCAGTCACCCTATTCAAACTCTTATTGCTTTGCTGGAAATACAGACCTTTTAGACACTTGTGATGCAAGAGGCCTTGACATTTAAAAAATGATTTATTTCATCCCAGCTTGATAATTGTAGCTCTTGTTATTTCAGAGAAAAAAATGTACAAAATTGATTTTCCTGGACCCTTTTCTTTGAGATAAAAGTCACTTTTTTGTCTGCAGATATGGAGTATTTTATACAACAGTCCCAATAGTAAACAGTGTAATATTATTATTATTGTCATCATGATCATCATTATAATTATCAGTCTGATAAGCAGCTCCTCAGCCGCCCTCTTATCCCAGCTGTCTGTTCCAGGCCTCCTGTCAGCAGAGCGCTGCCTCAGCCAGAGAAGCTGCAGACCAACAATGTTGGCAAAAAGAAGAGACCAATCGAGGTAAGGTGGACTTCACATGCTTAGCAAAACAACAACAAACTAATAGATACAGATGGGGAATTTTTTGCAAACAGAAGGAAGATTCCAAATGCTGGTCTTTAATGTGATTACTTCAGCAGAAGATGCTGTGCGCTCGCTCTCTGTCCAGACAGCCTCTCCGGGGACTCTGATGATTCTGTAATCGAATGATGACGTTCTGCTTCAGCCACCAGCTGGCTCTCAACATCGTAGTTGTCATGGCGTTGACCTTTCTGACTTTCTGGCGGTCTTTTTCTGACTCTCCCGCAGGACCTAGTGTTGGACCTGGTATTTGGTTACCGTGGCAATGACTGCCGCAATAACGTGCACTACCTGAATGAGGGGGCGGACATCATCTACCACACGGCCTCAGTTGGCATCGTGCTCAACTTGACGACCTGTAAGTAGACAGGGGGACAGTTTAGAAGACATGCCAAGAGTGTTACTATTTTCTGCCGTGAAAACAAATATAACATATATGTATTCGACCTTGTATGTGTGTGTGATGTGTGTGTGTGTGTGTGTGTGTTTTGGTTGTGGTTTTCTTACAGCCTGCCAAAGTTTCTATGTTGAACACAGTGACGACATTCTGTGCCTGACCATCAATCAACATCCCAAATTCCCCAACGTGGTGGCAACTGGCCAAGTAGGTATGTTTGTGAGAAATTGACCTCCTGTGTCACCAGCCGCCTTGTTTTTCTTCCCTGTATCCTGTGTTGTGCAATGTGCGGGGGGATTATTGTACATGACTGACAGCCATACACTTCCCACGAGCTTATCTGCACTTTAAAGCAACTAATGAGCAAAATGATCATTTTTTGCATACAGGAATAGCTGTGTGTGGTTGTCACTGTACACTGCATTTTTATACAAACCTTCCACAAAGTGTAAAAGACAGGACAGGGGAATTTACAGACAGCAGAAAGTCAGAAAGGTAACAAATCCTTTGTGTTAATCTGATTTTCTTTCATTTCAGGTGATACTGGTGACATGTCAGGTAAGGACATTACAAGATTAATCCTCATTTAAATTAAGAAACATGTTGGAAAAGGAAATGTGTATGGTTTTAATTCAATTATATTCTTTAAGTTGCTGCCACCTACTGGTCATCTGATTTGAGACATGTCCTTCCCCATATTAACTTGCTTTATTTTAAATTGTATATATGATACTAAAAAACAGAATATAAAAGCCAAATAATAAGTCTAAACTCTAGCCTTTACCATTTTAGTTTACATTTTGTTTTTATTCATATTTGAAATTTTAGAAACCCAATTGAACCAACAATGAACACTCTCAATTTTAACTAGTAATTCATAACATTGCTGGGGTTTGAGTGACGATTAAAAGCAATCGATACTTTCATGGTAATTAGATTCCAAACAGTTCTCTTCATCTCGCTTCTTCCTCAGCCACGTCTCCATCTATTCATGTGTGGGACGCCATGACCAAGCAGACGCTGTCGGTGCTACGCTGTTTCCACTCCGGTGGAGTTTGTTCTGTCAGCTTCAGTGCCACAGGAAAACTCCTGCTGTCTGTGGGCCTGGACCCTGAACACACTGTCACCATCTGGAAGTGGCAGGAAGGTAAACAATTAAAATCATCTTTGCTTCAACTTTGGGGGATTGGGTGGATTAGAAAACCTTTTACTGAACTCTGCTTTGTTTCTCAGGTGCCAAAGTGGCCAGCCGGATAGGTCACACCCAGAGGATCTTTGTGGCCGAGTTTCGGCCAGACTCAGACACGCACTTTGTGTCTGTGGGGATCAAACACGTGCGCTTCTGGACGTTAGCTGGTCGAGCTCTGCTCAGCAAGAAAGGTGTGCTGAGCTCCATAGAGGACGCCCGGATGCAGACCATGCTGTCTGTAGCATTTGGAGCTGTAAGTGATTTCCAACCATTGTAATCCACATTGTTTATTGTTGTTCAAATATCTAATTGATTTGATTTCAAATGTTGCTTGTTCTTACTACATATTACATTTAACCTCTCACTTTGAACCTGTTCATATTTAAAGCTCATCAGATCCCAAACTGTCTGCTTCAGTGTGCTGTGAATTGTTTTTGCATTGCTCGCTCTGCTCTCTTAGGCCACTAGATTAGTGCAGATTTGTTTTCTTTTCAGAATAACTTGACATTTACAGGTACCATAAGTGGGGATGTGTGTGTGTGGAAGGAACACATTCTAGTAAGAATAGTGGCCAAAGCTCATACGGGCCCTGTGTTCACCATGTACACCACACTGAGAGACGGCCTCATTGTCACCGGAGGCAAAGAAAGACCGTAAGTGCTGCTCTGTTGTATTAGTACGTTTGATCACCCATCAGTAAGCTATTCACATACATTCACAGCTATTCACATACTGGTTTATTGGTGGGCAGTAGGGGTAGATGGTGATTTTATATGATAATCTGTGAAAGGGATTTTGTGATTAAAGTATGATGACAACAGATTATGCAAACTGAAGTTTTCTAACTCTCATGTTGTGTCAGTTACATGGGTTTGGTTTCAGAAGAAAAGTCATTCCTCACATTACCATGAAATAAAGTCCTAGCAGGAAAAACAGGTTTAATTGATACCTTTGGTCGGCCACTTTCATTTTGACACTGTCATAGCAGGAAAACATTTTGTGTATGTACTTCTAAGTAATTCTGTTCTTATCCAAATGAATGTAATAACTGATAGGATTAAATAAATATGAGAAAGAAAGAAATACATACTGTACCTACTGTACATCACTGACCCTGTGACCACCATGATATATATTTATTACATAAAACTGTAATTTCCCTTAAACAGTGGATGAAACAGAAGATGTTTTCCTCCACAGGTCAAAGGAGGGAGGTGCTCTGAAGCTCTGGGACCAGGAGCTAAAACGCTGCAGAGCCTTTCGATTAGAAACTGGACAGATCATAGACTGTGTTCGGTCTGTGTGCAGAGGAAAGGTACTCAATAGATAAGATGCTACTCAATCAATCTCCCGCTCTCATTTTCCACTTCACTGTTTGTATTTTGACCTTTTTTTACTCTGTGCTGTGTCAGGGTAAAATCCTCGTGGGGACCAGAAACGCAGAGATCATTGAAGTAGGGGAGAAGAACGCAGCGTGCAACATCTTGGTGAACGGACACATGGACGGACCTATCTGGGGCTTAGGCACGCATCCCTCTAGAGACGTGTTTCTGTCTGCTGCAGAGGATGGCACTGTTCGCCTGTGGGACATCCCAGAGAAGGTCAGCCATGTTACCTCCACCCCCCCACCCCCACCCCCCCACACACAACCACTCAGTCTGATGACAAACCGATCAGCACTCACATATTTCTGTCATTTTATCAGGATGATCACAGTTCAAATGTTAAGATGGTTTATAACATTTCGTAATCACCCTGCATTGCCTTGTGGGAAAACAGAAGATGCTGAATAAGGTGAACCTGGGCCACCCGGCGCATACCATCAGCTACAGTCCCGAGGGAGACATGGTGGCCATCGGCATGAAGAATGGAGAGTTCATCATCCTGCTGGTTACCTCGCTCAAAATCTGGGGCAAGAAAAGGGACCGGCGCTCTCCTATCCAGGATATTAGGTACTGATAGTAGAGTGGTGCAGCAGATATATCAGCTCAGTGATATAAGGGAAAAGTAATGTATTGAGCCAGAACTCGCCTTTTATGAAACAACTGATTAGCATGTGTATGTTTACAAAGGATATTATTCTGAATTGCCCCCTGGCCTGTTTTGTCATTATTTGTACGCTTCAGTAGCTCCTCGGCTCCTCAATAATCAGCTTTTTGTCACCAGTCTCAGCCGACAAGTTCATGTGGACCTCAGGGATTATAGGGGAATTTGATGGGTGCCATTATTTGTGTTACCTATGGAGGTAACGTTCGGGCAAGACCACGGTGTAGTGAAGGCTTTAGGCTCAGGGAGAAGAGAGAAGCTTTGTTGTGTGAGGTGAAAAAAGCCAGCATAGCAAGAAAAAGATTCTCCAGTTTAATTTGGAGCTAATAGCCATCATATTTGGCCCAGTACACACTGTCCAGTTGGGGCTCATATAAAACCCTGTCAAAACACACACATTACCTGTTTGGGCAAACACCAGTGGGTCCTCGAGAGAAGCTGCAGACACAGCCAGCTGGGGCCCATAAATCAGCCCAATTTTAATCCTGTTTGGGTTGGTATTGAAATGTTGCAGAGGATCAGGATGCATTTGAGTTTGCATTCGCTGTGGTTACCTGCCTTCCTGCTTATTCAAACAATTTTTATGTGTATTATGTCTACTATTATGTTTATGTGTAAAAAAAAGTATGTATCAAAACTGTATTGTCACTCTGAAAATCTATTTTTATTGATTTGTTTGTGTATTTATTTATGTGTATGTTAAATTTTAAATGTAAAGATATTAAATATACAACACAAAATCTTCTATTTGAAATTTAAGAATCCATAATCATCTTTAGAAAATGTCAAACCCTAGTCTGTTCACTAGACAGTAAATCTGAGAGAACTCTGGTCTTCTCTAACTCTGTACGTCTCCCTCGCAGGTTCAGTCCAAATTCTCGTTACTTGGCTGTGGGCTCCACTGAGAGCGCAGTCGACTTCTACGACCTGACGCTCGGCCCGCAGCTGAACCGCATCAACTGCTGCAGGGACATCCCCAGCTTCGTGATGCAGATGGACTTCTCTGCTGACAGCACTTACGTCCAGGTACGGAAACATCAGAGGCTCATCAGCTGCGCAGTGAGAGGTCACGGCGGTCTAACCCTAACCCTCTAACCTCCGATGTCTTGAATCAGATATCCACAGGTGCTTACAAACGACTGGTGTACGAGGTGCCGTCTGGGAAGCAGGTGACAGAGCAGTCCCACATTGACAGGATTACCTGGGCCAGCTGGACGAGGTGAGAGACACACGCCATCAATGCATATGTTAGAAAAGGTAATAATGAAGCGCTGAGTCTGAGCCCCAAATGTTGTTTCTCTCTCTCTCTCCCTCTGTGTCCAGTGTCCTTGGCGACGAGGTTGTTGGGATCTGGTCCCGTAACACCGACAAAGCAGATGTCACCTGTGCCTGTGTGTCCCACTCAGGCCTTAACATTGTCACAGGCGACGACTTTGGGATGGTAAAGCTGTTTGACTTTCCATGTCCAGAGAAGTTTGTAAGTATGACTACATCATATTGTTATTACTGTTTTTATGTTTCCACAATGTTTTTGATTTATTAGAACAGTAATGTGTTTGTCTAATGAAAATATTATACGATCATTTTAAATGTGAAATTTTTCACCTTCATGAGCTGAGATCTGAAAGTCACTATATGAAGGATTTAAAAGTTCAAGACGTCAGTGCCCTCCAGTGGTAGAATTAAAAAAAGCACTGCCTGCTAACCCTCCACACGGACCAGGATTGTCTCATTTTTCTACAAATGAAAATTCATCCGAATAATTTGAAAGATGCTACGATCACATAAAAAATCTTCATATAGGGACTTTAAATTCATTATAATACAAAATCATCATGTTTTTCAACCTGTGATGTACATTGTTGTGCTATTATATCAGTCAGTTACCCAGCATGCTTTTCAACTACTGAGAAAATAGTATTGCACAATTAAAATTGTGTGATGGCTTAACTGATTTTCAGCTGGAGCTGCCACTTCCCTTAAAATGTTTTGCACACTGTAATACCCTGTAAATGTGTCTGTGCTGTAAAACAATAACACTGTTAGCAGTAGTTGCAAAAATGCATCTTGAATGACGTGAATACGATCTCTTTCAGGCCAAACACAAACGGTTTCTGGGTCATTCTGCTCACTTGACCAACATACGCTTCACCAACGGAGATCGCTTTGTTGTCAGTGCTGGTGGAGATGACAGAAGGTATGACTGAGGACCCAAATAAAAACTTGTATTTACAAATGACGTGACAATCAAATATTAAATGATGCGTCTTCTCCCTTTTTTTTTTTTTTTAAATCTCCTCTCTAGCCTCTTTGTGTGGAGGTGTGTTCATGCTCCTCACTGAGGATCACACCTGGACCATCCTGCCTCAGAAAGTCCAGGTGTCTCCCAGCACGGCTCTCCAGAGAAAAGAATCAGCTAAAAGATGCATCTCAAGAAAAAAGGAGGACAGACCTGGCAGCCTGTAAATGAGGAAAAGCAGTAATGCGATTTACTGCCTCAAAAACTAGGTGCATGCATATGTGCAAGGCTCATTTTCATCATAGCATCAGTCCCGATTGTGAACACAGGTGGAGGGCGTACAGCCCTGCTCTCACAGCATCATATCATCATTGAGATAAAAAAAAAGGAAAAAGGTCATCTCTCTAACACAGTATGTGCATATCATTTCAGTAATGGATAATATTTTTAGAATGAGCGAATCTGTGTACATGTCCCAAATGGCAGTTTTGCCACTTGGCAGGCCTATGAAATTGTGTTACGGACAATGCCATTTTTTAAAACATGTAGCAAACTGAATTAGCCTTAATCTGAGTGTTCAATTTATGAGGGTTTGGATTCTTTTTGTATTATGTTTGTTTTACTTTTTGGATCATGTAGTCATTTGTTTGTTCTATTTTTACTGGTAATTCCAAATCCTGTGGCCTTCCTCCTGAATGTAACATCCACTGTTATGTTCTGGATGTCAGCATGCCAAAGCATACTATGCACTGTACACCTGACCTGGTCACTGTGTTACCCTGATGGTTCATTTATGGTTTGTTCATGTGGTTGTGTTGTTGACTGGTTGACCTCAAACCTCCCTCAGCAGTGTTCCCCTCATGACATGTTAACGTGTGCATACTCGTTTGAGGATCTGTTTGTGGTTAATGGGTGTGCATGGCTTACTGGAAGACAATCTGTCCGAACCAAATTCCTCAGAAAACAAAAAGAACGGTTGTAAATTGATGTTTCAATGCACTGTTGCAGTTCTTTCAGTCACTTTTCAGTGTGCTGCTACTGTATGATGTATTATTGTTGCATTTTCATGAATATGAATGGTGTGACTTTTTTCAACAGTAAGTTAATGTTTGTGTAATCAGATATATTGCTTAAATGGAATGTTTTATCAGAGAAAATATGAAAAGTGCAAAACATTTTGCTCCTTGTATTAAGACTAACTACGAAAAAATGTTGCTGCATATTTTGATTTACATTACACCAGTGTAAATATCATTTGTAGATATTCTTTTTGTATATTTTTTGTGAGATGTTTCTTAAATTCCACTTTAATAAAAAAGGCAACCATGGACTTGAGCTTTGAGTGAAAAATGTTGAGTGAAAACAACATAAATAATATGATTCATAATGCTGAGGAACCAATGTAATGACACCAGCAGTGCTCAAACTAACCTTTTATCAATTATCAATAAATAGAAACATTTCCTTGCTGCCCTTTCATGATTCTGTGTGAGGAAGTGATTCATGTGAGTACTATTTAAAATACACAACCTCCCCTGCATAATAACTTTGGACATACACTAATTTTCATATTATAAAGAGAAAAGCCTGAAGATAAAAATATCTGATATTCACTCAATTTTATTTAAGAAGAAACGAACCTTAACATACCTTAGCTCTTTATATTCATAGATATGGCCTATATACATATTTTACATACAAAGACAAATCTAAGCACCGAATAGTCCAACACAAATCGCAGCTGAATATAATGAACTCTGCTGTCAATGAGCGTTACTGACTTTAGCTGTCTTCAATGATTAATCACCACCTCTGCCCTTCATTCACTTCATGTCATTTCACACTCAAAAGTGCAAGACTATCTACCAGTTTCACTGTTGACACAAGATGTAGCTATTAGCAAACTGAAATAGGAACTCAAAATATCAGATAGCTCAATATCACATAATACCCTGAGTTTACGGTTTATTAGGTACACGTTTACTGTTAAAGACAATCCAATATGATAGCACTATAATAAATTGTACTTTTGTGAAGCCTATAATTTTCAGTTTTTGTTGACATTGTTTCAGACAGGTGTTTATTCATCCCTATGGTAATCAGATATAATATAGAAGGCTGAAATGTTTCTAATATTTTACTGTATTTTGTACATGTGTACCTGATAAATTGGTAAATCAGTGTATCAAGTATTATTATTATTATTATTGTTATTATTATTATTATTATTGTTATTATTAACGGATGAAACAGGGAAGCAGCTTCATAGTTTGACAGAGAATGAGCTGCCACAGGAGCAGCCATGATCAGCTTGAGGATTCTTCAGCACTAGGAAGGTGGAGCGGATCAGCTCCTGGGTGAAGTCCACTGTGGCTCCTTTGACAAACTCCAGGCTGTCCTGGTCCACGATAATGCCCACTCCTCCCTGCTCAAACACTCTGAGGAACAAAGAGGACAGAAGTGATTTAGTGAAGATACAATGTGACTTTCAGGAAACAAAGACTTGAAAGCTAGATTAGTGGCATCTTACATGTCATCCTCATTCCTGTTACCATCAACAGTAAACTTGTACTGGAACCCAGAGCAGCCTCCTCCCTCCACATGTATTCTCAGGTACTCGCCCTTCTCCATGATCTCCCCAAGTCTCTGGATTAAAGGGGGGGGGGGGGGGGGGGGGGGGGGCAACAAGGTGCAAATCACAAAAACTTCAACACAAGCTCTGTTGGAGACATCCAAGACCAAGTTAGACTAAGTTATCAATGTGGTGACACCACAAAGGCTTGTTGACAAGTGTCTAGAATCAAACAATTTGATCTGTGATTAAAGCTGCACACTATTGATCACTTGTACACATTATTTACAATGTTTGGGCCTTCAGACCCTCATCACCTACAATGCTATTATTGATAAAGTGACAGTGTGTGGGAGTCTTTGGTTTCTTCACATTTCAAATATAGAGGAACCATGAAACACAAATGTTTGCCCGATGCTCCCTGTAATGTCTGACTAACCTGATGTCATGGAGTTGCATTCTTAATACAGCTCCACTGTCAACGCTGGCTCTGACAGTAGATTTATGATTTTTATACACACATCCCTAAAGAGTAAGGTTCTTAATCGCGGGTGTAACTGCTGACCTTCACACATGACTCAGTGAGGTGTACTTTATCTTCAGATGGACCTGACACCGCTGGCTTCTCCTGGGCGGAGGTGCTACTGAAGCGCTGGAGCCCCGCTGTGGGGTGTGGGGGCAGCCGGTATAACTGCTGGGTCACACCGGGGTTGTTCAGAAGAGTAGATGCCCTGCAAAACATTAAAACGTTAACATCAGATCATATGAGAGCAGCAGGACTTATAACGTTACTGGCCCCAGTGGTAGCTTGTTACCTAACGGTAGCGTTAAAGGCTAGCTTGCTAACTATCTTCAACACACTATTTTTCTACCAAAGAGATTGTTTAAAGGTTAATATTTTGACCAGGGACATCCCTTATTATGTATACGATTTCAGAAAATGTACGTTACCTGGCCAGGCTCAATAATTTTGACTTTGACGCAGATATCATTGCTCTTCTAACGAATGACATCTTCCATAACAAATGTTGGTAAGTTCCGCCCCCTTCAGATGACGAAAGAATTATCTCACTCTTATTGGCTAAAATGGATGTCTGTGAAAATAGACACGCCCATGTTGGTAGTATACGGCCAGTTGATTTGTCAGTTTACCTGCCAACCATGAGGCATTTGGGATAAGACCCGTCAGGAGACTTTGGGTTTATACTACCTTGGGTTTGCCTCTCAGGAACTGTTTTGCCAGGCTGTATGCCGTTCCCAACAAGAACCATCAATCAAATACTTACATTGAGTTTAAATTTACAGATAATTTGCTTCATGCAGTGCTTGAGGCTCTCATCTGCCACTTACAGCACAGGAGACGGGAGCTTTAACGTGCGGGGGTTTCCTGACAGGCAAAATATCGGGCAATAAAAATATCTGTTTCGCATAAATAGGCGTTGCTTCAATCTCGTGATACAGGGAAATAAAAAGTGGTAGCCTACTAGCAGTTCCACTTCGCATGTTGACAGAAGCTCATCAAAGGTACAGTCTGTTCATTCAAAATTACTTATTCTTCTTTGTACTATATCATTTTTGCGACTCACGGTGTTTGAGCTGTTTTTACCACATGGCCAGATAGTCGAAGAGAATTTGTTCCTCATTGTGTTAAGTTTTGCAATCACTGTTACATCCGCGACAGTTGGGGAAACAAACAAGAAGTCATATGATTCAACACTTTCTGCTGACTGCTCGAAGGCACACTGGTCCGATAAAGTTTACTTAACATTGCGTCATGGATATTTCCTAATTTCTAGGGTCTCGCCAAAAAAGAAAAAGAAACATGGATGTCCGGACTGGTTTCATCGTCTCACTCTGCTTGATAGGATTCACCTGCGCGGCACCAGTGAAGTACTTAGACTGCGGTAGGTTTCACCTGAGTTTTTTTCCGCCCCAGACTTCTCTCTGTTAACCGGTGATCATCGCATTTGAAATGCAAGATATGTAAATTAACGGTGCTTGTACTGTTAATATAAAATCGGAAAAGAGAACACAGAGTACTTCAGATGTTTTGATTTGTTCGACCATCATTTCAAAATCCAAAGACTTTAAAACAATATTAATTGGAGAAACAGATGATTCTTACATTGGAGAAACGGGGAATGGATGTTTTACATATAATTACCTTAATTCTAAAAACTGACAATTGATTTTCTTTCAGTCCACTTAACTGATTAGTTGACTACACTGATGTGCACCCCTCACACCTAGATCTTCATATGTCCCACGGACATTTTTACCTGTCCAGAACACTATATGTGTACACAATATATATACTCATGTGCACATATTTGTGGTTGTCCAGTATTTATTTAGTCACCTGAGTGGTCTGACACTCCTGTGGAAATAAATACTCAGCAACGTAGCACTGCATAGATTTTCCTCATAGCCACAGAGGAAATTATATAGTTTGTAATGTGTTGGTCAATTCTAATGAAAATGGAGCACATTTTAAAAAGTGATGTTGGCAGTATTAGCATTTCTTTCTTTTATTATTTATTCATTTATTTAAAGAGACTGTCTTTTCCATGTTTTTATTCAGGCTCCACTTCTGGCAAAGTGGCTGTGGTGGACGTTACCCCTTGTAACACTCAGCCATGCCAGTTACACAAAGGACAGTCTTACAGTGTCAATGTGACATTCAATAGTGGTAAGTGGACTATAAATGGATAGATATGTCTTCCAAGATTCACAGCATAAATGCTTTTCTTTTCGGTTTTAAAACCCTTTGATCTCATGATGTGATGTCTTATTGTAGCTGTGGAAAGCCAGACAAGCAAAGCAGTGGTTCATGGTATTATTGCTGGAGTTCCTGTCCCCTTCCCCATTCCCATAGAAGATGGCTGTAAGTCTGGAATCCAGTGTCCCATCAAGAAGCAGCAGAGTTATCACTATCTAAACTCTCTGCCGGTGAAGTCTGAGTATCCTGCAGTAAGTACTACATGTGACATTAGCAACGGCCATTTTTAAGATGTTTTTTTCTTTTTAATAATTTAGTGACACTCTACATTTAAGGTCTTTTTTAAAATTGCATCTAATCAGAGGATAATTTTGTAATGTGGTTTCATCTTGGGGATGATGTAAGCAGTAATGGAATAAGCATTCAGATCCTTAGATAAAAGCAGTAATACTACAGGGTAAAAAAACAAATTTTGGCTTTTTAAATTGGTTCAGATTTTAAGTTTCTCGCTTCCTTGTCTGAGTAGTGATTTTGTCCTCTTGCCACGTGTTTTGTTTCTTTCACTTCAATTTTTTTTTTTTTATCTGATAAAATGTTAATAAAAACAATGTGCACCTGGTCCACTGACTACCCCTCTTCTGCATTTCTAGATAAAGCTGGTTGTGGAGTGGGAACTGAGAGATGACAACAAACAAGACTTGTTCTGCATCAGGTTCCCAGTTCAGATTGTGAGCTAAACTGGCAACAATACCTCAAACAAATGAAAAAAAAAAAAAAAAAGTTAATGATTCTAGTTAAGATCTCATTTTATTCATTCATCAAATTGATTTTTTTTAAGATGTATGTCTTTCACTAGTTTGCAAGACTTTGCCTCACACGCATCTTAAATCTTACTGAAACAAATGAGAGGTTGATTTTCACTATGAATTGCCTAACAGTCGATTTTTAAGAGTTGTGGATGTGAAATAATGCGGGTTAATGTTTGTGAATGACCCTGGCTTAATTACATTCCACTACAATGCAAATGTCTTGGCTCACTGGCTGCTGTGTAGTCAGAAAAGGTACACGCTGTACTTTTTCTTTACTTCAACTTTTGTAATATTTCTTACTGACCTTGTGCTACATATGAAAAGTAAATTCTAATAAAGAAATCTAATGTGTACCCAAGTCGCACTATATGTGAATCTGACACAAGTAACCCAAGTTGATTAAGCATCTTTTTAGTAAAATTAAATCGCAGCTGTTTTTTAGCTTTTGTTACATAGCTGTCAGTCATTTGTCGCTGTACTCGGATAAAGTCTGCCTCTGATTCAATGTTGCTGATGGTAATACTGCTCAGCCCAGCTTTTCAACACCTGGTGGTGGAAAGGCTTTTAGATGAACAGCCTTAAAATGAGCGAAACACTTTACTGGGGACATAAAAGAAGCCTTGAAATACTTATGAGATTTTATTAGTCTGAGCAAAGGCCAGCAGCAAGGAATAACGGTATGTATGCAAAGAGAACAAGTTCTATTAAAGTAGATTTTGTAAGACCGACGTGGGATCGTAACCAGGTCACAAGTACAATAAACCAACATCAACTTAAAGCAGCTCTAGAAGTCCTCCCTGAATAGAAGCAAATGCTGTTGGAGAACAAGCCTACAACAAAAGAATATACTTAAACCTCCACAAGGCTAGCTATAGTCAGGAATGCAAGCTTGAGATGCAATGCACTGCAGTATGGAGGGGGAAAAAAAACTAACATCCAAACACAAACTTTACAATTAATACTGAATACAGTGTCTGTTTAGTCTATAACATAATCAGAACCTTCAAATTAGTTTTGTTTCTGACTTATCTGTGTGAAAGAACAGCCCCACAAAATACCATTATCTCCAACACAAAATAAGTAAAACATAAGTAAATGGGTAAATTTTGTACTTTTCTAACCAAAAGTCAGTCATTAAGGCAATATGAGTTAGAGTACAGCTTTGGCTCTTTCACTGAGACTCCTGCTGAATGAGAACTAGTTGAGTATATTTGAGCAGATATCAGTCATCAGATCACAGCTTTAGTGCAAGCAGGGCAGAGGGGGAAACTGAATTACTATCAATACAACTTGCTGCTTCTTTCTCAGATCATTTTGATGAGTACAAAAGGTGCAGATTTCTTGAACAATGTTCAGTTACAAATTTGTAACGTGGAAGCTGGAAGATCTTTCCACAGTTAAAGTCAACAACACAATGTTGCAACACATCCCGTACAGCCAATCCCTAGCAGTCACTGAAGTAGAGTATCAAACATGGAGTCAGTCAATGGTATGAAACTCAGAACAAAGCAAAGTTGATAGGGCAGGGTACCCCTTATTGTAGTGGTAGCTAGGCAGGTGGACGTCACATGATAGGCTATAATATTTGACCAGACTTGGTTATCAGTGGCACATAGCCAAATACACCTACATCGTCAGCCCCTGTTTCACTTGTATAACTTATGCAGCATCTTGGTCCCTTTTTTTCTATCGTCCGTTTTGCTTCAGCCTCTCCAGCCGCTGGAGCAAAGCATTCCCAAAGGCTTCTCTGTATCCCGGACTCAGTGTGTCCAGAAGGGAGTAAACTGTCTCATGATACTGGTTGCTCAAATCTTCGTCCACTTGATCGAAAGCATAGCCCACCACCTGTTTGGGTAGAAATGAGAGATGTAACACTTTGCATGCTTTGGGGTCTTTAAAGTGCATATGATGAAGAATAAAACAGGAAACCACTGTCTCACTGCGTCTTACCCTCAGTCCTGCCTCTGTGAGCTCAAGACAATACCGATTTCCCTCTCTTGTTTCCACATTTATGTACGCCACATCCAACGCACTGTTGAGACTTTGTGACACGTGCATTTCAGTGACGGCGAAGAGTACGTCATTGACCACTGCTTCTGCCTCCAATCTCATGTCCTTGACGTCACCAAGCTCAACACAGTCCTCATCAAATGAAGAGACGATGGGCTCCTCGGGCTGGCAGTCTATTTCCATCCCCTATAAGAGAACATCAACATTACTGACTGACTCAGCTGGAGCCAGATTTGACTGGATTCTATTAAAATTTGCTGAAGGCCAAAATGATTAAAAAAAAAAAAAAAAAAATTTTTAAAGTTCTCCATTCACATGAGTACACTTCAATAACCCTGCAGATAACTAGGACTGTGTCAGAACAAGCTGGTCTTCACTGTCATGGCAACAAGGTTTCCTGTTGAGTATTATACTGACACAGTAGTGCAATCAAATGAATGCCTTTTAAACTACATCTATAACAGCTGGTCATAAACACTGAAAAAGGTGTATTTGTGCAACAGTCAGTTATTTGACTGTCAATAGTCAAGAGTTGACTCAGCTGCAGTGCTTAAGATACAGTGATAGTGTATAACATCATGTGTCTGAAACAGAAGTGGAACACATGCATCTGACTGTTCTGTGAAGTTTTTTTTTTAAGTTCAAAGTGGACTATTTTTAGTAGCTCACATCCTCTATGAGGTTGGTTGGTTATATGAGGAAACATTTAAACCAGTTTTGGAGGAAATTAATCACCATGTTGAATCTACTATTGCATTTCATTAATTTACTAAAATAAATACAGTTGTTTTACGTAAGACAGCAATACACAAGTGAAATAAATAATCTGGGATTTCCAAAGAAATTATAAGTATTCAACACAGACTGAGTGTGAAAACTTTCAGATACACTTCCTTCTTCTAAAATGGTTTAGCTGGTTCTTACTTGGTTTAATTGTAATTCATCAATTCACAGAAAACCCAGATTTAAACCCCAGTTAAACTCCAGTTAACTCCAGTTCACTGATGCTTCCAAACCAATCTGACAGAGTCTGTTAGGAAGATGATTAGTGTACATTCAGGTGTGTAAATCTTATAATTCTTGCCAAAGGGGTTTCTACAAAGTACCACATTAAGGGTCTACTTTTGTAAATGAGAGATTTCAGTTCTTGATTTTTTATAAATTCAAAAAAACAAAAAATTCTTTAAAAAACAAGAACACACACTTTCTGATAAATAGTTTTGGTGTTGAAGTATGCTGTCATTCAGATGCTGCTTCAGTCATTTTTTAGTTTCCACACACCCCCTATCTGTCCTCTGGTTCATTTGTTAAACAAGTTGAAACTTGTCATGTCCCATTTATGTCAAGGGGCATTAGGTTGTGCATTCCTGTATGAGCCTTTTTCCTGCATGTCAGCTGTAGCCTGTTGCTTCGCATCTGGCTTCGTCATCATTAATTATTTTGCCTGGATGCCCTTCATTGGCAATGAGCCCTTGTTAGAAAGTATTATTGTGATTTGTTCCATTTCAATTGTATATTAAACCATGTATTATTATTATGTTGTTTCATGGTTTTTTTTGGCTGTTGATCAAACCTGCAAAACATCTTCTTGGCATTTTCCATTGAAGTTTTCTAGACTGAACCCTTAATGCTGTTTTGGCTAATCAACAAATCGACAGATTAAACACAGTCGACAGTTGATTGCATTAATGTGCATGCGACATCATGTTACTGTAGTTGCTCGAGGTGGAGCCGATTCCGACAATTTCACACAGTGTTGACTGGTCTGATCTATTAATATGCATCATATTTTATAAAATGTTTCTATGTTTTGTGTGTAAAATCTTAATTTGTAAAGTACCTAGTAATTACAGCTGCCAAATAAATATAGTGGAGTAAAAAATGCAATATTTCCTTCAGAATTGTAGTAGAGTAGAATTATAAAGTAGCATGACACGAAATACTCAAGTACCTCAGCATTGTATTGAGAAGCACTTCCTTGAGTAAATATATTTAGTTACTTTTCATCCCTGCCAGAATAAAACATGCATTACCGTCCACAATGTGAGCTACATGTTAATCACATGAACATCACAGCGACATCTTTAGGACTCTGAGCAGCCTTCTTGTTTAGCTAGCTGAAGCAGAACAAGCAGAACAAGTGTAGTTACTCTCATTAAAGACATTATAGTTATTGCTGAATCAATGTATGAATTTTCATGCAAATGTAATACATCGGCTAATTCATACTGATCTTCTGTAGCTAATTTAGATGGCAAACATTAGCTATATTTTGGGGTAAACTCTGGGAGAACTAACCGCTAAGTCGCTGCTCTGTTTAACGGTAGCAAAGTGATCGACCGTTGTGTAGGCTATAAACGTATTTCAATCACTTTGTTTACATAAGAGAATGCATATAACATAACATTAAAAGCGGTAATCACGTTTGAGTTGAGTATGTTGCAAATCCTTTCTAACCAAACTGCGTTCATTTTTCTCACCTCCTCGCTGGTTGTGTTCTTCCGGCTTGTGGAAGCTTCCAGCCCACTCCGGGCTATACGGACAAGGTTCAGTCAAATGAGCGTTCACCTAACCTTATATACATAGTTGTGTTCAGGCTCTGGTAAATGTACAGCCAGAGTAAAAAATCACTTTCACGGACGATGCTCCTTGTTTCAAGTTCATCTCATTTGTGTCTAAATAACCACCTAAAATAAATCTTGATCCAATGGGGTACTACACAGTTCCGCTACGTTATGACATCATTGTCTAATCCCTTCTCGGCGTGTGTAGGCTTAGTCGGTGCGGAGTCATGAAAGTGTTTGTAAACAACTCAGTCAGAAGGTAAGTTAAGAGCTGCATTAACATCTTCAGCTCTGCTCACTGACTCATGCATGTCGGTACATCTAACTGGCATATATACGTAAATTGTTTTGCCATTGTACATCTGTCGTGTGTT